GCGTTCCGAGAATTCGGAGTTGGTATTTCGCCAGAACGCCTTCCTCCTGCAGTTTTACACCACAATTCAACGCGGTTTGCCCGCCAAATGATAGCAAAATTCCGTTGGGTCGTTCGCTTTCAATAACCTGTTAGAAAAAAATGACTGCCGAGTCAATAATAATCCTCCCGTTTGAAAAATTAGCTCTTTACTGGCCAGGTTTCCCCGCCATCCACCATTTCATTTACCGCCTCTCATACATTTTATTGACTGTGTTTTACAGTCAATAAAAGCGCGCTTTTGCTTGCCATTAGCAAATGTTTGGGATCCAATATGAACGCAAAATCACTTCTAAAACATGAAAAAGTTTCTGGGTAGGATTGCCAATGATAGTTTCTGGGCAGGATTGCCAATTCACTTGAACATGCAATAATTCAGTTCGTGTAACCTTTAACTTCAACTCTCAGCGAAAGTTTAAGGTAATATTTTAGCTAGATCTCCACTAGGTTTTTGTAAATATTCATTTATGATTCAATTTTCATATTGTTGTTGCTAATTTCATCGAATTATATTACTGGAAAAACGATATTAGTGGATATCTCAGCATAAATCTGTTCATACAATCTGAGTGAGAAAAAATTACCCTGGTGACAATAATACGATGTTAAAGAGATATAATATTGAATACCTGTGTAACATATTCGGTTGTAACGGGCAAAAAATATACTCTGTCAGCCAGGCCCTTTGACGTTTGTACTGTGGCGATGTTTGGATTGATAAGGACGGTCTGAATCCCTTCTTCTTTTAAAGCTTTGATAGCCTAAAATTACGGAATAAAACTGATTTGAAATTACCTTCTGGGGGTCTTGATTTTCCTTAGAGAAGGTTGAAGACTCCTTGCAACTCAGGGCAGGGCCTGGGTGCACCCACCTAGCCAGAGACGGGGTGTGGAGGGTCTCTGACAATCTGAATAACCTGATCTGACAATCGTAATCCACCCTCCTACAAAACCACACTGGGGTACATCCCAACAAGTAACGGGGATACAAAAAAATCTAACTCACTTGAGAACCGGAATAATCAAATTCTCCAGCCTGACCGATCGACAGTCCACCTGATCCCAAAATAAGCACTTTCTTTGGTCGAACTGAGATATCTGAAGAGAGAGACGGAACAGCGAATCTTTTATTGATCAAGTCTTTAACACTAGTCTTCGTTCCCGTCTTAAAATCGCGTACGGTTTGTAGAAACACGTCAAAAAGACATTCCAAATCCTCGGGTCCTGCTGTATGTTCGGGATGGAATTGTACGCTGAAGAATGGGGAACTGTTGTGAATGATTCCTTCGTTTGTCTTGTCGTTTGCGTTCGTAAACAGCACGGACCAGTCCGAGGGGAGAGTTTTGGTGTCGACGGCGAATCCATGGTTTTGTGTTGTGATGAAACAGCGACCAGTTCCTTCATGGATGCACGGTTGATTGTGACCGCGGTTCCCATATCTGGAAAAACGAAAGTCTGGAATATAACTTATCTGATAAACACGAAAAACGCTTGTAATTGTCTCTGGGCTACCATTCACAATTGCCCAATTACTTGGAACCTTTGTTCACATAAGACCGTGGTTGACCGTTATCCATTATTATTGTATGTTCTGTTAGTACACCGATAGTTAACAAGCGCTCAAATTTTCTTAAAAATTGCTATAATAAAATTGAGAATCATCTATTGTATTTTTTCGAGAGTGCATTTTAAATTATAGGTTCTGCCGGTTCTAGCTGGGAACAAATGGCACTACCAGAACACTGTACACTCTTCCAGTTATCTCATTCTGTTTTTAGTTTTAACTTTGCCCAAATCGTGTTCTTATTCGTGTGTTCGAGTTCAATATACAACAACGTATTACTTCATCTTGAAGGTTTTTAATCCAACTGCGAGTGAGAGCAATTGATGTCCCAAACAAATTCCAAAAATCGGTTTCTGTGTCTTGCTGTTCAAAAGTCTCCGAATGTTTTCAATTGTGGCCGAACATTGCATCGGATCTCCAGGGCCATTGCTCAGAAATACAGCATCAAATTCACCTTAACAAACGTACAATTATAAGCCAATTGGTATTAAATAACAACAATGTCTCTTTCAAGTTCTATAGCTAGTTGTTCTAAGTTTTAAATTAACACTAGCCCAAGTCAAATTTTTGCTTGCAGTTCTATGCTGCTTGTAAGGTAACCTATATCTGCATCAGTAGCTGGACTGCAGCTTTCTTTTCTCAAAATCTTGGAAGATTAAAATCTTTTTGACTCAATTAATCTTGCCTAATAATGCATGACACATTAACACTTTTCAACACTGTGTACCTTGGTTGAAATCATAGTCCCACGGAACCACTTCAACACAAGCACCCCGAGAAACCAGGCATCTAATCTGATTGTATTTCAACCCACAATCAACAGTTATAATCTTTACATCGCCTTCGGGGTTATATACAACAGGTCTCTAAAAGAACAACGACCTTGTCAGTTAAAGAAATCAGAGAAAACAGAGCTCAGCAATTGGCATCAGGAAAGAGTGCTATCAGAAACAAAGTTCATAAAACATTCCGTCTTTCTTTTTCTATTATTCCAGAATACACACAGAAGTAGCCATTGAAATTGTTTTCCTTATTTAGAGTCAGATTATTTCATTTCCTAGGAATACTGTTATGATAGAGTTCTGTTAGAATGACACAAGAACTATTGAACCTAAAGAATAATGAGGGAACTAAGCATTGAAATTTTGTTAAATGAAGAGGAAATTTGTGTAGGAAGTTTACCTTCAATGAGACTTCAGCAACAAGATTGCGTTCATCAGGGTTATCAAAGGGGACAGCAGACGACTCTGTACCATGAATAATAATCTACAAAATTTACCATAAATACATGTTCTTCAACTAATGCAATTTACTTGTGTTGATATTGTGCACCAGACAAGTAAAATATATGACTCAAAGACCTTTCTGTTCATTAATTATTTTTAAAACAAAAAAGCTTAAACCTTTCCCAACATTGTGCCTTTTTCTCTGATTTTCTTTGTGAGTGCTCTGGTATCAACACCTACAAATTCATATTAGTTCTTTAGTCAAATGGCACAATGCTCCAACCTCTCTGATTGCCAGTGGATTAATATCACAGAATACTTTGAAATCTAGAGCATTAAGTACTGGGGATGTTGTATATAAGCATAAGGTTTGGATGAAATGTAAGTTCTAAATTATCATAAGGTATCATTCTACAGGGATGGATTTAACAGGACAATGTGAGGGGGGTGTATTTCCTCCACCCAAGGTTAAGTTGATTGCAAGAGGGGTGCAAATTTGGATATAAGCTATGACTAATCAGTACCAAATTTTATTGTTTGATCTACTTTAGTTGGAGTTTAAACAACCCAATCCATGCAATGTGTGCTTGTTCCTACCCTGATCCCAATCCTGTGGGGTAAGATTCCCACTTACCCTGAATGCCAGGAATGTCATGCTCTTTCAACCATTCTGACAGTGATTTCTTGGCATTCCAATGACTGTATTCTTCCACATAATCCCCAACAACCAAACCTGATAACCAGATTTTCTCTGACTCAAATGCCTCCAGAATGCCAAACTTATCCAGGCTATTGCCAGGTATACCATAGTTGCCAATGAGAGGATAGGTGAGAACCAAGATCTGGGCACGGTAGGATGGATCTGTGAGTGATTCAGGGTAGCCAACCATTCCAGTCTGAAACACTAGGAAAGTTTTATAGTAGCGAACATTAGGGTCTCATTGTGAAGGAATGAAATCTGCCAGGTGTGTTTGCAAGAGAAGATTGAATAGGGTCAGGGCAAGGTAGGCCGCAGGACAAGTTATAGAATGGGTTTGCTATAGGACTTTAGTTGGTAGGTTGATTGTCCTTTTATTTTAAGTTTGCTCTGACCAAGGGCCCCTCTGGTAGTTGTGGTGATCACCCCACCTCTACCCCCACAGCCGACCCACAATGCTAAAATTAGAATACATGCTGTTCCAATATTATTATCGAGGTATATTTTTCCTATCATCGACGAGTTTGATAAACCCCACGAGGATAACGAGGGTAGGTTTATAATCGACGGTCACGAACAACATATTCTCACAAACGAAAGGAAATTTTGCGTGAAAAACATCGCACATAACACGATAAACATCTTTGAATAATTTAAATTATAATCACGTATAAAAAGTACAAATATAAGATCGTCTGCGCTCTACATAACAATTAAAGTAAAACAACAAAGTAGAACTTCAATAACAACACCACAAAATAAAACGATGCTTTTAAGTAAAATTACTCTCGATGGAAGCCGATCAGAACAGTATTAATACTCTCAAAACATGCTACCATTCTTCACTACATGAATATACATCAGTAATCGGGTATTATACTATTATTCCGATCTCGTTTCAAGACCTACCGACTTCCCCAGGCGAGTTTCTGGCGGCTCCGAAGAGCTTTCCCTTAAATACGGTTCCGTCTTCAAGAACAAGACTTGCCATAACGATTACACTTGCGATCTTGCCTAGATCATGAAACTTTGAAAATAAAAAGCTACTTTTTCAACGGTTTTCGAACAATCCTTCGCTTCGAACACGTTTGACTTCACGTGCTCATTGGCTGAATTTGGCGGGCTATGGCGGGTAAATATTTGAAAAGGTTCCAAAATGCGCCAGCGAATTCTATCTGCATTTTGGACTACTTTATGTTATCTTTTACTTTCTCTTTTTCTCATGGTACCTGCTTTTCAGGGTTTTTTAAAACTTTATCGGTCAATAAATTTTCTTGCGTCTTTTTAAACCAGGAGAGGAAAAGAGTTTGCCTCATTATGTCTAGTTTTGCAGGTTAAAAACAATTTTAAAATTATTTAAAAATACCGCTTCGCATATGTTAAATTTTAAATCTGGTTTCCCATTTCTCGAATGGTGATTGGTTGTTTCATCGACCAATCAGTTTTTGGGGTTTTCTTTTCCAAACATGGCGGCCACGTTTTCGTGATTTTTTACAATTTGAACAAAATTTTAGAGGTTTTCATTGTTTTCCTCTTTTCAAAATGGACAAGGGAAAGAAGAATAAGAAAGCTGAGAGCATCAGGAAGCCTAAAATGAAGTCAAAATGGGCGAAACGCGAAGCTAGGCTGAGAAAAGTTAAGGATGAAGAGATTGAAATGAGTGCTCTTGATCAGGATATTTTAGCTGTGAGTTGGAAGATGTTTTTATGTATCGAATATCGTAGAATCGGCGTCTTTTGAGCGCTTATTTAGCAGCGAATGCTTTGCCTTGTTATGAAAGGTCTGAATTAGCCTATATTTAGTACATTTTAAATTTCTTAGACGATTTCAATTCGTAATTTGAGTAAACAACTCCTGACGACAACTGAAATAACACGATCTAGACTGACAGTGGTTCTAGGATTTTAGCAGAGAATTCTGAAATGATCGCTGACATGACTGACAACGATTCCTAGACACCACATATTGAATAAATCAATTCTAATTGAGTTAGATTGACAGCATTTGGTTGATCAGCTCTGTCAAATGATCAAAAGGTTAATGGCCGGTGTAATCCTAACAAGCTTTAACTAGACCTATTCATTGCCTGCATACATACACATAATGAAGTTCTGAATAATCACTACCAGGCATGCATTGTTATCATTGTTTAATTTTCCATAATTCTTTGTTTCTACCAAAGCTTGATGCTTCAACCATCACCAAGTTCTCAGATATTCCACTCTCAAGTCGGACGCAAAGAGGTGGGACATATCAATAGAGTTAAATGCTTGATCCTATTGAACAGACTAAATTGTTCAATGTACTGCACTTCCATTCATCAAACAGATGAGCAAGTGAAAGTAGTACAAAATATCAAGCTTTTTTTATTTTAAGCACTAGAAAGTTGTGCATACATAAATCCTACAGAGATTCAGAAGAAAAGCTATTCTTTATTTTAGCACTAGAAAGTTGTGCATACATAAATCCTACAGAAATTCAGAAGAAAAGTATACCAATTGCATTGAAGGGTTTGGATGTCCTTGGAGCTGCCAAGACTGGTTCTGGAAAGACATTAGCTTTTCTTATTCCTGTGAGTAAAGTAATGGCATAGAAATGTCCTTATTAAAGAGATGTCTGTGCCATATTATAGGGGTATCTGTATTTCATTAGAGAGATGTCTGTATAAGAGGTGTATATGTATGTACATCCATATTATTTATGTAATCTTTTAAAACACAAGTTGCTAGAGTGCTTATGGAAATTGAAGTGGTCAGCCATTGATGGTCTTGGAGCATTGGTTATATCTCCAACAAGAGAACTGGTATGTCTACTCTAAATCCGAGCTGAATTTAAATGAAGTGGTCCTGCAAATTCTACCAACAGAACCAAGTGAAGTTTTGCCTGCATAGGAAACAAATATTGTATTACTGTAGGACATAACATTTATTTTGACACAGGCGTATCAGACATTTGAAGTGTTGTGTAAAATTGGCAAACATCACGACATATCAGCTGGTTTGATAATTGGCGGTAAAGAAGTCAGTTTTGAACAACAGAGAATTCACAAAACAAATATCATAGTGTGTACGCCTGGACGTCTCTTGCAACATATGGATGAAACACCCAATTTCGATTGTGGCAATTTAAAAATGTTGGGTAGGTAATGGTTAGAAAACTCACCTCTTTTACAGTCAAATGGCATAGCAAGGAATCTTCTCCAAAGAAACTTATCATATCCTTCACATTGCTTGTCCATTTGTTGGACACAACAGCTTGTCAGAACTTTCTACAACCTTGATCTCTTTGCCTTTTAAATTCTAAACATGCCCACTATTAATCCAGGTGCTGTACTTCTCTCTAAAACCTGTTTTAACTTTAAAAAATGGCCTCAAAGGCAACTAGAGTTTCATCTGTTTGCAGTGCTTGATGAAGCAGACAGAATATTAGACATGGGCTTTAGTGAAACAGTAAATGCTATCATTGAAAATCTTCCTGAGGAAAGGCAAACACTTCTTTACTCCGCTACACAAACCAGGTAACGAAAGAGAGAATTGATATTGCATTACGCATTTTTGACAAATTTTGATGAAATATTGTGTATTTTTCCTTTAGCTCTGTGAGTGATTTGGCTAGACTAAGCCTTCACGTAAGTTTTCCATTAATAGCTGTGTACACTTTTTTACATCTACGAAAAACCGTTTAGAACTGATCCATTATAAACAAAGTTAGTTTAGTTTAGGTTTCCTCCTGTAGCAACATTGGATCAATAAGAGATGATCCTTACTCTAGGAAGAACAGTTCAGAACTGATAGGGCTATTCAGTATAAAGACATAGATATATTAATGGCATAGATATATTAATACTTTAGGACCCAGAGTATGTATCTGTGTACAAAGATTCCGAAGCTACCACGCCTCAGGAATTAAAACAAGTGAGCTGAATAACTTTCATTCTTTCTGCTTATTCTTTCTGCCAACCTAATCATTTATATGTACACTTCGCTAAGAGTTCTGCGATCCATTATAGAGTTACGTTGTTTGTGAACTTGAAGACAAGATCAATTTCTTATATTCCTTTATCAAAAATCACCTGAAAAGCAAGATCTTGGTGTTTCTATCCAGCTGCAAGCAGGTGAGTTGCGATCATTACTAGGTCAAAATGAAACAAAGTGTTTGTTTACGTCAAGAGCTCCACACCTTGATTCATCTTCATGAAACAACAATTTACTAATTCATCTTAAATACTTTACAATATTTTCTCAGGTTAAATTCACATACGAGGTATATCGTCGTCTCAGGCCAGGCGTCCAACTAATGGCACTCTATGGAAAACAGAATCAGATAAAACGTGTCGCGATTTACAATGATTTCTGTCGGAAAACGTCGGCAGTTTTGTTGGCTACGGATATAGCTGCTCGCGGCTTGGGTGAGCGAAATTCATATAAAATTTGAACGAAAGCGCTATGAAATTTGAGTTTAGAGTTTTGTGCACGAATTGTCAAACGATTGACGGGATGATTTTCATTTCAAAATGTATTTTCGAACAGATTTTCCAGCGGTTCATTGGGTGATTCAACTTGATTGTCCCGAGGATGCAAATACCTACATTCACCGGGCTGGAAGAACAGCAAGGTTAACCTCATGATGTTTGAAATAATGTTCACAATCTTTAGTAACCAATTAAACCAGAGTTCCTCATATCTCTGACCAGCTCTCCTTCATCTCTTCTTATTACGTGTCCATATCATCTCAACCTTGCTTCCCTCGTCTTCTCTGCAATGTCTACCACCTCACATCTTCTTCTGATCTCTTCATTTCATAATATCTCTGACCAGTTCTCCTTCATCTCTTCTTATTACGTGTCCATATCATCTCAACCTTGCTTCCCTCATCTTCTCTGCAATGTCTACCACCTCACATCTTCTTCTGATCTCTTCATTCCATAATATCTCTGACCAGCTCTCCTTCATCTCTTCTTATTACGTGTCCGTTTCATCTCAACCTTGCTTCCCTCGTCTTCTCTGCAATGTCTACCACCTCACATCTTCTTCTGATCTCTTCATTCCATAATATCTCTGACCAGCTCTCCTTCATCTCTTCTTATTACGTGTCCGTTTCATCTCAACCTTGCTTCCCTCGTCTTCTCTGCAATGTCTACCATCTCCTTTCTTCTTCTGATCTCTTCATTTCATAATATCTCTGACCAGCTCTCCTTCATCTCTTATTACGTGTTCATATCATCTCAACCGTGCTTCCCTCATCTTCTCTGCGAAATCTACCACCTCACATCATCTGATCTCTTCTTCTAAACCCTTCATCAGGTACCAAAGAGATGGTCATTCTTTATTAATATTGCTACCTTCTGAAGAAAAGGAAATGCTGAAAGTAAGTCCTTCAAAACAGGACTTTTACTATAGTTAAATTTACTTCGAAAAAATTCTCAACTTCTTTTCAAAGATATACCAGAACAAAATCTAAATAAATCATTGATTTCAGGAACTAGAAAAGAAAAAAGTCCCTATAACTGAGATCAAGTAAGTTCACCATTTAGGTTGTAATGAATGAAAAAGAGATGACTTTTGACTAAAGCTATATGTATTTTACACCAGAGCAAATCCTAAGAAATTATCCAATATTCAAAAGAAACTTGAAGGATTGTGCGTGCAAGATCAAGATATCAAGCAATGGGCTCAGAAGGTTTCGTATCGTGTCGTATAAAACAATTCCTAAAAGCCGAAGTAGCTTTGGCAGTTTATGAGATCAAATTTTCGATATTTTTTCCAGAGTGTGGTGTCATACGTGAGATCTGTTTACCTGCAGTCAAACAAGAAAATATTCAATGTCGATGCAATGCCGGTCGAAAAATATGCCGCGTATGTGATTAATTTATCATCTGTTCAGTTGTACCCGGCTATAAACTGCTCATTGAGCGGAAGTAACTTCATCAAAACATTCGTCTTCTTTTAGCTCTCTCGGGCTGTTAACAGCCCCAAGAATACGGTTCTTACAGGTAATACAAGAACCTATACTTCATATGAAAAAATAATAGGTACATCACTCTTTTGTCGAGTTTCTCGAGAGGCTAAGAGTTCTCTCCTTGGGTCAAACAATGTTGTATAAACGAAAAATTGCAAAAGTAAATGCACCTATTTTCTAAAAATTCTGTTCACGTACTAAATTTAAAATACTTTTTTACACTGCCGGTCAATTTGGCTACGAAACATAGGGTTAGTTTTTCAGGAAGAATATACCCAACTGCATATTTCATCTCGAGTTTAGTTTTAACGAACCAGTGACTTGCGTCCTTTCCACACAACATTGATTCTGTGGTTGTATTAATGTTTATAATTTGTCATATTGTGCACGTCTCCACAGAAAGCCAGAAAGAAACATGGCAAAATTTCTAAACAAATGGAGCCCAAGAAGACGACGAAAGAATTATCCGATCTTTTATCAGATGATCACCAGGAGAACGATTTCAATCATGAAGATTTCTTAGTTCTACGGAAGAAAAACGTCGAGATATCTTCTGATGAGGAAGAGGTATTTGTATACTCCTCACTATAAAAGACCTTTCAAATTTAGTTTAGATTTTCTCAGAGAATAGCTTGAAGCTGGTTCAGTCAAATTAGTTCAGCTTTCCTTTCAAACATGAAACAATTGGATATCAAACTCAATCCCTGGATCATATGAGATCTATATCCAGTGTAGGTGAGGTTCTTTTCATTCGATTTGAAATTCTGTCTTTCGTATAGGATAAATCTATTCAAGAGGAAAATATCGAAAACACAGCTGAGGTAAGTACTCTGAAAGAGTTTAACTTGGTTACAAGATGAACAAGAGATTCACTCGATATATTGTTTGCATTTTCTTCAAGAACCTCAGTAAAAAGAACAGAAACAAAACAAGAATAACTTCGGCAAAGAAAGTTTTGAGAAAGAACATCAAAATGAACAGCAAAGTGATATTTGATGACGACGGCGAGGTACGTTTTGTCACCTTCACTGAACACGAAATATTTTCGCCAGATATGACAGCTGGTTTCATTGATTTAACAGCCAATGCCAGAGGACACGCAGAATGATCGTGAAGCAGACGTATCGAGAACGGAAGATTCCGGAGGAAGCCCGCAGGAAGCAGGTGGAATTGATTTGAAGAACTCTTCGAAAAACCTCGTCAAACAAGATAAACTGGATAAACAGGAATTCCGAGACAGGATTAAACAGAAACATCGCGAGAAACGAATGAAGAACAAAGTAAAGAGGAAACGTTTCGAGGTACCTTACAAAGTGATGTTATCTGTTAAGACATTATATAGACTTTTGAACGAACAAGTTATGATAATACTAGACAACTGTCAAAAATGCATTTCACTGACAAAATTCACGAGAGTCAGAGAGCTGTTAGAGTACAATTGTCCTGCATGCGCTCTCTCCTAGAAATATGGTTAAGACCATGAGTGAGCTACACTTCCCATCTCAACGTTATTCCCGCCTTTTTCCATCAGAACGACGACGAGGTGGTTGTTACATTAAAGAGCACTGAAGAGGATGACCGCAGTACAGAAATGGATGGTGACAGTGACAACAGCTACAGGTATTTTTCCCTTATAAAATAAAACGAAAGGAAGAGCTGAGATGTCACATGCATTTTTTGTTTTCCAGCTTCGTCAATTGCTCCTTTTTGCCTTGTTTTTCTTGCCTTTTCTATTGGTTTTCCATTCTCCGAACTTTTGTTTATATTTATTGTATATATTTCGAAGTTAAATCTAAAAAGACGACTAGTTCTTTTCTTTCTTTTTTCAACAATAGCGCTCCACCAAAGCGATCAAAACAGGAAACAGAAGAAACAGTGGACGATAACGAAGGAACATTACGAGACGATGAGGAACTAGCTCTTAAATTATTAACTGACTAATGTAGAATAATATGCAGAGAATATGCAGATAATAAACCATGTTAAGACCTAAACTATCGACAAAAATTACGAAATTATAACGTAGCGTACAAGTTCATGTCATTTCAAACCTTTTTATACGCCAGGATTTTTAAGCGAACACTCGCGTTGTGAAAATTAATTCGCTATCGAAAATGGTGATCATTTAAGCGACATTTGAACCGTTCTGCTGTAAGGAATATACGCTGTTTGTATACGATCTATGAAACAATACATTATATACGAGGAAAAGAGCTTTACGAAAATGACTTGTTTTCGTTTGTTGTTTACTGTCTTCGAATCTTCGGTCGCCATCATGGATTCTGATGTCAGTTATATTTCTGCTTAAAAATAGCAGTGTATTTGACGTGTACGGAGCCGAAAATTAGAGTCACTTGTGGAATATGACTTTGTGAATCTGTGATATCACATTCAAAATGGCCGCCAAAAAGTTTCTTAGAATTTATTGTGCAGAAATGCGCTTCCAAAATGTGGTCCAAATTTTTTACATGCGATCTTCCTGCAAGATTTCGTCGATGTTCGCAAAACCTGCGGTTCTCGTGTAAACAACAGCAAGAAAATCGTTTTCTTGTCCTTCAAAAATAAAAATCTACTAAAAGTAATTTAGTTTCTTATCTTTTGTGGAATTTCTTGGATGAATCTTTGGCGTAGTCGAGGAGCAGTTGGCACGGTTCGAATTGAGCCGACCCAACTTCGGACTGCAATTGTCGCATCTTGTTCACGAGATTCTCGGCGCCATATGTATCCACGAATCGGAATGGCCCTAGGGGAGATTTTGAAGTATTGAAAATAGTATCAAATATGTAGCACACTACGGGTTATTGCTACAAACCAGTGAACTCTGTGTGAACTGGAGCGATAACTAGGTCGCCATCTTTGAAACCGAATAGGTTACCAGTGCCAGTCCATTTCTCTTTTTTTGTCTTCACGGTTTACGCTCGCGCCCACAGAAAGGGTAGAGAGGGACTGGCACTGGTGATTAAATCGGCTTGAAAGATCGCGGCCAAACAGGAGCTTTGATATCAGGTCACTGAACACAATGAGAAGCGCTATCCAGTCATACTGTATATATATCAGTTTTGAGCATGCGCATACCTCCGAGGAATGGCGGGAATCCTAAGCCGAAAACAGCACCAATATCACCGTCGACCTGAAATTGACAAAAAAATAATCTATGAACTAACATAATAAGTTAAAACTATTTGCCGCCTTCAAATTCACAAAACAAACCCCAGGTAGCCCAGAAGTATGTGTGTCCAGTTTCATATTTTCAGTCAGAGACGTACAATCAAGTACTAGTTACTTCGCCTGCGTATGCGCAGCGGAGTCTTAAAATGCCATGGTTTTTTTTCCTTTTAGTAGTAGAAGTTTTGGGCGACAGAAGTTGGCATTTCTACAGGTAACCCAAAACAACTTCATTTTTGACCGAGAAGCCCTGGGTTACACGGTCCACGGATGAATTATGTACATCAGTTGGCATGCAAGCGGAGTGAACGCCTTGAGTAGGCGTCTTGTTTCATACAGTTTCATACAACGAAGTCTGACTGCCTGAGCGTGCGTCACTGACTGTGATATACGAAACTGGACAAACATACGTCAAACGTACTTCAAACATACTGGTTTTTGAGCGGTAAACTTATGACGTACCGGACTATTTAGAATGCCTTCTTGTAACGTCAACAACGCTTCGTTGGTAAACCGGGCAGCCAAACGCATTTGGACATCTTCGGGAGTGTGACTGAAATAGCAAATAAATCGTTGATATCAGCGTCGTTAATACAAGCATTAATACGATTGCATCAGGTTTGTCAGATTCGCTGAATAAACTAGCCAAATAACTCCATCATTATCCTCAAGAAAATAAGGAAGACAAAAGGCCGAAAAAATGAAATGAAAAGATTCACAATGGTTTGGGATTCATTCTATCTGGAAGTCCTGTTGTGTGTAATATTAATAATACATATCACAAACACTGTAAAACTATGTTTTCTTAACAAACCATCTTCGCATATCATCAAATGTATGTTTCAAACTAAGACCAAGGCCGTAGGAAAGCTCAAGGTCCAATTGGAGAAACACGTTTATTTTCCATATCACTTCGGTAAAACTGACCATTGTGAAAAATCAGTTCCACTCGTGGATATGATATGGACTGAAAACTAGACACAAATCTTGGAAACTATACGGCACACATTTTATTTTCTTTCTCACTAACCTGCCTCGTTTTGGTACAGAGTATTTCTTAACAATATCCATAGCCCCGCTGTTGATCTAAAAAATTCAACCAATTTGTTACCGTCACAACAAACGCCTGGACCAGCATTGCACCAGCTTTCAACACATTGAACCAGCTTTATATTATCCCTCATGGTCCCTGTCACTCGCATTGTTCCCCGTGCAATCCACACTTATCCAAAACAAAGATTCCTTACTGTTTTCTTTCCTTTGCCATCGGGGTAGATATAAAATCCTTTCCCAGATTTTCGACCTAAAAAATGGGAAAACAAACATCAGCTGATACAAACACTAAATCCTTGAAATCAGCCTGAATAATTTAAACACAAGCGGTCTAGGTTAAGCAATCGTATATGAATTCGTTTGAACTGGTTTGAAATCATTACCAGGCCTGGTTTTCCGAACACAACCATATCCGGGCAAGACCACATATAAAACCCGGGTGTAAACAGAATAGATTTGCAGCGAATCAGTTTCTTACCAAGGAAGCCTTCATCTACCATGGTCTTGAGGACTCCGACATCGCCTCCTCCAAACCTGAACAATTAAAAACGACCATATTTCTCTGATACAAATAATCATTTGGAAGAAAACTGTGCATTTTAAACAAATCATAATAATCAAATGCTTTCTAAAAACTCTATTCTCCTCACCTTTCGCCAAACGCATTTCCCAGATCTTCGGCAACATGTGTGGCCACATCTATGCCAACCTAGCGAGCGGTTCAAGTTATTCACAATCAGTTCAATCAGTTATTATAAAACCTTGTCATATCTTAAATTTTTGCGCAGCAACTGAACTCTATATTTCATAGTTAGCTAAATTGAACCGCTGGACGGAAAACGCAGAACTGCAGGCTCGATCAAACCACAAGAATTACCTCATCTGCAAGCGTGGCTGAGCCAACAGGGAATCCAAAACTTTTCGTCAACTTATCAAGTTCCGCGGGCGTTATTCCCTCCTGTGAGAACGAGAATATTTCATAAGAACTTTTCCCATGCAAATTTAATTTCATTTTGATGATTTCATTTGGACCAGAGTGGTTTGAAAGCAAATCTGCGGCTTACTTGTATGGTGGTAAAATGCAGATTCGTCAATCATTGTTGCGAACATGATAGTCATTATATAGTGTACCTGTAACAATGCTATCACTTCGGCCATAGTTGGTGCTAAAATTCTTGTCGTATAAAATCCCGGACCATCCTACAAGCAAAACATTTGACTGTTGAAAGATTTGAAGATGGTAACAAACGACGTTAGGAGTATAGATGTAATGTGTTAAAAGGTTTCATACCTTGACAACTATGACTGTCTTTCCTTGTTTTAAACCAACGTCTACTGCAATTGCTAAATGTGAACATTTAAAATAGCAATCATATTTTCATATTTGATAGCTCTATCAGTTCTAAACTGTTCTTCCTAGACGTCCAGTAAGGATCATCTCTTATTGATCCAGTGTTACTACAGGAGGAAGCCTAAACTAAACTAACTTTATTTATACTGGATAGCTCTATCAGTTCTAAACTGTTCCTCCTAGAGATCCATTAAGGATCATCTCTTATTGATTAAACACTTTCCCACAATAAACCAAAATGAAACACAGTTATGGGTCCTATTACCTGCCGTCTCTTGGGAAGTCTTGTCTGTCGTGATAATTTCTAACAAAGGCATTTTATCCACTGGTGAGAAGTAATGCATTCCAACAACCTGCAATGAGAAACATTGACTCAACGTGCAGCGTAAAAAACTAGAAGTTTGCAGTGGGACAACTCAGTAGAACAATCAACTAACCTTGTCCGGTCGTTTGCTGGCCTCGGCGATCTGAAACGGAAGTGTTTAAGTCAACGAGAAATAATCTGATTTTAGAAACAGGTGGTACTTTCTTTTATTGATAAATTTATGGTTATTGCTGGTTTGAAAAAAATTGCGATTACAAATCAGAATACAACATGTTTATATGTAGTTATAGACAGAAGCGTCGGCTTGGAAGGAAGAGACTAACTCATCGTTCTTTAAAGTATTGTAGCACAGAGTTTGAATACTTCATGGTTGGTATTACATGAAGTACAGTACCTTGTGTATCGGCAAAGCTGACGTATTGGAAGCGAAGACGCACGTCTCTGGGATGACCTTGAAAAGAGATGAAAAGAAATTAGAATCGTCTGGGAATATATGCACTTAATTTCAAAAACGAAGCCATAATTAATGAACTTCCAGAGACCCACTTTAAAAGAATCAATTCATCAGCAAGCAGATTCCAAGAAGATTTTTTCTGAATCACGATGTATTTTAATATAGCAGGGGTTTTGCATCGCTATATCCAGTGTAATATCAGATCAGTGGCACTGTTTGTCGCGCACATGTTCCAGTTCAAAATATTGCAATGAAACGCTTGTCAAACAAGCACTCACCTCTTCAATCTCTTTGATAACTTTATGTTTAATATTGAGATCTTCAAACACAGCCTCGATAACAATGTCGGTTTTATCAAAACCCTGAAGAGATAGAAATCTATTGTGTCCACAATTTTCAATATTTATCACTTTTCTTCGTCAAAACATTTGTAATATTCTTTCAGCAATTGACACCCGAAACGTGATGTTCACGAGGAGTCCAAAAAACACGAATTAACGAAATAAGTCTGTATTTTATAGTGTACCTTATAGTCCAGTTGTGCTTGTAGATCAGATAACATTCGGTCCCTTTCAGCACTGAAAAATTTAAGTGTTTGAATGTTTAAAAAACTTTTCCAGGTCTTGAATTTTTTCCCCAATTTAAAAAAGGTTCATTACGAATTTCTTGGCACTCGCAAACGCTTTAGTCGCCCAGTACAATACCTTGTCATAGCTTTTCTTTTAACTTTTGTATTTAGTCTGTACAAAAGTATATAAAAAATAAAGGTTGAAAGTGAAACACTGAATATAAAACATTGCAAAGCAGTAGGTGCTAGACTAGTCAGACTAGTATTAGTAGCAACAGTCAACACTCAGTCAGACTAGCAGTACTGCAATGACCAACTGACATTGAGGAAGGTGGAAAGAGAAACACTTATAATAAATACATCGTATCAAAACAACTGACCCTTTGTAAATTTGGTCTTGTCCCCTTATTAAACCTTGTTCAAAATTATCTTTCAATATGACGTTGTATCCTTTCTGTAAGCTGACCTAAAGAAAAAACCCCAGATGTTGTTCATCCCTTAGCTTGCTAAATTTGAACAAACGGCTTCACACAAGATTACGTCATACAGAGAAGCTGTTAGTCTAATAATTTGTAGCCATACAGTACATACATGACCAATGCCGGCTCCCATAAGACCAGCTCCAAGAACAGCCACGGTCCTGAGGCGAAGAAAAACATTTTGTAATGTGACGATTTGTTGCAAATTTAGCGAACTGTATCTTTGCAAAAAAAAATTACTCTCGTATTTTACAGAAACCTACTTGGTATCCTGTTTTGGCTTGCCAAATCTGTTCTTTTTGCACTCCGTCTAAGAAAATATATAAAATAAAATACAGCATGAATCTTGCTGCAGTATTGAACCAACACATGCATGGCTGCATGGTATACAGTATATACCTGTCCGAAAAATAACGACATCAAGGCTTTGGCCTCGTTAGAACCGCCGAGTTCACCAAAACCCTGGGAAAGATAAAATTAAAACCAATCTTGAGGTAAGAATTCGTATAGAATGTCCCTAGGTAGGCCAGAAGTATGTGTATCCAGTTTCATATACTGCAGTCAGTGACGCTAACGCTTGCGAGCGTGCATTATCAGGTAAACTAATATACCAGCATATATACAGATCAGTGGGTGAAATCCCAGTACATACTTGAGCTTCAGCAAGATATCCCTCAGCGCCACCTTTTTCCACTCCAACTTTAGCGACCTAAATACCAACAGTCATTATTTTACACGAGAATCCTCGGAAAAAATCGGATCGTGCAATTTGCAAACGTCGTGAATCGGAAAGGCGAAACGGGTGGCCGGGGGAATGTCGGGCAAAAACTCGAATTCTGTCATGTTTTCGATAAAAAGCAATATTAAATATTAACAATATTTGTTTCATACTAAGACTAAGAGTATGGTTTTGAACTCAAAGTCCACTCTAAGAAACAAATTGCTCTACCACTATATTGGACATAACTCGTCATGGTATTTCGACCAGTATGTATTGATAACCAAATGAATGGTGCATCATATATAGTGACCAAGTGTTGCTTAGGAAAATTCACTCCTGTTTAACGCTGTTTAACCTTTTTGTTTGCTCCCAGTCTCTGTTTTCACAACCTAGTAGTTAGGTTCAGGGACCGCGGAGCAGGGTGGCTCGCTGGGCTTTAGCCCCACCAATAATTTTTCTGTAATTAGTCTTTAATTTTGAATATTTTTTAGTTAGCTCAAATTTACAAGCTAAAATTTACAAGCAATACAAGCGCCAAACATGCTGGAAACCGGCTTTACATTGGACAAGCATTTGACCATTAAAACAGCGTGGTTATCCATGTCAAAATATTTGACATCATAACCAAAGCATGGTTATATTGTTTAATGTTTGTATATGAGCGCCAAACATGCTAGAAACTTTACATAGGACAAGCATTTGACCAATAAAACAGCATGGTTATCCATTTCAAAATATTTAACATCATAACCAAAGCATGGTTATATATTTCAATGTTTGTATATGAGCGCCAAACATGCTGGAAACTTTACATAGGACAAGCATTTGACCATTAAAACAGCGTGTTTATCCATGTCAAAATATTTGACATCATAACCAAAGCATGGTTATATTGTTTAATGTTTGTATATGAGCGCCAAACATGCTAGAAACTTTACATAGGAGAAGCATTTGACCAATAAAACAGCGTGGTTATCCATTTCAAATTATTTAACATCATAACCAAAGCATGGTTATATTGTTTAATGTTTGTATATGAGCGCCAAACATGCTGGAAACTTTACATATAGGAAAAGCATTTGACCATTAAAACAGCGTGGTTATCCATGTCAAAATATTTGACATCATAACCAAAGCATGGTTATATCGTTTATTGTTTGTATATGAGCGCCAAACATGCTGGAAACTTTACATAGGACAAGCATTTGACCATTAAAACAGCGTAACAGATAACCATCCATGTCAAAATATTTGACATCATAACCAAAGCAAGGTTATATTGTTTAATGTTTGTTATCAGCAGCAAACATGCTGGAAACTTTACATAGTATGTATTATTTTCCAATAATCCTTTGAGAGGCATTTGGGGCGATTTCAGAGGCCTATGTATATTTCAAAATTTTCCCGGACTCTCCTAGCAGGCGCGCGGTGCCGAGCCCCAGCAATACGAAAAACGCTCCGCGGTCCCTGAGGTTAGCATCATCTGCATCGTGAGAAACGCTATTTGACTCAAAGAGGCGAAAGAGCCTAAATACTAAAACTTACATCAAGTATCTTCAGTGGAGCTGGATATAGCCCCAGTGACTTTTTCATGACCTAAAAAATATTTAGTTTATTAACCACACATTCCACTATTAAGATAGATCCAATATTTCGTCTCTGCTAATGCAATGCTTACTGTTTCCCTCGCTTTCTTAAAAACATAATTCCTCCCAAATCCTGTTTCTGTTGTAACTTTATACATCAGACCTACGAAAAAAGTCATTGGCGATAATTTTTTAAACCAGCCACAATTTAAACAAAATGTATATTAACATACTTGAAAGTTGAAATTTCTTGTTATCTTTTTCAAAAGCATGGACAATTCAAGTGTATAATATACCTGACATGGACGTCCAACTTTTTGATCTATCAACCTTGAGTTTTTTACTTGCTAAATCTCTGTGATAATAAATGAACCAAATTGTGAATTTTATAACACGTTTGCAATCAAGCTGTGTAATTTAACTAATTTTAGTAAGCTTCGTCTATTTGATTTTGCTTAATTTGATCTGCTTGCCTGGATAAAAGCATTAGCTAGTCTAACATACAAATTCACCACCTCACTTACTTTGCCACTTGAATAGAAACATCTTCAAGATATCTTAGAGTATTTGGTGCTGGTTCAGCAAGACCTGGACCTGAGGGAGTGAAAAAAAAAGTGATTATTAATAAAACAATACTGAATGAGACAAGGACACATGAGTTATTTTGAAAGCATGAAAGCATACAGATCAGGTATCTGTTTAAATGAGATCAAAGTGTATATATACTCCTTTTGAAAAGAAAAACCATGTTACCTAATGGATTAACAAGCATATCAACAAGCCCCATTCGTTTGGCTTTGTCAGCACGAATGTTCTTTCCCGTTAACATCATGTCTAAGGAGTCGGGCAAACCAACCTGGATTGGACCAAAATAAATTATATATTATGTACAATCTCAATCTAGAGGCCTTTTTAAGGATCATCTTTTATTGATCAAGTGTTACTACACAAGGGAACTAACTTTATTTTTACTAGAGAGGACTGTCAATAATAATATATCAAAATGTTCTTTGCATGACAGTAAAAAAACTGACCAGTTTTGGTAATCTCTGAGTTCCTCCAGCACCAGGCAATATGCCTAACATGACTTCAGGTGAACCGAGAATGGTTTTGGGATCCTTTACGGCAACTCTGTAGTGACAACCAAGTGCAACCTCGAGACCACCGCCGAGACAAGAGCCCATGATGGCCGCTACAATAGGTTTTGGACAGTCCTAACAAAGACAGATATATAACTTATTAATGGAGAAAAAAATGGGCCATAATTTGGAGCACTTTCGACGACACCATATTCTGATTAGTCTTGTTGTGATCTCACCTCTAGTTTTTGAATCATTGCTTGACCAAGAGAAGATACTTCTGCAAGCTGTTAAAAAGAAAGCGTGTAATCAACATTGTGTAGGTTTCATATTCATATCCATGCCATGAATATGTTTTCAGCCCAGCAGAAGTTTAAATGAACCTAATTCCAACCAAAGTCAAGGCTTCAAATTTCTGTATGGGAGGGACAAGGGGAAATTGAATCATGAAGAAAGCAAGTTGGAATTTATTTCTGACAGGTAAGTAGAGGTAACTATATATATTCTGGCCACTTTGTCTTTTAAATATGCTGTATTTATTGACTTTAACTGTTCATCTAAAACTACTATTGAAATTTATAACTTTGGTTACCTTTTCAGCTGTGCCAGCGGCATTCAGCATACTGAAAAATAGATGCAAAATAGTACAGTCTGTCAGTTAAATAAAAAACATTTTTAACCAAATGTTATGTACTGAAGTCATGAAATTCACATAAGAGTTTATGAACTTATTATTTCTTGAATATAAATGCTCACAACTAATTCCTATTGCCTCAAACAGCCAAGTAAATGACATAAAACATACTTTACATCAGCACCAGCGATGAAACAGCCTGGTTTTGATGAGATTAGCACAGCACTTCTGATGCTTGGGTCTTCAAAGACACGGTTAAATATCTAACGATAGAATAATGGACATTGGTCAAAGCCTATGTATAGCATACTGTACAGATCAAACTATCACTTTTTCCACCCTTTCAAACGTAGCATGCTGGTAGCAAACAGTCTTGCAGTTACCTGTTCAAATTCTGACATCAGACTTTCTGAAAGTACATTAACCTATATGAATATAACATGACATGTGAAAAACATGAATTAACACAAGTTATATATTATGGCATTGACGTTTGATATCTATGCTTTTTCAGGATGTATGATTCTGATTGCAATTAAAAGCTAGCTGATGTGTGACACAGCCAACTTGAGTGGATTAACCAGAAATTACATGGTCCTGCAAATCGCAATCAAATATTGTTCATGGAATTTACAACATCAACTAAATTTTCATGGATTGATTCTAACCTTGGAGTCCGGCTGATCAATTCTCACTATAGCTACTCCATCCTTCACTTCAACGTTGACATTCTTTCCTGCTAAAGTAAAACAATGCACTTGGCATTTTACAATGGATACAAATTACAACATGGCCCCCAAATAACACCCCTTCTCTGGAATATCGAGGATTAAAAACATTTTCATTAAATTAAGAAATACCTTGAGTTGTACTCATTAATTTTGCTAGATTCTTCACCTCCAAACCTATAAGTTAATTATTAAAGAATACAGATATCATTAAGGAATCAATTAATTTAAATCAATAGAAATAATAAATAATAGACTGTCTATTATTTCTATGATTTAAATGAATCATAGTTTTATAAGCACAAGACAAGCACTGAGCTTTGAAAGATAACTTTAGTTCATCACAGATATAACGTAGTTCTATAACTTTCCACTTCACTTTGAAAGACTGAAGGTCTGTGATATTATATACCAATTGGCAATGATGCAGAATTTAAAACCAATAAATACTCAATTTCACCACTTAATGCACAAAATAGCTCCGCAATTTACGGATCTTACCTATTACACACCCATATAAAGTGGTTTATGCAACGATTGACAGAAAAAAACGTTATAAAATGAATGTAAAACAGCCTTGTTCCTACCTCTGGAGATCGATAAACGTGACAAAGAAACATGGCGTAGTCGTCGAAAACTACTCTGAAATACCCGAGAAAGCATTGCTAGACACGGCCGAAGTACCGTTGAGGCCCGATTTGTTGTAAAATTGGTGAGATTTGTTTTAAAACTTGCAAAAACTGGCCAAACTTTAGCACAGCCACGTTGAAATATCGAGTTGGTTAGCTCAATTTGTTGGACCAAAGTTCATGATGCGAGGGGAATGGAACTAGACGCAAAATATTTCCGGAGAATTTCGGCGATCGTGAAAAAATTGCATAATATGCTAATGAGACAGTAGGCTGTTGTGGAAGAGAATGCTACGAAGCTGCAGACTAGCTGTAAAAAAAGCCTCCCAAATTCGCGTTTACTCGAAGATGAATTTTCAACTAGGCCTTGCAGCTGCTCCTGTTACACCGCTCGACAAAAATGGGGAATTAAATCTCTCCTTGATCGGCAGATATGTTGATTTTTTGCTGGAACAAGGCGTTCCAAGCGTCTATGTAAACGGGTGTACTGGGGAAGGACCAAGTTTTAACGTCCAGGAACGCAAATTAATCGCGGAAAAGTGGGTCGAGGAAGGCAGAAATAAGCTGGATAAAATCATAATCCAAGTTGGTGGCACAAACATGAAGGATTCCCAGGAGCTGGCTAGACATGCCTCAAGTATTGGTGCCTCTGCAATAGCTTCACTTCCGCACTTATTTTTCAAGTCAGACATGGCTTCGCTGGTCGATTATTGTGCTGAGCTCACCAGTGTTGTACCTGATATGCCGTTTATGTACTACCACATACCAGGCTACACTGGAGTTAATATTAATATCGAGAAGTTTTTAGAAGCTGCACAGCACAGATTGCCCAGCCTGATTGGACTCAAATACAGTCACAATGATTTATTTGACGCGACACGAAGCACGCTAGTTGCAGGGGGCAAGTACCTGGTCTCTTTGGGTGCAGATGATCTCTTTCTGTCTGGTTTAGTATTAGGTAGGGGTATATTTATTATGGCTGGGCAAGTTGGTATGTGGGTCAATAGATGGTAGTTGAGAGACTGGGGTGGTGTGGTGGGTTGGCATGGGGGTTATATAGGTATGTGGGTGGGTAGTATATTGGGGGAGGGTGAAAAGGTAAGAAATGTGGTGGATAAGGGACAAAATAGCTGGATTAGTAGGAGGGTGAGTCAATTGGTAGGTGGGTGAATCCATGGGTAGGTGGGTGGATAGAAAAGTATAAGGTTGGGGGAAAGTAATATGTGTATAGAAAATAAACAAGATCATATTTTCACCAGGTATTAATTCAGCAACTGGAAGTACATACAACTACTGTGGTAAATTAAATGTTGCAATTATGGAGGCGTACAAGAACCAGGACATGGCCGAAGCAATGAAACTGCAACACAAGGCACTTGAATATCTCTGGATCTTCAACAAGCATGGAGGGAACATCGCAGTTACCAGAGCATTCTTGATTTTGCTTGGATTGGATGTTGGGCCACCGAGATTGCCAAACAAGCCATTGAGTGACACGGATCTGCAATCACTGAAGAATGACTTGCAAAATGCTGGATTTTTTGACAGCAAATAAATTTTGAGTCCAATTACTTATGATGCTTAAAACTTCCTAATCAACAGTGTTTCAACTTGGAACAAACAACATAAATAATGTCCTAATTTCATTGTAACCCCTCTCCCATGAATTCTTGCATTGATCCTTAGTGTAACATAGCATGACACATGTAAAATTTAAATAAATATTCATTTAAAAAACACAGATAATTTACAAAGATTTTAAATAAATTAGACGTCAATAAATACACTCTGGTTTTGGATCAGTTTCACTGTATAAAATGCCAACAATTTGGGCAGGTTAACTATTGGAAATCCTGAAATAGAAGATAGAAAAAGCCTCGTTTTGAAAACATGAATTTTTCCTCTATAGAGCGTTGCTTATATCTTCAAATCAGGTAAAATATAGCCGTAAACAAAAAAATGTAAAGTAAAGTGTTTGGGCAGCGACCTCGGGTGAAAGCGATGAGTATTTATTTTTGAGAAGCTTGGACCACTATTATCCGATGGATAACGCTAAATCCACCTTTAGAACAAAGCCTGAGGAAAAATACCGGCGATTAATCTATGACCTTGGGCAGTTGCAACGTCAATGAGAATAGGGTAAAAAATACTGACCTCCCATTTACGTTTTCTTTTGCCTCAAATAACTACTTTTTTCTTGGAAAATTGTTTTTCTATGGCCGCCGTTATGGTTGATTTGAAAATTCCTGAAATCGTTCAGAAGAGATTCCTGACTCTGAAAAACAATATTCACAAGGAATACATATGTTAACTGTGCCCAAGAAAATTTTCGACAAGTTGGCCTGGTGTATTTCTTGAAAGAGTTTTAACTCTATAAGAATATCATAAGCTACGTGTCCTAATTTTTCGCAAATGAGAAACAAAACCAAAACTTCAACTCTAAAGGAGTAAATTACGTACATCCTCCTCAGTGAACTTGCCATCACTATGTTGATTATTTGCAGCAACGTCAACCATATGTCTGCGATGAAAAACAATTTGGAAACCTTTAGTAAGACAACATAAGAATGGGATGCTCCTTAATTACTGGACCTTTACGAAGAGCAGTTGAGAACCTAATAAAAATAATTATCTATAGTATGAAAAGTTTGTTTAGTTTGGGATGAATAAGAGATGATCCTTACTGAACCTCTAGGAAGAACAGCTTAAAACTGATAGAGCTATCCAGCATAAACAAAATCTGGAACCCAAAAATGTTAATGCACTAACAATTGCACAAACCCTAGCGAGTTGAGATTTTGAATCTTTTTTCGCAAACGTCCAACTGCTTTTAACGCCATTTCGTCTGAATCTTTAGGAAGATTTTGTTCGGACGAGTTTAAATTGTCGCCTTTGGTCGATGCTGTAACTTCCTCTGCTGTGTGTGTCCTCCGATATTTCTCATAAGACGAAGGCAAAGGTGATGAACGCCCAAGAACATTGTCGGACAATGACACTCGGGCAGAATTTCCCGAATCCTAGACGACGTAAAAGATCAACTTGTTAAAATAGCGTTATATGTAGCACTGCTTCGTACGAATGATATAAGTCTTTGACACGATTACAAGTCAGTCATATTTAGCGGTCTTTAAAGAGCTTAAACGGCAAGATAGTTCAGACCTCTTAGACTTGCTATTAGATAGATTGTTATGAGGACGATTTCTGATACTTGCCTGTTTTTCTTTGTTATCCACGAACGAGAAATAACCGTTGTCAGTTGACGATGAGTTCCGATGTTCGTGGGACAAGTCGTAACCAGATTTCGTGGTTTTTGGTGCGACTAAAACACAGCACGGAATCTGAGTTAGAAGGGCAATTGAAATTGACTGATTTGAATCAAAACTATATAAAACTTGCAAAGCAGTAAGTACTAGACTAGTCAGGCTAGTATTAGTAGCAACAGTCAACACTCAGTCAGACTAGCAGTACTGCAATGATCAACTGACATTGAGGAAGGTTGAAAGAGAAACACTGAATAAAACATTGCAAAGCAGTAAGTACTAGACTAGTCAGGCTAGTATTAGTAGCAACAGTCAACACTCAGTCAGACTAGCAGCACTGCAATGGTCAACTGACATTGAGGAAGATTGAAAGTGAAACACTGAATAAAACATTGCAAAGCAGTAAGCACTAGACTAGTCAGGCTAGTATTAGTAACAACAGTCAACACTCAGACTAGCAGTATTGCAACGAAGGTTGAAAGTGAAACACTGAAGTTCAAGTCAAGTGATCCCACAAGTAGTCTAGAGGTGCAACCATTTTTACGGGTAAGACATTCTTTGCAGGTTTTTTTTCATGAAGTAATCACCTCCTCTGAAGTTGAAGACTCTCTTTTCGCTGTTAATTTGACTCGATTTCGTTCTTTCAGAAAAGTTCACAAGAGGAAAGTTGTTGTCGGAGTTGCCTCGTTTATCCAGACGCGTTTTAAGCGTGTCTTTCTGAACATCGCTGGCATTCGTGAAAGAAGGAGCGATCTTTGTTGTCTGCCTCGTTCGACTCTGTTGAGAAGTGCGGCTACCTACGTTTTCTTGACTTGAGTAAATCTAAAAATGAAACAGAAGCCTGCTCGAGAAACAACTGTTCGAGAACCTTTCTTGGTTTCATCATAAAATTAAACATTATTCATGATTCATGATTATACCTTGTTTCCTTCCAGTGGCTGAAAATTTTCTCTTCTCATTCGTTCGTTTTCATTTCTGTCTTTTCTCATTTCTGCAGCATGACGTGCACAATACTGCCCCCTGGTGACTTTCCTATCCCCGCGTGTCCTCACTTCCTCGATGCGTCCCTCCCAATCCCCTGCCTGGGCAGTGGCTATCGTCTTGTAACTGGAGTCACATCGATGAACTTTACGAGCAACCTCCAACGGGTCGACTGGCTTCGGCGATGTTTTGTGGCCATCCTTTCGCTGAATGGCTGGAACGAAATAAAAAGAGGGAAATGAGACGATTAAATTGAAAACACTCTTATATTTGTCGAGTTTCATCACCGTTGATCAGCACTCACTTAGTCGTATCTGTCTCGCCATGTATCTTCCAATAAAACTAGACTCCTCTTCGTCATTACTCGTGTTTTCCTTTTTCTTCTCTGCCGACCAGCGATTTAAACTGCAAGATAACAGAAACAGCGATGTAAATAAAGTTAGTTTAGTTTAGGTTTGGATCAATAAGAGATGATCCTTACTAGACCTCTAGGAAGAACAGCTTAGAACTGATAGAGCTATCCAGTATAAAATAAAGTTAGTTCAGTTTAGGTTTCCTCCTGTAGTAACACTGGATCAATAAGAGATGATTCTTACTGGATCTCTAGGAAGAACTGTTTAGAACTGATAGAGCTATCCAGTGTAAATAAAGTTAGCTTAGTTTAGACTTCCTCCAGTAGTTACATTGGTTATCAATAGGGGATAATCCGTACTGGACATTTAGGAGGAACAGTTCACAGAAATGCGAAAGCTATCCAGTTTTGATGTAGTTCAGCTCAATTTTATAAAACAATGGATAAGATCAGCTAAGATTTACCCGCGTGAAGGTGTAGCCGGAGCCAGCCCAAAACATGCCTCCTTGCCTGAGTAGCGTAGGTGAGGTATACCTGAAAATATAATTATTGATGAATGATGGACAAGTGTTGTCATGCTAGGTCAAAACTCATGTAAACTGAATTTACTAACTTTGACCATAAAAAGATGTGGACGAATCGTTTCGTCCAATAGAATCTAGAGCTGATTCGTATCCCTGAATCTACGAGTAAATTGAATGTTATTCAAAAAGCTATATATTCATGACAAAACCCGATAAAAAAATACAGAATAATTCCTGGGTTTAAAAACCAAGCAACTGACGTTTACTTCGGCAAAGTGTTCGGGAGTGGTCGCTGTCTTGCATGCGTCGTGTGAGACAGACAGTGATGGCGTCTTGGTATTTTTTTGACGAGAACTTCCTCTGTAAGATGTCTGGAAAAGTAATAAGGGAACTCGACGAGTAAATACATATAGTAAATATATATCGAATAAAGCTTCCTAGGGGTGCAGTAAGGGTCCTCTCTTATTGATCCAGTGTTACTACAGGAGGAAACCTAAACTAAACTAACTTTTCACTGTAGACAGCACAATTAGCTTCAAATGCTTACATTCTTCAACCCTCCATCGGGAAAATCGTTTCCACGGTTATTCTTTGCGGCCTGCGTTCTTTTTTCTTCAGATGGTTTAACAGGCTAGAAAATATTGCAAAATGTTACTTCTGTGGCTCTTACTATACTGTAGCTCTGGAAGTAGGTTTTGCAGAGCAAAAGACTCCGAAGAAAAACCTCAAACCACAGAAGAAAACAAAACAACTTCAAATTGTATGAGTTTAGCAAGACCAAGAACAGGATACGTATTGCCCAACCTAAGTAAATCTTTTTTCCGACCTTCCAGTAGTGTTGAAGGCTGCCTCCATGTTATAGGGATTGTCAATCGTATTAAATCAACTATACCTCTTTGTCTTGTGTCTGTTTATCCCAGATACGCGTTCTACGTTTGTTTCTTTCCTTCCTTGTTTTCAAGCACTTCTTCTTCTTCTGCGCCCGCGGTGCATAAAAGCAAAGGGAATATTTACACGTGGAGTTTAACAGAAGTAATTCATGTCAACAATCATGATGTAAGACATGACGTAATGAAATACTACGTAAAAAAGTAAAGAGAACTTTGAAGTTAATACCTTTGATTCTTCTTTTTCGGCGTAAATGAGATGCATTGGCAAGCCATCCGACACTGAACTATCAGAGCCACTAGGGCTACAGAAAGAGAAACGTAAACATACTGCTTAATATCGCGAGTGATGTATTTTTTTACTATCAAACACCCAGGTGAATAACAACTTGGAATTCATAGCTAAATTTCGCTCGTAGAAGCACAAATCGCACCAAAAATTGTCAATATAGACAAGCCTTAAAACTTAAAAGGTCTGGCAATCTACTCAAACCACATGACAAGAACCAACCTTGAATCTGATGTTACGTAATCCGTCCCTAAGTCAACATCGGAGAGTTTCATATCAGGTTCCGCCAACCCTTTCTCCTTCATCCGCTCCAATATTAAAGACTTCACGTAGATCTCCACTTCGTTCAAAATTGCGAAATACTAGATTGAATTACATGTGATATGAATTACATGTTCTATATATATTTCATTACATATGAAAATGTATAAAAACTTTATGCATGATTATTTATGTACGATTTGAATGAATGCCATTTTCACAACGTCTGACGTTTACTACAGACGTACTAGCCTATTTCCTATACCTTGGACGTGTCTGGATCACAATAGTCTAACAATGTATCACAGAGGTGATAACCCATTGACTCAAAGTCCGCTGTTGTGAAATGTTCTCCAGCTCTCGAACCAAGAGTCGAACCACAAAATGTTGCCTGGTTTTAAAAAAAAAGTTTAAGACGATTTTCACATCAGTTCTGAACTGTTCTTCCTGAGGTCCAGTAAGGATCAGTCTCTTTTTGATCCAGTGTTACTGACAGGAGGAAACCTAAACTAAACTAACTTTATTTATACTAGATAGCTCTATCAATTCTAAACTGTTCTTCCTAGAGGTCCAGTAAGGATCAACTCTTATTGATCCAGTGTTACTACAGGAGGAAACCTAAACTAAACTAACTTTATTTATACTGGATAGCTCTATCAGTTCTAAACTGTTCTTCCTAGAGGTCCAGTAAGGATCATCTCTTATTGATCCAGTGTTACTACAGAAGGAAACCGGACAGCCCTAAGCTTCAAATTTTAGCCTATGCTCTTATACTCTGCAGTTACAAATTCAAATACAACCCAAACCGGCAAACGGCTACCACAGCTTCAATTCGTGCCCATACCTCCATCGTGTAGCTGTTGCTAATCCCCAAATTCCACATCACGACCCTTCCCGTGCCGCTCTACAAAAACAACAACAAAATTTACTTATTCCACTGTCTCTAGCTCGATTCAAACAAAATATAATTTGATATAAAACAAATACATAAATACCTTGCTTTTTTGCACTCTAAATTTGCATCGTTTGAAACAGAACTATAAAATAACAAACAAATAACAAAGGTGTCTATAGACAGTTTTTTTAATCCACCAATTACGTTTACAGTCGACGACGAATTTTACAACCGGGTTTTTATGGAGAATTGATTTAAAAAACAGATTGGGGAAAAGTATTATCAATACAGTCTTTCTCTTTTGCACCATCGTACAAAATGCGATAAGAAGTAATGATATATTTACTTTGTCTTTGCAATTTTGTGACATCATCATGGGAAAGACCCGTTCTTTAAAGCCCTGATCAAGATTCGCTCTATTTTCGCAGCCATATATGAAAACATTTTGCTGTCGACTGTGCCCGTGAAAATCACAGTATAACGTAATCTCTCGCTCTTGACTTAGCCTGAAAAAATAGTAAATTATACATTATAATCATAATAATTAACTATATTAAATTTAAGTAAATTAAAATAAATTTTCAGCATCCTTCTTACCGTTTTATCATTTCTCTTGTGTGCCAAACGGAAGGAAAAGCTTCCTTGAGGTTGGTCTTATAATTCCTGTTCAAATCTCGGCCAGTTAACGAGCAACGATAATTCCCTACGATGACGCCATCTGGGTTCAACATTGGTATAACTTTGAAAACGAAGGTGTCTCTGAGCAGCTTGGCGTCGAGGGTATCACTCGTGAGGTAATCCAGGAGACCTTTCATCATCCAGCTTGAGTTGCTTTCACCAGGATGAACACGAGCTGTAAGCACTATTGCACGCTTTCTCTACAGTGAGAGGGAATCATTTAATAGCTTCAAGAGATGGGCAAGACCACATTTCTATGTTAGAGTGGTGTCCGTACGTATTAGAGGGGTGTCGGTATTATAGAGGTGCCAGTATTGATAGGTGCCCATATTAGAGATATGCTCGCATTAGAGAGGCGATAGCATTGTAGAGAGCTTCGTACTGAAGAGGTGCTCACGTTACAAAGTCCGTATAAGAGAGATTTACCGTATTAGGGAGGTGCCCATATAAGTGTTTTTTTTGTATTTAGAGAGATGCTTGTATTAAAGAAATGCCATTGTATAAGAAGTAGCTAATTAGGGACATGTCTATATTAGAGAGATACTCATATCAGAGAAGTAAAGAAGTGTCTATATTAGAGAAGTGTCTGTATTATAGAAAAATGTCTGTATTAAAAAGGTATCGATCTGTATTGAAAGGTATAGAAAGCATCTGTATTAGAAGTGTCTGTGTAAGGAAAATGCCTGCATTATAAACGTATCGATCTGTATAGAAAACATCTGAATTAGCGAAACATCTGGATCACTGATCTGGATGTAAGATATGCAAGAACTGGTATTAATTAGAGAGACGAGTTGATAATTTAGTCAAACCTTGGCTTCCAAAGGACATTTCGACGGACTTGTGATAGTCATTAGATACACAAAATTTCCAGCCAAGGTTCTTGTCAACGTCCTCTGTTTGCAATACTGCGAGCGACAAGGATCTTTACATAACTTGCTCAGATATTCCTGCAAAGGAAATCATGCATTTTGCGATTTGTTTCCCCAATTGAATCGAGCAACAGCTGTAGCAGAACCACCGAAAGGAATACCTGTAGGTCGGTGTATGTATACGGATAACAATGGGCAAAGTAGCAACGATCTTTGGCGTGTGGAAATACAACAGTCCAGCTCAATGAATACAAGGAATGTTCACCTCTGGCATCTTCTCGCCTGGAACGAAAGTGGATTCAAGTGGTTTAGTTTAGGTTTCTTTTTAAGTTAGTTTAGTTTAGGTTCTGTAGTAACACTGGATCAATAAGAGATGATCCTTACTGGACCTCTAGGAAGAATAGTTTAGAACTGATAGAGTTAATCCAGTATAAATAAAGTTAGCTTAGTTTAGGTTTCCTCCTGTAGTAACACTGGGTCAATAAGAGATGATCCTTACTGGAGCTCTAGGAAGAACAGTTTGGAACTGATAGAGCTATCCAGTAGAAATAAAGTTAGTTTAGTTTAGGTTTCCTCCTGTAGTAACAATGACAAATAAGAGATTATCTGCAGGCTCTTAAGAGAGTTACAGTTATCTTCAGCTATCAAATTACAGATACATTTATTGTATAAATATCAATGACTCTTACTTAAGTTCATTCTTATAATATTTGATATTTGAACCAACTCTTCTCCAGCCAATACCCTTCTCTTTAGCCTCTTGTTCAGAGTACATCAATGGCTTCATACCACAACTGTATAGACTGCCAGACTGGATACAATACAATATATTACAATGGTCAGAGAGACATTAATAGAGACACTGAAGGTGTGTATTGCATATCTCATCAAATACCAACCTTCATCAAATTCATAATTGTGAATCTGTAAACTTTTCCAGGTTGAGTATTCTCAACCCGAAAATAATACCACTGGGTGTACTTCTCTGTGTACAAATCTGTCCGCAACCATAGCTGGTAATCACATGAACCACTGCAAAATCACATTATATATCTTTATAAGCAGAATTAGGCATGCAGCATGCAGTTTGATCTAATTAAAATTAATGTGTATACATTATTATATGTCACCGAATTCATCAAGCTGATATAAATAATTATTAATAGTGGTAACCTACATTTTAATGGCTTTTGATAGGTTGCCACTCTCAAATCTTGATTCAAACCATAACGTCTGCACATCAGATGATGAGATTGATTTCTGCACTTTATTCCCACCAGATTGTGAACTATCAAACTAAACAGTTTAGGCATTGAACAAGCGAGTCACAAGACCTTATGTCCATGCATGGTTTACAGTAGAATCTCTAGCTCTTATGTCTTCCCAGCACATTAATGTCTATCGACTAATTAGTATATAGCTGCATGTTTACCATTTAGAAACATTCCTAACAGGCAGCAATGATGATTCTACTCACATATTTTGAATTTCCAGATTTGTTCTCAAACACAACTTCTCCATCTTCAGGTTTTGTTGGAAAAGGAAGGTTATCTTCAATTTCTCCCAAAAGTTCTGAACCAAATTAAATTAATTGTAATACAATCTATAGGTTATAAATTGTTCAATCAGCTTCGACATTTCTCAAAATGTCCCGGGTTTAATTCTTTCGGATATTTTACATAGAATAAAAGAGTAAATGTTATGGGAAAACAGGTGGGAATAAACTCACCTGAATTATAAAATTTCTCAGGTTCATGTGGTAGGCTATCAAGATGTTGAGGTCGCTCTGAAATCACCTTTATCTCTGCTGGCCTGCAAGACGATAAAAGGTGAGCGGCAACTGGATATACAAATTTAATCTTGCCCTGCTAGATCTAAATTGTTTCATATAAAGATGATTTATCCAGTCCATAATAAATATCAAATTGGCTGCTCACTTGAATGCAGAGTAATCATTAAATATATAATATTATTCAACTATGTCATATTCAACTTACCAACGTGGTGTGTTGATGGAAGGGCTCTGTTTACTGGTCAAGGAATAAAGGTTTCTTGGTTCCCGCAACTTAGATACCTATAACACCATATTTGACCTCTTCATCAAGCATATCACAGATAGTGGTAATTTAATGATAGTGATATGATATATTAATAGTTCTAGCTCACATGCTGTGATAATTAATACCACAGCTTACTTACTTTCTTGCCCTCCTTATAGCTCACAATCAACTGGGTTGTTCTATTATAATCATTGTTGATCCTCCAGTCTTACAAGAGATTAGAAATTTGCAAAATGAGCAAATGAATACTAGCCTTTCCATTTATAATATTCTAAATATAGTCCATAGGTGATAAGCAATTGCATGGAGGTGTTAATTCGCAATGGTATACAGTTTAGGCAAATTTTTTTAAAATACAAATATCTTTATGAACAACAAACGACCATTAATTGACATGAAAAACCTTTACTCATCTCTTAAGGGAATAGCGATTTACCTGGGAACTGCACAGTTTTGCCAAAACTGAATCGTTTCCCGGAATGAATTCTCTTTTTTATGTCATTCTTTGGAGCTATTTTATCTTCCATCACTTGCACCCGAGTGTCCATCGTCACGATCGATCATGACATGCTTTTACATAAAAATATACTCCGCTACCATAGTGTAAAATTTGCATTAAATTGCATTAAATATATCCAGTGAATTGATCACACCAACTTGAGCAGCTATTAATCGTTGAAAACATCACCGATCCACGAGCAATCAACGAAAATACTTCATAATCGTACCAGCCTAAAACTTTCAAACCAAAAGCACGGTGTTACATCAAAAGTACAATCGTACAACTTGTTCCAATGTGTAATGGCTTTTGGCTTAAAGCCGACTCCTTGGAAACAAATGTTGACATTTGCAAAGGATTAACAAAGATATAATTTGCATTTCACACCAAACAACGCGGCAATTACCTTTGAAAATATATCAACCGTTTGGTAAACAAGGCATTGTCTCCTGATTGCACTAAAATGACAAGAAAAGTAAACAAATTCAAATCAAAATTCTACAACAAAATTCGCCCGTTTGAATGTTGCAGAGTTAAAGGGCGAAAGATCAGAGGGATAAGAAGGGTTTGAAATGGATAAAATCACAAATTGTATTGCTTAAAATTTGAAGAAAAATGTCTATTTTATCAAACGAAAACCAATAAATAATCTCCCTGTTTGCGGGAAGGCCCTAAAGACATACTTGAGTAAAGATTTTCATCAAGATATTGTTAAAAAAATGAGTTTTTTAAAAATTTTTTTACATATTTTGTGAAGTAGTATTTGTGGTTGCACGGGGATTCGTGTTGGAAAAACGCTGACTTTTTTCTCGCTTGTGATTGGTCGATTTCGTATGACGAAATCAAAACAAACGTTTTGATGTTGCATTTTTCGTTTGTAGAAAAAAAATCACAAAACAGAGCGTAAAAAGTGCAAAAAAGGTGTATTTTTACAGGATCAGACAACGTTTTTGGATGTTTCAAGACGCAAGTACAGGTTTTAATTTTGTCTTGCCTCTCGGAGAGGCAGGATTTTGGAGAAATGGAAGCAGAGATGCAGGAGGTACAGACGATTTCCCTAGCAATCGTCAAAACCAAGTGAGCAGTCCAAAAGACCTACCACCAAGTGCTTTTAAAGTTTATGACAAGGTTTCGGAAAAGCATAGATACGTTCCTCGCCAATGGACTCAAGAAGAATTCGAAGCTGCTTTGCCCGATCGATTTACAAGGAATGCAACGGTTCGTGAAGTTTTTCAAAACGACTTCGAACACGACGAATTCGTTGTATATAAAGATAACGAAGCTGTTTCATCGAGGGAAAGCGAAAATATCCCCCAAAATTCTCGAACGAAGGCGGAGATCGCGGAGAAAATAAGATATCTTAAAGAAATCTTCGAGAACAGTGGAACTTCTAAAGCCGATTGCAAAACGAACGGTGCTGTGTATACGACAGAAAGTCTTGGAAGAATTGTAACTGATGTCAGCGAGATGGATGAACTAGAAAGATGCAAGGATAGCGAAGCAAAGGTGAAAGTAATCGAAAAAGAAGACCCAGCTGAAATCTCGTACGAAAATGCAGAAATAGTAGAAGATGCTTCTAGCAAAAATCCACAAAAAATACACGTAAATTGTGATCTAGAAACCGAAGTTTGCCGCAACAAATTTTCCAGTTTCCTGGATGCATGCTTGCGATGTCTTTTGAATGTCGGACCGTTTGTTAAAATGGCGAATATCTCCTCAGGAAATAGGCGAAAGCCTGTTATAACGAAGCTTCAAAGTTTCATCGAATCGCTTGAGAATCCAGAACAGTCGCTGCCCGAGGACCCATTCTTGGAATTTCTGCAGAAGATCTCGGAAAGAAGCAACTGTGACGAGGTGCTCGCTGGATTTCTGGAAACTGTTATCAAAGAAACTCAAGCTGAGGACAGCCTGCGTCCCTTGTTCCATGGTGAATTCTGTCATATCAAAACGTGCGATCGTTGTACAACGATTGCAAAAGAAACACAGCCATTCTTGTTTCTAAATCCAACAACAGCACCTGGTCGTCCACCGAATAACGATGTTTTAGATGTGAATTTCGTATCGTCCAGCTTTGATGGTATTTGGTATATTACCACGCGGCAATTTACCATAAAACCTGGGATGACGTTCTCTCATCTTAAAGAAGATTTACTCAGCTGTCCTGAGTTCGAAGCATGCGACCCAAACTCCATCCGTATGGGCGAAGTTAAAGATGGTCGAATTATACGGACATTCAATGACAGTGATGAGCTGGGCACATTACTGCGAACCCTACCATCGACGTCGAGTATCTTCGCGTTTCACGTTTTGAATTTCACCAGCGAGTTTGCAGTGGAAGTCAGTTCATTCAACAGCACAGCAGCATGCTATCAGTTGTACTTCAACTGCGGTCTCTGCCTCAGCGATGGTAGCGATGTCCGGTTGTACATTCACAAGGGCTGTGGTGGGATGGTTTGCCGTGATTGCTTGGACGTGATCACGCAATCCTATCAGGACTGGGAGCTCTGTCCGTGTCCGATCTGTGAACGACCTATGGATCTTGACAAAGACCTGTGCAGAGCGAGAATGAATGACATAGTACCTCAAGAACCACACCCAGAATCGCCTAATCTTCTATGTCAGGTTATGTTTCGCGCAAACAAACCTATTGATGGAGGTATGATAGTTCAATGTTACCAAATGCATGTAAATCAGCATATATTACACTAATCCTAGCAAGTAATTTTACCAATCTATCAGTGATGCACTGTCATCAGCGAACCTAACAACCACGCATTGTCCTAAGTTACCCATAAATGAAACTAAACATGTTATTGTAGTGAGGACTTCATCACAATCATGTCATGAAGCATTTGGAATGTCAATTCCCTCCAAAATCTCTGTTTACATTCCCATCCCAAACACAGCCTGGTTTTACGCAAACATAAACTTGAATAAGGTTTATTTTTCATCCAGGAAGAGAGATTTTCGGTTGCCCTTTGATCGCAACGCTTCCTCGGAGTGTTACAGGACATCATCTGTATCGATGCATCGGCTATTTACTTCCAAACACATTACCAATGAAAGATAGAACTTCGTTCACCCTGCACACCGTCGGCAAATCAGGTTCTAGCTGCTCGGCTTGTCCAAAGGATGCCTGTAGCGGTTGTCTTGTTCGCATCGACGACAACGTGCGAATCAACCGCGACACAAACTTCGTGGTGCATTTCGACGATCTGGCCGAAGAGTCGATGAAGTGTTTCGGAATTCCTAATCCTGCCGAAACAGCAGCTTCTGGTTCGCGGGGATTTTTCGATGGGATTCTGCGATCTTGTGTGAAAGCATCAACTTCAGACGGAATGGTTTGTCCGAAGTGTTCCAGTGTTTGCAAGGTATGTTGATAAACTGATGCCTTTTTTTGTTGGTTGGTAAATCAGTTAGTTCGTTGATTAGTTCTTGGATGATGGTTCCAGTAAAATTTTAGTATTTCACAACCGACATTTCGCATCAAACATTGCAAATTTTACCCATTCAGAGATGACCTTTTTGGCTTTGCCTTTGGTGAAGTACTCCATTCTTCTTGCCTGGCAAAATTCAAACACAGTTTAAATTACCCATTAGCTACAGGCGTTCAGATCATATATTTTAGGATTCCTTGGTCAGTGAGCTACTGTGATTTTGAGGCCGTTTTAAGGGTGGGAAAGCTTAGCCAAGCTGTCTCGGGTTAGTGACCAAAACTCCACCTAGTTCTTATAACACTGTACACCTCATTGATCAATTGTTTTTTAAAGGTTTCGTCATCAATCTCGGAGTTTCCAAAAGTCCTTCTTATTCATCTCAATCGTTTTTACGTAGAGCAAGGCTTACTGGAGGCCACAACGATTGCCGAAGTATCCAGGTTTGCATGCATGCATAGTCAGCTTTTCACAATCATCTGGAACCGGTTGTTCGAAAAGCGTTTAGCAAAGTTTGGAATAGATAAGCCAAAGTTTAAAAATACTCTCTTATACATCTTATATGAACGACTGAACCTGCATCTTATGCATTAAATATGTATTTACATTAAAAATTAAACTATTTACATCGAAATATTTCAGCTCAGTTGTTCAATAAAGAGATAATTTTGTTTTCCATTTTGAACTTATCCACCGCGTTTAAGCTAAACGCCTTTCGAACAACAAGCCGTATGGACTTGATTGTGTTTTGTACCTGTATTACTTACATTTACGATTCATCCATTGCGATATAATTGTATCCGATCAATTCAACTGCAGGTTTCTGGTGTTACAACATAGCAATAACTCCATCAGGAACAGCGAAGGCCCAGTTTATCAGCTAACAGCTGCTGTCCTCGCAGACGAAAGCGGTAAAGATCCATCGTACAAACCATTCGTACAATCCAAAGACGCTTGGGTGTCTTTTGAGCGATCCCACACGAGTGAAATCGATCCATATCGACAGCAGCTTACTAAAAACAGCGTTCTTTTCTATCAACCGGTCGAAGACAAAGATCCTCCTCAGAATGGACGCGTTTTGAAGATGCCAACGTTTGGGAAAAGTGAAGAAACCCGCGGAATTCATGAGCCAGCCAATAAAATTCACGGTAAAAAGCTTGCTACTATTTCAGAGGAAACATCTATCGCAAAACATTCGTCGGATTTCAGGAAACAAACTAAAAAACGATCAGTGCATCGAAGCAGTTATGACCGACAATTTGAACCAGGCGAATTGCTAATTGAAACAGGTATGTTAGTTGACTCATATGATACGATGGATTTCAATAGTGATTGTAGAAGAATACAGTTTATACAGTTTCTTGAAAGCTGTTAAAATATTGGCATCTGAATATTTATTAGCTAAAACTAGAAGATTTGGATTGAATAAAATCCTTCGGGAATATCGCGTGAGCTAAAAGCTATATTTAACATCTATCCAAACCTGCCTTTAACGATATTTTCGGGAGACACCTCCATGCAAGAGACAGGTATGGATCGTATATTCTATGTAACAGGTGTTGATCTGGACAGAAGGCGAGTTACTTTGAAGCCAGACATCTACAGTTCCCAGGTTTCTTTGGGAGAAATTACCATTCATCCTGACGTCTCAACCGTGGGTATGCCCGCAAACATCGACGGAATCAGTCCAATTTTCGCACAAGAGATGCGTGACACAGCGCCGACAAAGACCAGCCGAGAAACGAAGAAATTGATCAGGGCGGTGAAACGTGAGGACGCGTACGGAATCGTGTGTTCTTTAAAGAGAGGCGCTGACCCTTGTCTCCTGATTGACGACGTTTCAGCGTTGCATTTGGCGGCAGGAATTAAATCCGATCAACGATGTTCAATGGTTAGTTTTCAGTGTTTCTTAATTCGCTATAATTGAAACGGGGCCTTTGTTTTACTATAGGGAATGGACAATTTGCATTTTAAAATAACTCTTTCTACTGTATTCTAAAAGACAGAACTTTCTCACTGATCAATAATGAAAAAATTTATGTTATACTCAATGAGTGTGATTACATCCTTGAGATTAAGTTAGGATTTGGGATCGATTTAGGAACAAGTGGTTAACGCTAATTAACCCTTCCTATTATGAAGTAATCTCAGGATTCGTGTATTTAGATTTTACAAAACATGGAATTATTACCCAGAAAAATATTTCCTAATCCATTTTTCTTTACACCCCCCCTGGTGCAGGTCGCCTACCTTCTGAAGCACTCCAATGATGTGAACGTCGCGACGGGGGACGGGACAACGCCTTTGCACGTGGCCGCGGCGTGGGGCCATCAGGACGCTTTGGAATTGCTTCTTTGTCACGGCGGAGATGCGTTCGACAGAACAGACCAGGATGGCAACACCGCATTCGATCTCGCATCGAAAGATTGCTCCAGTTTCCTTCGATATTACCAAAAAAGCTGCGCCGACTCGCCTGGATCTTTCCCGGGTCCATCCACGAGCTCTCGGGCTTCGATTGCCAATCAAAGACTCGAGGATTTAGTTCGTTGCAACGTCACCCTACCGTCATTCGTACAAGAAGACGTGAATCGCTCTCGTCTGCGCCGGCGTTGGCTCGAAAGGTTCCGAAGTTTTCGCAGCAAATCTTCCGGAGTCTTGAGAAACATTAGGCGACTGAGTAGCATCAGACGTCGATCCCGTATCGGAGTTTTGGTCCCATAGAGGCCGATGGCCCTTTCTCATAATGACGTCAAACGCGGGAAGTTTGACTTCACACGAGGTCTTTGATTGGCTCGTTAGTTTTGCGGGACCCAATCAGACTTCAGTAACATCAAACTTTCCACGTTTGACGTCAGTGATGAGAAAGGCCTATTCACACAGGCGATATTAATGCGTTTCCTGCGATTTTCTTCCTTTGATGGATGTGACACAGTGGATAAGTACGGGATGAAAGAAATAAAGATACTTGTACCCTGCTTATAGACAGAGAATTCTTACAATTCGCTTCTTTGCATCTGTCAAAAGAAGAAAATCGTAGCGAAATAGTTCGTGTGAACATCGCCTAGATACAGGGTTTCCACTTTACGAAAAGCAAAGATGATTTTTTCTCCTTCAACATTATATAATTTTATAAAGAGAAATAATCCACTAAAGAATGCCTAAAGTGTTTATTGAATAACTTGACGATCTACAATCCTCACCCACCATGGCTTCAGGCATACATTCAATTCATTTTATTAGTATAAATTATTATATTAAGTAAAGCAAAGCAAATATTATGAATTTCAAAAATTCTACATCTTATACTTGTAAAACTGTGTTCCATAATAAAGCGTTTTCCGAAGATGTTACTGGTGTTTTAACTTTATGGTTCAAAACCAATACAGGCTAAACGCAAGAATGCCGGCTTTTCCTGCAGATTTTCTGGTATAAAAGTGCATGTTCACTAAATCCTAGATACACGAATTTAATTCTTCAGATTAGGTTAGGCCGATTATGATTAAGTCTTAAATTAGGCTTATGGTTGATTAAGGTTAACGCTAATTTTAAATCAAACCCTAATCCTAAACTAATCTCAAATATTAAATTCGTGTATTCAGAAGTTAATACCGGTTTCCTTTTGTTGCACAAATTAATTATGCACGCAGGTTCCTCTGGGACATTTTGCATTATATTAATGTAAGCTAACTACCGAAATACTCTAACCTAACGGACCCTTATAATCTTTACACAGACAAAATTTCCTAACATGCGGTAGTTTCGCAGCCACACACTTTGGCTGGTCGCCATATTGGTTTATTCTGCTAATGCTGGTTCCCACGATGAACCTTCTTTTGTGATATTTCACGGTAGCTTCGAACAGACCCTCGCTCGGAGAGGTTTGAAATTGCAGCTGATACCGGCAAAAGTATTCTTCGCTCTGCTTGAACACCGCTGCCCCACTAAGATGCGTCTTCACAACCGCCTCATTTGGCCTTTCCAACTGCGCGAAGTTTATAGATTTCAGCGATAACTGAGCGCACATATTTGCACTGGAGTTATCTTTCGACAATAAATCGTTCATATACTCGATGGCAGCCAAACCAGCCTTTTGTATATGCGGGTGGTTAACATCGACCGTGACCCATTGTAAACATGGGCACCAGTGCTCCACCGTCCCGGCATCTTTACACGTCCGGTTTTTCGGGACCTCCACGAAAAGACTTTGCCCGCGCGTGATCCCCGTCGGGAGGTCTGGGTACGAGAGCACGTGACGGAACGTCGCGTAAACGTCGAACCACGACGTAAGCCTCCCCCGGTTTATTTTCAGATTTCTCATAACGTTAGGGTATTTCGATTCGAACCAGGGGGGAAGGATTATCGAGAATAAAGGCAGCCTCTCTTCAAGTTTTCCTTGGACCTGGGTTCTTACCTTACCAAACCTGAGCCCGTGATCGCCCATCACGATGACCAGCGTATTTTCCAGGTGACCCTTTGCCTTCAAATCGTTCAAAACGCCCATTAAAGCCCCTTGGTTCTTCTTCACATTGTTGATTTCGTGGTGCGAATATCCAGCTGAAACGTAGAAAAAATTATTGTCAGTAAATATGCTAAAATATACTGAGATTTCGCCGGTGAACTATAACACCACTGGAACGATATCCAGCGACAGACACGCCAGTATATATTTGCCTAAAGCAAAAATAGTTTTCAAAGTTTTGAGCTGAAACAAACCCGAAAAACATCGGGCTGCGTATGAGACTTAAGCCATTGAAGACTGCCATTTGCGGTGTAAAAATTTCAAGACTTGAGTAAAAAGATAAAGATGTTTTAAATATGAAAACAAATATACGATTGTTGCCAAAAATGGATGATTATAGGCATTTAACTTTGTATTTTTAAAATAACTAAATTGTCAGATTTTGAAATATTATTTATTATTTTGAAATATCTAAATAATTTTGAAACATCTAAATTGTCCAGGGCCCTTTTTTTGGCTTATTTTACGAGATTTTAAAACTAACCGATGGGGTGAAAAATTCTTACCGTTAAAAGAAACGAAGAACTTGAGCTTCTTCGGATATGAGTTAAAAACAGTGCTGACGTATTCCCAATGGATTGAAGGCACATTTCTGTTGTTGATACAGCGGTCAGTGGGGTATCTTGTCCTCCGGGCAATATCCAGGAAGAAAGGACGAGGGTAGAAATCTGTAGGAGGATCTTTGAATCCCATGAGTCGATACTGAAATGGTCCATCCCAAATGCCGTCTTCGGTTATTCCTGTCAAGTAACCGTATTCTGAAAGGAAATTCAAGTATTTTAATCACTGATCTTTAATACTTAATTACTGAATTCCAATACTTTATATTTAGGATTGAATCATTAAATTCCAAGTCCAAACCTTTAGGATTGAATCACTGAATCCCAAGACTAAATCTTTAGGATTGAATGACTGAATCCCAAGACTAAATCTTTAGGATTGAATGACTGAATCTCAAGACTAAATCTTTAGGATTGGATCACTGAATCCCAAGACAAAATCTTTAAGACTGAATCAGTGATTCCAAGACTAAATCTTTAGGATTGGATCACTGAAACCCAAGACTAAGGATCACTGAATCCCAAGACTTAATCTTTAGGATTGAATCATTGAATCCCAAGACTAAATCTTCGGGATTAAATCATTAAATCCCAAGACTAAATCTCAGCACTTGGAAAAACGACCAAACTAATTCATAAAAGCAAGCTAAAAAAAATGAAACAAACCCTTCATTTGTTTAAAGATCCACGTCCATCCATCAAGCGGCTTTGCCCCAGATTTCCCGGTTCTGGCCTCGTACTGTTCTTCCACGTGCTTGCCCGTCAACATGGCAGTTAACTGCGGTGTTGTACCATCACCGTTGACTGTATGCCCGGTGAAGAACAACCCATTATTCTCCGTTATGAACTTGACAACCTCGGGCAACTTACGATGTGTGTTGCCGTATGACAAGGAATCAATGCCCAACACCAAGATGCTCAATGGCATTCCGGGTTTCTTTGCGGAATCCGTCTCAACGTTGCGACTTTTGGTTGCAACTTGCAAGAAAAAGTCCGTCTTGGTTTGACCATTTTTGAAGCGGAACGTGACTTCGATCATGTCGTCTGGTATGTAAGTCTCCGACGTGATTTCGACTGCCGGACCCAATTTATGAGAAAAGTCGCCATTTCTAAGCACTGGACGATAACTAGCAGAGAGAATGTTTGGATCTACAGACAAAGAGAGATTCCTTTTAATACACCAATGGATAGATGCAAGAGTTCTAAACTGTTCTTCCTAGAGGTCCAGTAAGAATCATCTCTTAGTGATCGAGTGTTGCTACACGAGGAAACCTAAACTAAACTAACTTTATTTATACTGGATAGCTCTATCAGTTCTAAACTGTTCTTTCTAGAGGTCCAGTAGGAATCATCTCTTAATGATCCGGTGTTACTACACGAGAAAACCTTAACTAACCTAACTTGAGAGGTCCAGTAAGGATCATCTCCTATTGCTCCAATGTTACTAACCTAGACCAAACTGACTTCATTTAAATCTGACAACTCTAAACTGTTCTTCCTTTGGAATCCCAAAAAAGATACACTCTCATTGAAAAAGTGTTGCTCCTGGAGGAAACCTGCAGTACCATAAACCATGCTCTGCACCTACCAATGAATTTCAATTTTCCATCCCACAGACTGCCATATGTTGTCCCAGGACAATACGGTTTTCCCGTTTCCTTGATATATTGCATGATTGACGGATGGAAGGGATCAAGTTCTGGTATACGGCAACTCACGGAATCCTTATTATTCTCCGCTTTTTTCACCGAAGGACATTCCGCCTAAATAAGAAAAATTAGGTGAAGTTAGATCATTTTGTAGTATTTTCTAGCTCAATATTTCAGCTAACTCAAACATCTTTATATCTAAACTGTTTTTCTCAGAGGTCCAGTAAGGATAATCTCTTATTGATCCAGTGTTACTACAGAATTTAGCTAAATAATTTACCGCTTTATCCAAAAGAATCGAGCTCATCCAATCTTCACTTTCCGGAGCCTGTAAATAAATTGCACAGAAGAAATACAATTAAACTTCAAAACAAACACCTTTAAACATTTTAGTCGAAAGCAGAGAATTAAAAAAATTAGAGTTATCATTCAATGTAAATAAATAATTTGACATGAATATAACTATCACTATCTGCCGGGTTCCTGTGCCCTTCAACATATATCCGCTTAGTTAATAGTTATTATAGTAATTTACACAAAATATGCCAAATTTCCACGGCCATATCTTCCCCGCTTCCCAATATTTCGCAACTAAACTTTACAGGTTTGCCAAGTTTGGGATGCTTTTCCCAGCCGAAGCGGTGAACATTTCTAGTTTTCAAATTTAGTTTAATAAGGGAGCAGCCGTTATTTGAGACCTATATATATATCAAAAAGCTTGCAATAAACTACGATGCATTGTGCTGTCAAAGTTTGTTTCTATGACAGTCTATATTTAACAGTTATTCTGCGAACTCGAGTCGTATATGAGCTATCGGCCATATATGACGAGAGTGAGCAGAATAACTGTTTTATTATATACACAAACTTTGTCGCCCTTTCGGTGCATTTTGGTGTGCTATTATCATCTAAAGCTTGGATTTCTATTTCACTCAACTCCCCAAATCTTTCAGCCATTTTGTTTACTTTCTCTACTAGACAGATATGAGCTAATATCTGTCTAGTAGCCAACCAATGAAATTGCAGCATACCTCATATCTGGCGCTTGTGTATATAATAATAACATGGATTTCGAGGCCTGATTAGCGGAAACCCTTTTTTGAATTTTAACTGGCTGTTTTGTTTATGACTTATGTATTTTTGGATGGCTGTTAAACAGTTTGTACGTTTCATTTGTAGCTACGATAACGGAAAACCTGGTGTTGAATAACGTGCTAATGGTGGTAGATTTCCTACCTCAGCCCCGAGGCACAGCATACCTTAGTGGTGCTTGGTTTCTTTGTGGTGCTTGGTGCTTTGAATATGGTGGGTTTTTTAGAGGGAAATGGTGCTGAATCCTGTGTTGTGACCGGTGCCTGAGGCTGAAGAGTTTGTGATTTAGAATCAGGTGAATTGAATCGTACGGGCTGTTTAGAGGAACTTGGTGCAAAATCTTGCCTTGCTAATGTGCTTCGATTTAGGGTTTTACCATCTCGAAACAATGACAAACCAAGATTATTAAATGGAGCGGACGAGGAACCTTGTGTCCGCAGAGTGCTGGGGTTTTTACTGTCACTTGTTTCAGAATCTTGGGTGCTCAATTCAACCCCAGTATTTTTCTGTAAAATTTTAAAAAAGCCACTTTTTGATCATTTTAAACTTTCAAGATTCTGGGAAACAAAGCCCCCACCCACCCCTCACTGCACCCACCTCTCACTGCCCCCACCCCTCACTGCCCCCACCCCTCACTGCACCCACCCCTCACTGCCCCCACCCCTCACTGCACCCACCCCTCACTGCACCCACCCCTCACTGCCCCCACCCCTCACTGTACCCACCCCTCACTGCACCCACCCCTCACTGCACCCAATTTTTTTAATGAATGAGTCATGCAATGTTTTTCAACACCCTCCTTTTAAATTCATTGAAAAATTCTTGGGCCATACCTCAGTTGGATTTCCTTTTAGTCCTTTATCTAATATTCCACGAAATGAGCTCTGAAATATCATGTCATTCATTTATTAAAAGCTGGGTAGAAGGCTTTCTGAAAAAGTATGTGGCAACTACTCTGGAGTTTGACTATAAGCAATAACTAGCAATTGTATATACAATAAGCAGTGTTATATTATAACATTTATAGTATACGCGCATGCTGATTGGTCGAGAAGGGTGTTTCTATAAATGTATAGAAACACAGGAATTTAAAGAAATAGAAATAGAAAACATTTTTTCCTGTGTTTCTATACAGTTATAGCTGTGTTTCTATACAGTTATAGCTGTGTTTCTATACAGTTATAGCTGTGTTTCTATACAGTTATAGCTGTGTTTCTATACAGTTATAGCTGTGTTTCTATACAGTTATAGCTGTGTTTCTATACAGTTATAGCTGTGTTTCTATACAGTTATAGAAACACTGTAACTCGCCCTACAGGCTCATGTTCCCACTGATTATTTCTTGTTCTCCCGGACTCCTATGTGTGTTTCTATAACTGTATAGAAACACAGAAAATGTTCTCTATTTCTTAAAAATTTGATGGGTTTGAGTTTATTTTCAGAGTTGTTTGAGTAATTAGTGGTGTTGTTTGAGTTATTAGTAGTGAAAATAATACCATGCTTAAAAGTCATAAATATTGACAGCCTATTCATTGCAAATACTTTACCAAGATGTTCATGTATGAAGTGGAATTCTTTGTGGGAGAGGTGCTGGAAGAATGGGTCTATAAATGACATACAACATGGTCAACAAGCAATATTCTGAATGAAAGATAATTTTCATCCAAAGTTATAACCAATTGTACACAAAGTAGTTTTTACCTCAGAGGTCTTGAAATAACTGACCCATACAATTAAGAAACCACAAGCAACCACAAGGAAAATATACAGACGTTGGCTAGTTTGCATCTAAAGACAAGAAAAACACATATATAAGTTTACTCAAAAGTACGCAAACTTCCTTTCCACAAAACAAGAACTTTACAAGCGTAAACTGAGCACTAAGCATTGAATTCAAGCAGGCTGGCAGAGATCAGGGGCCGGTTGTATAAAAACATAGTTAACTTTTAACTATAATTAGTGACAGAATTAACCAATCAAAGTAATTTATTTCTGAGTTAACTGCGATTTAACTACCGAAAATGTAGATAAGTTCCAATATAACCAGGGAACATCGTCGCAGTGTCTTCAAACAACTTAGCATAAACAAAAAAACACTTCTCAACGTTTCGACCCGAGGGCCTTAATCAGGAGAGTTCTCAAGCTAACTTCCCTGACGAAGGCCCTCAGGTCGAAACATTGAGAAGTTTTTTTTTCTATTTTAGGCAGTTGTTATACCTCATTTGATGCTATGCAAAATGTAGGTTAAGAGATTTATACAACTAGCCCCTGAGAGGACACAGTAGAGGCACAAAATATCATTAAGCGCAGCTGGTTGTTTGCACCAAACAGCCAGCAGCTAGCCTGCGTCACTGATGCACTGGATGTATCCGACAATTTAGCTGTTCCGAAGTTGCAGTAGAAGACAAACTGATCGATAATGGCATGTTTTTTGGCCACAATGCAAAACAACCCCTTGACACCAACCAATGCTTGTGTGAGAATAATATTCACTGAATATTAACTATTTGGTAGTTTGACTCCTTATGGCGTAATATGCCAATGGCAACTGGCTAAAAAAGCATACTGGTTGCCACGCAAAAAAATACACAATTTAGTGAGACACTTCAACTTATAAACCTTCTTCAGACTTCAAAGATTGCTTTGTAATTTACTAGTGGTTTAATAGTATTTTTATCTAGAGTCTAGAACTATGTGTATTTATTATTTATTATAATAGAATACGTACAATACCCGAAGTATTGTACGTGTCAGGTCAACTCATCAAGTACACAAAGTCTTCAATATTATTATAAATCGGAAATTTACAAATGAGAATAGTATTTCACTTTTATACCTTAACATCAAATGAAGATGAGTGTCAGAAGCGATGATATTGATTTACATAAAACGGTCTTTCATTCCTAGATAAAACAGTGAAAGTTACCGGTTATAAACAAGCCGTATATTCGACTCAAACAATTTGATATTAGAATGCAGAAAAAATTTTTTACATCCGTTTTTGCAATGTCATATTTCCACACAATCCAATATTAGGTATTCGCAAATATAACATGCGCCGAAATCCGATTGAAATCGTCCGATAATCCAAACATACCTAAAATAATCTTTCCTTGGAGTGCAATATTATTTACTAAAAATGACATAAACTAGGCAGATTTCGGGACACTTTCAAATGCCTGAATTTTGATAGTCTGCAATGTCCACAATGATGCCTTACTGGAACATCGTCTTGACACAATATAATAATTTATTTAAACCTGATTTTTTACAGAGTTAGTAACTCATAGACCTCATAGATTCCGAAACACGAACCGGAATACGTCGACCGTTCTGTCGACTTGGCCACTTCGTCCGACTCGGAAATCACCCTGTCACGGTGTCACGTGACTAGGAAGTGACACGTGTATTCGATTACGAAATCACAATATCAGGAGGGCGAAGATGCAAGTGCAAATAGGGGGAGAATAACACTAAACTGTGCTAAATCCGTGATAATCCATGTTCAGTAAATCCTGGTCATGCCTGAAGATTATCCTTAGTACGCTAAACTCGCGTGTAAACTGAAATTTCCGACTTACTTGCCGACTGTAGCCTTGTTTAAAACAATTTATGTACAAAAGTAGTTTTCTTCATATTAAGGGCCGATAACATGGGTCATTTTCAACCCCGGGGTTGTATTCAGCCATGTTGACCGGGATGAAATCTCAACTCTGGTTTAAAACTTGCCCGGGGCCGAAAATTTGTCATGTAATCGTTTCAACCCAAAGCTGAAGTTATTCGAACATGCGCAGTAGTGTCATTTACGCACGTGACTGTAGTTCTCATCCCCGGGGTTGAAATTATTCATATAATCGAAAAAAATTTCATCCAGTTCAAATGGGCTGAATTCAACCCCGGGGTTGAAAATGACCCATGTAATCGGCCCCTAAGTATTTACCTCTCTGTACGTGGCGTCCCACTGGCCCACCACCCGCTTGACGCCCACCCTTTGTCAAACCCACGCTCTACTGCTAACGAACATCAGTTTCGCCTAATTTAAAGCGAAAATCAAGCCCGTACGTAAAGATAGAGTTTTGTTTACATTTAGAACTGCTATACTTTCAAAAATACGATGTGTTGTCACCATTTTTATTTGCTATTCAGAAAAATCGTAGCATGCGAAGTTTGGCAAGTTCTGGCAATGTCACTTTCCATTTAATCCATCCGCCAGCTGACTCAGTAATCGTTTCTAAATCAGGGACACGCGTTACGGTTGTTGCACCATTTGAAATCTTCAAAACCTTTCCGTACGTGGCATGACCAGCCCAGCACCCACTAACTTGGCACCCATCTCTCTTAAAACACCCACCCCACAGATTAATATCCGGATGTCTCTCTTCTGATTAAAAAAGCGTAAACGCTTGCTCAAAAAGTGACCAAAGGCATTCACTCGATTGTCGTAGGAGCGGAGAAATGAGAATTATAAGCATTAGAAATCCCTGTTCGACGAATATTTTCAAATATATTTAATTTAAAAAGTGTGTGAATATCTTTACATCGAATGGCATTTCCTGTACAAATCAATAAATGTACATATATTCCGCTTCATTTGAACACATCGTGCAGTTTTTCACTTCAATTCAGGTCGGCTCCATTTTGAAACATTATTTCGAGGGGGGGGGGGCTGGTGAATGCCTCTAGTCACTTGCTAAGCATGCGCAGCAAGCGATGCGCAGTGACCAATCGCTTACGCTTTTTAGTCAGAAGAGAGACATCTGGGTATTAATTAATCTGTGCCCACGCTTTATTGCTGAGAAACGTTTTCCGCTTATTCCGTCCTTCCACCCGCTGGCTCAGTAATCGCTTCCAAATGAAACACGTCGGTGTAATAAGAGCAAATCTGTGTAAACATCGATAAACTCCTTCCGATACCAAGCTGATTTCAGTTCAGTCAATTTTAATATCAAACATTTTTCAAATCGGAAACCTGATTTGAATTAAACGGTCCACGAATTTCTTACCAGCTGGAAATATTTCTCGAAAATACATGATCATGCACCATTCATGAATGATTTTGACTTCATTTCAAACTGAAGATCTTCCAAGAGAGCATAAGTTGTCTCAACCCATCGCCGGGCCATCGCCATGGTTGATGCATGACTATAGAAAAGAAAATAAGTTTGCGGATTACAAACGCAATTTTCCCAAATGAATGCTAAATTTAAGGAAGGAAGATGCTGGTCATCTGCAGTTCATAATCACGTGTTGAACAATTTATAGAATGTACCAGATCATAATGGGCATTTTTTGTCCTTCATGATAGGAGTTTCCAGCCAAGATGAGATGACATTTTAATACGGACCTCATGCAACAGGAAACCACTTCATGAAACAAAATTCGCTAGTTCATATTTCTTCTTCTTAAGGAAACTTGATCAAGAGATTATCCTTACTTGATAGAACTATATATACCCATCATGCAGTATAGATAAAGTTAGTTTAGTTTAGGTTTCCACCTGTAGTAACACTGGATCAATATAAGAGATGATCCTTACTGGACCTCTAGGAAAAACTGTTTAGAACTGATAGAGCTATCCAGTATAAATAAAGTTAGTTTAGTTTAGGTTTCCTCCTGTAGTAACACTGCATCAATAAGAGATGATTCTTACTGGACCTCTAGGAAGAACAGTTTAGAACTGATAGAGCCATCCAGTCAAGTTTAGGTCCCTTCTGTGGTAACACGGGATTAATAAGATATGATCATTATACTGGGTCTCTATAACAGCTTATAATCCAATATATATATATAGGACTATACTTCACAGCTAATCTTTTGAGGCACATTTTTGATTTTTTAGCGTTAGACCAGCCGCTGTGAATTAATTGAAAAGTTCAGCAACAAGTTCAATATCTAAGTCAAAGTGTCCAATAGTCCATGAGCGAACGTCCAGGTTTTTTACATCCTATCCTTAACTCATCGCCGATGAAATGAAAACAACGTTTCAATGTGTTGAGTTATTTTGATAGGATTGGATGACCAGCATCCTGACGGCGGGAATGGTGTGAAATCGGAGACCAGGAAAATCCGCGCATTCCAAAACAGGAGAGAGCTAAATGCGTCGTGTTCGTTGCCTTGTGACGCAGTTCAACTCATGCACTAAAGCGATTCGCACGTATATTTCGCGTGGCACTCGTGTCTGAAGTTCAGCGTGGGCTGTTGAATAAAAAGCGATACACTCGAAAGATTTTCAAAAAGGGAAACTTGTTCTTAGAACGCAGTCATATTTACGTTTGAGAAAAGCACATTTTAGCGAAGTGAATGATCAAAAAACCATGACTCGTATCATCGTGTATTTTGCTCTACTCTGTGCCCTTTCTACGTTCGTGGAAAGCGCAAAAATTAAAGGTAAGTTGAATGAAACATTTGTATTAAATATTCATGCTATAGCTTCAATCGCACCATACCGTTTCTGTTTGATCAACACAAACGAATTGTTTTTGCGTAGTTGTTTTATCAATTGTTGTATTGTATGGGACTATGGGTATTTGTTACTGACCCACGCGCAAAACTCATAGAGCTTTCGAGAGAGAGAGAGAGAGAGTATATAAGCGCGTAAGTTATAGACGTATATACAAAAAAGTACGGTTGAATGCTCTAGTGTTTCAAATACTCTGTTCTGTTATTACGGATACAAGCGAGGTCTAGAAAAGACTCTTTCAATTGAGTGTATAGCCTTTAGGCATTATATATCGTTATGAATATCACTAGACATCAGCGCTGCATCAATTATCAAAGCGGGAAAGATATTATCATCGCTATATTGTATAAACGTATAGTGTTAAGTCTTGAATTGCGATGCGAATTTTGTTATTATAATTAGCATCTGTTGCTATTCAAACCATTGCCGCGTCTGAACGCTTACCAACCGCTTAATCTTGAAAACAAACATCTTGGCTTCCTCCTTGGCGCTTACAGAGACATATCTGAAAGCGTTCTGTTTTGAATTGAAGCCAGATAATTACATAATGGACACATATTCCTCTCTGCTTGTATTTACGTTGCTGGTAAAGTGAGTTTACGGGAAGTCTTTGATTTATAAAAGAGCTCTTCTGTCTTAATATTAAACTGCGTCACAAAAACGACCTTTATTGTTGCTAGTTGACTCGTCAGTCGGGCGTTCATCGTCTTCCTGTACGTTCAAGAACACGCAAAAGCCGATAAAAAACATAGTACGTTTGTTCGTGAAGTGTTTTGAGTGTCACGAATTCATTGATAAGCTCTGAAAGAGGGAATCCGTATCGCCGATAAATTTATCAGTTTATTCTATTCGCCTGTCTTCACCGGTAAGAATTAATCTATCGCAAACTCTTGCAAATTTGATAAGAAACAGCCCTCAAACATACCAAGTACATCATCAATAAAAGAGATCCTTTATCGTCTACTCACCTTGTCAATGAGTACAACACTGATTTGTCAATGTCTGTAAAACTGGGATTAAATATGAGAAAAAAATTAGTCCTTCCGAGAGCTCTAGTGAACTGCTTATCCTCAGCATCCAACTCCAGTATTACAAGATGTATAAAGGCAGATCTACACGATGCGATTATAGTCGTATTCGATTCTTATCCTGACGTATGAAAATGACTGGTAACGCCACTCTTTCTGTTCATCAGTTTTAACGAAATTTAAAATGTGACATCTTTACACGCGTTTATTCGAATACATACGCCAGCATACGAATCGTATACGACTAATCGCCTAGTGTATAGTCGGTCCTAAGAACACGAATCCCCATGGATACAGTTGTTGTTTATCCTCAGTTAATAAGGAAAGATTGATCTCACCGGAATTAGCCCACACAATTTCACGCCTGATCCCATAAGGCCAACTCTTGACTGTATTTGGCATTGACTGCAATAAAAAACAAGTCATTTTCGACAATGTTAAAGAGCCTGCTATATCGATCGTGTTTTCGGCCCAGAGTCCTTTTAAAACCATCTCGACTACGCGAAGAAGAATGCGAACAATCTTGCTGATTAAAATCGCGTTGAACGGTTGAAGACAAACTAAAAACGCCTATGGCTATATAGCCTGCAACGCAGACTATATATACCCAAATATATAGTCTGCGTTGCAGGCTAATGGCTATAGTAAATATCGCAAAGTATTGCAAAGTATATGCCAAAAGTTGTATGGTATATATTAGCTTTTCATGAATACTTCGATCATTGGTAGAAAAATCGCCATGCGCTTTCTCAATTAAGGCAGATTTCGATCTACTTACAGCGGAAATCGTTCGCTAGCGAAATATTAGCCTGCAATTTTTTTGGAATTTTAACAGCATAAATAAATTAGACTTGACTGCTCCCAATTCAAAAGAAAATACGCAAATATTTCGCTAGCGAACGAGATCGCCGTAAGTGGAAATCTGCCTTTAGGCGTGCCCGAATTCAGAAATAAAGCACTAGAAAGAATAATCAGTTTCTGGTAACATCATAAACTAGGGTTCAGCCTGAAATTCTCTCACAATCTGGGGGTATTTCAGTCAGGCTGGGCGAAGAATTCTTTATCGCAAGTACGTGAAATAAGAAAATAAACGAACAATTACCGCATTAAAGACAATAATAGCAACTTTCAATTTAAAAAAATTGAGCTTGTCTTTCTGAGATCATTAAACACTTCATAATATCTTATTGAGACATGTTGTTGTTACGTTTGAAATAAGATGAGAATATACCTGTGGGATATTCTGAATAATTCATGTCTCGAATAGAATCTTCTCCACACTTTTCGTTTATTCACGATTGAAAATGCTCCAGACAGGATACCAATCACAATCGATCATGTCACCTTGTGAAGAGCACCTGTCCAGAATCAAAGCGCTTCAGATTTTAAAACAAGGACCCATTCACGAGACACTTTTAATTAACTTGCAACTGCCCTGACTCGACAAAAGTCGCAAGAAATATTTCGTTCGACTTTGAAACATCAAGCTGTTCGAAGTTACATCGGGCAAAGTTGTTTGGAAACTCTAGAATTCATTATTTTAAAAGCGATTTTGATGGATTTTCGGAGTTTTCGTGCGGAAAGTTTTTGTGTGGATTTGAAAAGAGTTAAATTTAATTAAAAATCCATTATGGTTTGGTATATGTCCCAAAATGTTTTGAATTTTTTGGGGTGTGTCTTCTATAATTGGACTTAACCACTCGACGGAGAAGCACGGAAATGTAATTGAACATACCACCTATCTTTCCTGTTCAACCCGACCCAATGAGAGTCATGTGACCAATATCTAAAACGGAAAAAAATACTAAAATCCTGTAACTATCAGCGACAATTCTATTTGCATCATTGTCCTAGATAGGTTTTACCTTCAGGAAAGATCTGTAACCATATGTGTGTTTTTGTTTTTTCCGATCCGCCGTCCTGCGCTTTTTTCCGCCCATCCGAACACCCACGTCGCTTCGCCGGCATCCGCATTTCCCCTCGCCCATCTCTCTATCCCACCGTGCAATTACAACTGTGCTTGCTTATTCACGCATGATTCTATCGTATTTGTCTGTCAATAACAGCCGATCTGTCAATCAGCATATTCACTATTGAAGGATAAAACGCAGTATCAACATATTCACGAGATATCGCATCTTTGGAATGCCCATCAGGTTCCAAGGAATTTCCTTTTTTTGTTTTTCCAAACCGTCAAGCACTCTCAAACAAGTTACACATTTTTCGCAGCATCGATTCGCTTTTTCATCCGTATTACCAGAGACATTACATCATTGATAAAATTTCTATATATCTTTAGAAGTATTTGGCGAATTTTATGCCCTCCTTATGTATATTAAATAAGCCGTCTGGACTATTTTTAACAAAACGTAATAGAATCATAATGCGACGAGGTTGCCAAGAATTCGAGAAAATTTTAGATTGAAAACAACCCCATCTAGGAACAGCAATCCTACTAACATTGATATATGAGTATAATGTATACAAAACTTCAATTGAACTAATTATTTTTCATCTTGTTGTGAACCGGGTGTAAAGTCCTAAAAATTGTCACAAACAGAAGCCAAACAGGTGCTTTAATTTGGTAAAAATATCGAGTCTTGCGAAGGTTAATTGGCCCCATGTTTGCAACGATTTTGAAGCCTTTTGATGTTGAATGATGTAAAAATTGTTACTAATCAATAACAGAGCCAGGGCGATACTCCTCAATCGATTGAATTGTTTGGATAATGTATATTCCTAATCGAGCTCTGGGTCGAGTGGAATCATCTTTATACCAATGGTTGAATACGAGGTGTTTGTGGTTTTTTCATTCAACAAGTCCAAGTGAGCTTTCAAAATATTTAAGGAAGAGTCAACAAAGTACTTGAAATGAATCGACACCATTCGTGACACACGCTCGCCTGTCTGCGTGAAATCTACCCTGCGAATTTGTCCCAAGGCAATAAGCTCTTCCAACCGGGTATTTTCGCAAACATTTTTTGCTCTGCATATGTCCGAAGTGTCGAAATAACGCCAGTGGCATTTATCATTGAATGTTTGAAAATACGCCAAGCACAGCAACCTGATCCATGACATCTAAATAGCCGGAAATTCCACGATTTTTTATGTCTGTCCAATGAAGAGCTTATTGAAAGGACTTGCAATCGACTTTGTTCAAATTCAATACCACCCAAGTGCACGAACAATTGATAGACTGTTCACACGATTCATTTTTGTCGGATACAATTTGCTTCTCACGAATGGAATGAAGTATGTTATTTATAAAGCATTTAAGCAGTATATTGCATTCCCTTGCGTTTTTTACTGTCCATTCCCTTGCGTTTTTTACTGTCCATTCCCTTGCGTTTTTTACTGTCCATATAACATTGCTACTCAACAGACAATACTGCAGAAATGAATTGGATCCGACAAACTGAATTAGATAGTGTGGACAGGCCTGTAAAAGGCCCGTTTACACTTGCGATTTTCGCTGCGATTTCGTATGCGATTTTCTTCTTTTCATAGATGTGAACGAGTGAATGAGTTACTGATGTTCAAATAAGAACTCTTATACATTTAAGCATACGTAACTTATAACTCGTTCACATCTACAAAAAGAAGCCTAAATTTGCCTAATTTGCCTAAAGAGAATATATATACGTGAGCTATTCGGCTGGTTGCATAGAAACGAGGCATTGAGGAGGATTGTTATGTAAGGGGGGTGCGTTGTTATGTAAACGGGGGGGGGGGTGCATATAGGGGAAGATGCATATGGCTGGAACGAGGGTATCTCATATGTCACCAACAATCGGGATGTATTGTTTGTGGCCGGTTGCCAAGAAAGTTAACTCAAAATAACAAAGCATTTCATTCATCAATGATTCCCGACAATAGCCATCGCCGACCTTCGGTGACATATAGGAAGCAGACCTAAGAATAGTTGACTGAACTACAATCAAGCCTGCCAGTCAAACTTTCATCAACTTTAATGACTAGAACACGAGTTATATCAGTGTTGATTGGATATTACCACGCACAGTCTAGTCAACTCTCGTCAACTCTCATGACCTGGTCAAACGAGAACAAGAGTTGCATGAGAGTTGATTTGATATTACCACTCGTACCAGTCAAACGAGAGGAAACTCGTCAACTCTCATGACCTGGTCAAACGAGAACAAGAGTTGCATGAGAGTTGACTGGATATTACCACTCGTACCAGTCAAACGAGAGGAAACTCTCGTCAACTCTCATGACCTGGTCTAACGAGAACAAGAGTGGCATGAGAGATGCATATGACTGCTCGTTACCACCCTTAGTAGAGTTTCATAGCCGTTTCAGTTATGATAAAATCGGTCAGGCTTTAAAATGATTTTCTCTCATTCCAGAGGTGTTGGTTATAAGGTTGAACACATCAGAACCGGAAGCTATTGAAGAGACTATTACATTTGAGACGGGAAAAGAAAAGACCGGAAGCGACTCGGGAATCGTCGAAGTGAAATACGTCGAAAAACCTAAGCCATCTACAACAAGAAGACCCGTTGTAGTGAAGACGAGAAAGCAACATAATCGTCATCTTAGACGACGATGCTGTCATGCTGGAGAACTTGCTGCCAAGCATGGTTTAAGCTGTTTGATTCCACGTCATTTCAATCGCTTTTTCTTCAACCTCGTCACTCAGCATCGCATGAAGTATCAGGGTACCATCAACAAGAATGACCGTCACAGATTCCGCTCGAAAGCCGTCAAGAATATTTACAAAAACATCGGGTTTTGCGTGAAGCGTCAAAGGAAGAGTGTCGTGCAAAAATGCTGTCTCGGTTACAAAACGAAGCAGCGCCGTCGCTTCCAGGGATAAAAGGCTACACAGAGGAACAACACGTGATCGGGAAGGACAATGATGGATAATTGTGAAAATCTTTGCGATCAAGCGGAATAGTTTGGGATCACACAAAAACTTGTACATAACTTTATAAAAGCACGTATAATTTAGCATAGACATAACCTACGGTATAGACCTAAACAATCTATAACAATATTTGTATAATAAGATTTTTCAACCAAATGGTTGCTTATATGATTGTAGAACTTTTTTAAGTTTAAGCAGAAAATTTCGGTTAAAATAGTTAAATATATACTTATTTTTTTCGTAAATTATTGTATATATACTTAAGAGATTTTTGTTGGAAAAAATATTTACACAATATTGTTGTTGCTTACCTGCTGAGTTAGTGGAACCAATTACAGTCTATGAACTATAAAAAACCGAGGTAGTTGAGTTTGGCAAATATTTGATACTTAACTGATTGGCTACGTTTTGGATTTCTGTTTACGGCGTTTCATTTTTGCAATTTTTCGGCGCACTGTTTTAGGCTGTTTGACCTTTATGGGTAATTGAAAAGTTCGATGATTTATGAGCACCACAACAGGCTTCTCAGTTACCCCGCATCTGTTCTGGTCCCAAGCTATTTTGGCATAGCCTCCAATCCCCCAGGCTTCCGACCAGGAATTCTTGATAAGCCAGTAGGGGGTACTTCGTTCTACACCATAGCCAACCACCAACACTGTATGACTGTTATCGCTGTTGTCTGAAATAATAGCATAATTTTAATCTAAGAAAGCGATTTACTTCTAGTAATACCTTTATCACTTCCAAAGTATTCTTCCTAGAGAGACCTAGTAAGAATCATCTCTTATTTATTTATACTGGATGGCTCTATCAGTTCTAACGAGAGGTCCAGTAAGGTCTTCTCGTATTGTTCTTCCGAGAGGTCCAGTAAGGTCTTCTCGTATTGATCCAGTGTTACTTCAGGAGGAAACCTAAACTAACTTAATTTATCCTAGATGGCTCTATCGGTTCTAAACAGTTCTCTCTAAAGGTCCAGTAAGAATCATCTCTTATAAATTCAGTGTTACTACAGAAGGAAACCTAAACTAAACGAACTTTATTTATACTGGATAGCTCCATCAGTTCTAAACTGTTCTTCCTAGAGGTGCAGTAAGGATCATCTTTTATTGATTCACTGTTACTACAGGAGGAAACCTAAACTAAACTAACTTTATTTATACTGGATAGCTCCATCAGTTCTAAACTGTTCTTCCTAGAGGTGCAGTAAGGATCATCTCTTATTGATTCAGTGTTACTACAGGAGGAAATCTAAACTAAACCATACTGTATATACACTGAATAGCTCTATCTGTTTTTGACAAATAAACAGTTTTTTTTCTGGCTGTACAGGTGTATCAATGATGCTATGATATAGATATATGATATCTTACCGCATTCTGGGTCATCATAAATTCCCCATCCGTAAAACTTGAACGTCATAGGACTGGCATTGATAGAAATCGCAGCTGTGCCATATTTAGCTATGGCGATTTTCAACGCAGTGTTATTACGTTTGGGTACGTAAGCAAATGCATCAATAGTCGCGCCACCTTTCTCATTTCCGTTCGAATGACAAGCTCCTTCCTAAACATACCAATAACAACATATCAGTGGCTGACGGTAAGTATCTACCTAATATGAACGAGTTTTGTGATTGGCTTTTTGTAACAATAGTGAACAGTGTTTATGATTCGTTCTTTTAGAAATCAATTTCTATAGTTCATTGTGTTTTATTGTTATCATCAACCGATAGCAAAGCTTGTTCATATAGGCACGTATCGACCCGTGGCTGGTAGTAATATACTTGTATTGCACCAACCGACATTTAATTGTAGTTATGGTTCATTTTTTGTTCACCTGTGCTAAATAAGGTCCGTAGCTATCTTCAGTGCGCAGAGAATGAAGATAGACCCAACTGAATGCTTTGCTATACCAGCCTCCTTTGCAACCCTCGTTACCAGATCCCCAAGAACAATCCATAATCTGCTGGGCGGCTAATGGAGTAAGATTCCCGGTCTAGCAGATAAAAAAAGGAATTGAATATTTTAATTGAACGATAAAAGTTAAATTCAACTGATTATACCAGAAGTCTCACTCTGCATTTTGCTAATGTTTTCGTGTCCGAAATTTTTCAGACGTCATTCTACGCAATTCTGCGCGCGTCATTCTACGCATTCACGCAATTCCTGGTATGTGCAGGAACTTTGTACCCCCATGAAAAAGTTCCTGCACACACCAGGATTGCGTGAGCAAGACACACAAATTGGATACTAAAGGCTGTTTTCCACCTACGCGTTTTTCATACGCACGTACACGCACGTAAAAGTCTAAATCCTTGTACATGTTACCTTTGAAAAAAACTAATATTTTAGTATGCATTAGTTGACCTACATCTTAAATAATAAAAATTCCGTACGTGTACGTGCGTTTAAAAAACGCGTAAGTGGAAAGCAGCCTTCAGCGCCATAAGCGCCATAGTGCTTGCGTGTGCTTGTGTATTTGGCTTGCGACCAATGCCACAGAATACCTAACAGAAGTAGAACTCCTGTACTTTTTTCATAAGTGTGATTCGTCATGATTCGTCACTTAGCAAGTGCATTTTTTGAGGTAGTCACTCCCCTGCCAATACTAAATATGGGTTGATTTTAGACATTGGCAGGGGGGTGACTACCTCAAAAAAATGCACTTGCTAAGTGACGAATCATGATGAATCACACTTACGAAAAAATAGTATAGAGTTCTACTTCTGTTAGGTATTCTGTGCCAATGCAAAGAGTGAGACTTCGGGTATAATGTCTATTCTGTGATAATAGCAAGGTAATTGTATTCCCAGTATTCTGACCTTCAAGAACTGACTGGTCTCCAGAGCCTGGGCCGCTACCAAGGCATAACAAGAGGCGCAGTTTCCTTGACTACGGACTGGCCCCACGGCACCTGAACAAATAAGCGTGCCATAAAACTTTTAAAGCCGTGTTTCGCTGTGCTATTTCTCTTGCAACTTGCAAATGCTATTCTACTTTTAAGGGATGTACATTAGTGCGGAGTCTTCAAAATGAAAGTGTAAGAAATGTCCATGGAGTGTAATAAACACAAACGTTTCATAGTTGTAAATTTACATATCTTAGAAATAGAATTGTATTAATTGCAAGTTGCATTGCATATAGTGTAAAAGGGTCTTAAGAAAGCAAAGGTGAATTAGCCTTTCTCTGTTACTTTCTCACGATGACGGTTTTGAAAAAAAGTACGTTTTTATTTGGGCTTCAAAATATTGAAAGAAAGAGGGATGTATGAAAATCAACTGACTGTCGAAATCTAAAAACTTAGGGAACAAACCACTCAAAGGTTACTGCTGTAAACCTACCAAAATCTCTCCAGTCTAAGGAGTCAGGAACACCGGATATGTTGAAAGCACCTTCATCGTTGATCAAGCTGCCGTTACTATGATGGTCCACATAACGGGACTCTTCCTTAGAACCCCGGTAGCGAATGTATTCATCCTTATCAACGTCAGTCATGTGATTTGCCGAGAGTTTAAAGTTTAAATTTTTACGATTTGTTGAGTGGATAAACCTAAAATAGACAAACGGAAGAGATAAAGAGTTTCTGGTGTTAAACACACCAACTAGCTCCCCTGAAAAAGGTCGAAACATTGTTTCCTAGCCATGTTTCATGAAGGTAGACAAACCAGGAAACATTGTTTCCTAGCCATGTTTCATGAAGGTGGACAAACCAGGAAACATTGTTTCCTAGCCATGTTTCATGAAGGTGGACAAACCAGGAAACATTGTTTCCTAGCCATGTTTCATGAAGATGGACAAGCCAGGAAACATTGTTTCCTAGCCATGTTTCATGAAGGTGGACAAACCAGGAAACATTGTTTCCTAGCCATGTTTCATGAAGGTGGACAAACCAGGAAACATTGTTTTCCAGCCATGTTTCATGGTCAAACCAAGGAACCAAATGTTTGTCTGTCGAGAATGAGCAAATTCCAACAAACCTCATATTGTGACGGAACAAATGTCTTCTTTTACTCATTTCCTTCCTCCCTTTGTAGGATTTCATATGACGACGTCGGAAGATAGAGTACAGTCTTTCCAGGTGTTCCTCCTTATTTCCATGATGTGAAGTCATGAACTCTTGCATCGGATTGGTCATAAAGTGGGAGTCAAGTTTGTGACTCCAATTGTGACACCATAAGTCTGAAAGCAATGTAATAAGAGGAGATGAAGGAGAGTTGGTCGGAAATATCAGGGACCGCGGAGCAGGGTGGCTCGCTGGGCTTTAGCCCCACCAATAATTTTTCCGTAATTAGTCTTTAATTTTGAATATTTTTTAGTTAGCTCAAATTTACAAGCTAAAATTTGAGCTAAAAATTGACCATTAAAACAGCGTGGTTATCCATGTCAAAATATTTGACATCATAACCAAAGCATGATTATATTGTTTAATGTTTGTATATGAACGTCAAACATGCTGGAAACTTTACATAGGACAAGCATTTGACCATTAAAACAGCGTGGTTATCCATATCAAAATACTTGACATCATAACCAAAAGCATGGTTATATTGTTTAATGTTTGTATATGAGTACCAAAATGCTGGAAACTTTACATAGGACAAGCATTTGACCATTAAAACTGCGTGATTATCCATGTCAAAATATTTGACACCATGCATAACCAAAGCATGGTTATATCGTTTAATGTTTGTAAACTATATGAGCGCCAAACATGCTGGAAACTTTACATAGTATGTATTATTTTCCAATAATCCTTTGAGAGGCATTTGGGGCAATTTCAGGCGCCTATGTATATTTCAAAATTTTCCCTGACTCTCCTAGCAGGCGCGCGGTGCCGAGCCCCAGCAATACGAAAAACGCTCCGCGCTCCCTGAATATCAGAGAATGAAGAGATCAGAAGAGGATGTGAGGTGGTAGACATTGTAGAAAAGATGAGGGAGGCAAAGTTGAGATGATATGGACACGTAATAAGAAGAGATGAAGGAGAGCTGGTCAAAAATATTATGGAATGAAGAGATGAAACTAAGTTCGTCAACGTATATATACAAAACAAGATTCACCTTACCTGAAGGCAGCTCAAAAACTGAAACATTTGGCTTCCATTCTTCGAAGGAAATATATTCCAAAACATAATAATCGTAATGGGTTGCCAAAAGGCTGTCGTAACCTTTCATTTCATACTTGACTGGGCGATGTGGTTCGGAGTTCGTCACCCAAAACGTGTAGTCATTATTAAGGTCGTAGGTTTTGTAATGATGCTTCCATTTCGTGGTTTCTGTTCCTTCTAAAACCTCAGTTCCAGCAAACTGCGTAGGGAAAAATAAAAGAGCTAAGACGAAAATGTTGGTAAATTCCAGCCTCTTGCACGACAGAACATTTTGATGTGCATTCTGGTTTGTGAGAATTCCGAAGCGAAAACAGTTCATATTTCGATCAAAACCGTGCATTTATAACTATAAAATTGCATTTCGAAGCTGTTTCAAATTTTTAGCATTCGTACACATAACCATTGCTCTAGCCTTTCATATACGGATCCAGTTTAACTCCTTTGCAGTAGGAATCACGTGCGTTACCTCAAACTCCTGAATATTTGGCAGTATTGGTTGCGGTATTATCGGGATCACCTTCGTGCCGTTCCTATACCAGCAACCCTTGAAATTCCCGCGTTTTTCATTGTACATCGGCACTACTTTGAATGCTGTTCCGTGCGCTCCCAAATCTGAGCGCTGGAAAGTCTGGTCTGTTCCTAAACGAATAAAAAACACAGAGAAAAAAAACAACTAAGAGAGCCACTTTGAAATTTTAAGATACCAATTACTAAACATGGCGAATATGTCGAAGGGTGTTTAGCTAAACGGTGGATAAGTTCATATAATGAAAAACAAAATTACCTATTTTTTGAACAACTGAGCTGAAATATTTCGATGTAAATAGTTTAATTTCCAATGGCAGTACATATTTAATGCATAAGATGCAGGTTCAGTCATTCACATGCAAGATGTATGGAAGTATTTTTAAACTTTGGTTCATGCATCCACCGTTTAAGGTTTGCCTTTGGAACAACCGTCTCAACAGCACTTAACCCGACCATTTTTGCTGTCGTTTACTGCACGACTGACCTTTTTTCACCCTGACACCCTTTGCTGTACTTACCATAGTAGAAATCCACTCTGCTCCTCCGATCTCTTCGACTAAACCATATCTCGAACGGTTCCTTTATTCCACTGTGAGGTAGTCTCAGCAATCCCGTACTGTGGTAGTTCACAGGAAACACGGGGCGCGGATGTCGACGAATCATACGACGAAAGATCTCGATAGTCCTGCCGAAATGGAGTCGGCCTGATTTGTTTACAACGAAACAAACGGTGCATAATATAAACAGTACAAAGAAACCATTAAAAAAACGAGCATTCAGGAACATTTGTCGCGATGCTCTTTTCAATTTACAGCAAAAATAGTGTACTTTCCGCGAGATTTACTGCAAGAAAAGTATTTTATTTGAAGTGAAGCCAACACTGCATCAACGAACGACAAAATTTAAACATTGTTATGTACGTCGAGCGTTGATTACGGGTACCAGTTATGGCAGTATTTTTATATAGTTAGATCAATTTCATGTACATTAATTCTTTTATACTTTGCATGAAAACGGCCCCTTGAAAATCATTTTTAATGAAGGTCTACGGTTTTTAAAGAAGTTTTAAATAAAAATAATAGACACTTGGTTGTTTACGTTTGCCGAGATTTGAGTAGATTCAACGGACTGGGCATTCACGTATTAAACAACGGCCATATTGATAGCCCCCAGAGTATCTAATTTGTGTTGAAAATCGTGTCGAAGTGGCGCGCCTGGAGGAGAGAGATTCTTGTAGTTTCTAGTTATTGAATATTGTAAAAGCAAAAAAAATATCTCCAATCAAAACAATGAAAGAACGGAAATTTTCGTTACTGGCCTGGGTCACGACAGAAAGAGGACTCGATATTAGGACTGGATGAAATGAAGAGCAGCGTCTGCAGCGAGATGTTTTCAGAACAATGAAGACATGGAATGGAAACAGTCTGATCGCAAAACCACGACTGGATGGAAGAATACAGGTAGTAGTATAACCCACTGAGCTATCTTATTATAATTCCTGGAGGATTTCGAGAAGTATAACTTATTTGAAATTATGGAAATGCAATGGAACGTTGTGATCTCTGCATCACACCTGGATAAATCAAAGGGCAGCGAAATATTTTCTAAATAGGCAAGCCATAGGAACACTTTGATCGCAAAAAAACCTGGATGCATTATGTGACGGTATTACGAATGTAACCGCAAAGCGCGAATTTAAGACAACGATTTAACATAAACTGAAACAACTTTATTGGATATATTTTAATATAATTCTTTTCTATTTATTTTTATAGCCTCGCAAGTAGCCAAGCTGCATATGCGGTGTTTGTAACAAACACCATTGCTTATACAAGATCAGACACATATATTTTTGGACGTTGGTTAAACCAAAGTTACGCCCAAATTGCAAGTACACTACACTCAACTTATTGGCACGGCACGGCTGAAATTGGTGTTTATTAGTGTTCAGGCTACCAAAACAAATGGAATAGGCACCTTTAGCCATGCCGTACCAATAAATTGAGTGTAGTGTAAACGGGGCCTAAGATACAGATATGAAATCATTGTCTATTGATATCTATTACCATTGTTGAGTCGCGACAGCACCCATCTCGTGACAATGGCGTGAAAATTACTGAAGACGAATGCCAAGTGTAGCATTTTATAAATAAACTAAACGAACTAACAATTTTTTCTTCTTCAACATTACATGTCGACATAGCTCAGAGAACTGAGTGCATCAAATGGCATGGCATACTGTTCATTCTTCTTTCCAACGTTTACGTTAATTGTAGGCAACGCTGGAAGCTTCTCTTCCAAAGCAGATTTCGCACTTCGCGAGATGAAGTAAAAACAGCCTGGCGGAAGAAACCCGTTGAAGCCCGAAGCGGCAGAGAGAGTGTAGGCTCCCATCTCTTCGAAATAAAGCCAATCACCAACCCCGCATTCTGGCAGCATTACGTTCTTGGTGACACAATCCATGGAGTCGCAACTCGGGCCCCAAATGCTCGATGGGTATTTCTCTTCGTTGCCATGGAGATCACGTAACGGCTTAGCGTCGACGGTGGAATGGTCAAAGATGAGGCAATTGAACGAGCCGTAAACACCTTCGTTGATGTAGTACATAAAACCCTTGATTGAAAAGGATTTGTATGGTCAGGATTTGGATTATATTTAAAGCTTAGGATTACGATTAAGGATTGGAAATATGAAGAGGATTAAGATTACTTACCCTTGTTGTTTTGTTTTCATGATTTCCTAGATTGCAAAACATTTCCAAAAAGAATATTTAAAAATGTCTTTTATGTATAATAGGAGATGAAAATATATGATGATGTAAAAGGAGACTGACACTGAAATGAAACTGAGACTTTAATACTAATAGAATGCCTATCAGTTCTAAAATGTTCTTCCAAGACGTTTAGAAAGGACCATTACCACAAAGACAAGTCACGGAAACAAACCTTTAGTGTCAATAACCTTTAGACTTGTTTCACGTATTGAGGTCACATTTGTCACTAAAGTAAATGCTGTACTGACATAGAAACGACCAGGTTCTGCGATGATCCTTACTCCAGAGCTCACGGGGAAACACTCGTCCAATGTCTTATTCAGTACAGAACAGACCTGGTCAAAACGAAAATGGTTAGCTTCTTAATGATAATTTGTTAGTAAACCCAAACTAACCCTCAGTAATGGCATTATCACATGCAGTGTTTTATCAACCTGACGTTTATATATGTAGTTGCAAAAATAAAATCAAAAAGGTTTTAAAGAGCATTAAAACAAGGCCTCACATCATAAAATTGCGGAAGTTTAAACATGCAGCCTAACAAAGGGTCTTATCATAAATTTTAGCATGTCTCAGAGACAACTTACTTGTTCAAAGCAAATATCTTTGCTGGCAGAGCCAGGGAAGCCTCCTCCAACATCCAGGAGAGAAAAATCAAATCCAATCTCAGCCTGAAGATGAAATTGAAACATTAGCAAAATTACAACATTACTTACAGGCTATTTTATCTCTGGCCACTTTATTTATTTTACAAGTCTTCTTATATTTTACAAAGCCGAACGCAAGCAATTTTTTAACCTATACTTTACAAAAAACCATACTTTACAAAAAACAGAAAGAAGTTAATAAGAATAAGGAAAACTGTGCACACAGAGTATATCCAGCTCTAAGAGTAATTCAATATGGACTAAAGGCCCTGTTTGACACGGTGCAATTTTTCTTGCAATTCCACTTTTGAGAGATGTATATTTGGGAACAACGAAACTTTAGTGTTTATTACATTTCATGTACTTTTCTTCTGCAAGACTCTTCACTAATTTACACCTCTTAAAAGTAGAATTGCATTGCAAGTCACAAGAAAAATTGCACCGTGTAACATGGCCTTAACTTAACTATGAAGGTGAAGAAATACTTACTGCCCAGTCAAACACCAGCCTGGCAGATTCAACAGCAGTCTTGAACGCTGTTGCATCAAAACAGCCACTACCAACGTGAAAACTAGACAAAAAAGGAACTTTTACAAAGAGAATATGAACTTTTCTAAACAATTTTACGCACAAAACTTTAGGTTTAAAATACGAGTGACTCTGAAAAGTATTCCTCATTGTTTTTTTGTTCAAAAAACTCAGTGAGGGCAAGTTTATCTTCATTGTCATCAATAAAAACCACAAGTTTGGAAATGTAGGTTAGGTTTCTTTCGCAAATTACCTCTTAGAAGAACAGTTTAAAACTGATAGAGATATCTATTGTATAGTTTAGTAAGGGTTTCACTCTGCATCATTTACATTGGTTCAATAAGAAATGACGCCTATATTGCATCTCGTATGTAAAACAAATTCCAACTTACCTGACACCAACAACATTCAGGTCAAGTTCTTTGGCTACTTCGAGTAGATTTTTACATTGACTGAGGGCTGCGCCATATTTTATGCCAAGCTTAATGTGAAAAGAATGAAATTTTCAGGCTTGAAGTTATGGAGTTATAGTAAAAAATCAACTATTAGCCTCTAACACAGATTATCCTCTTCATCTCTTGATATTCTAAGTAATTTTATTTGTCAGTATTTGTCAAATCTTGTACCTGACACAGTGACTTTGAATCATCCGTAAGAATTCGTAACAACAATCTTAAAAGACAAAATATGTAGAATATAAAAACATGTAGAACAAAATATTAATGATTTCAAAACCAAGTTTGAAATTGTTTAAATTCAGATTTTATGTAATATATTTACTGGTCACAGCAGTCAGCATAGATTTGAATTACAACAATTTTCGTCTAAGCGTGTCAACGTCCACACTTCCTGTTACCGCCAGTCATTCCGGAATATACAAACGACCAAATTTATTCACATTTATTCTCTAGTGTAGAGCCGTGTATTGTCACCGTATTTACAAGTATTTAGAATTTAGTTTAGAAAAGCATTTAGTTTAGAATTTACAAAGTGTGGACATTGAAAGTTGACTCGTCAGTTTATGTGTCATTGGCCATCAAAAGGCCAAAGTTACGCGCATTGACAGTTGGAATTTTGCACTGTATTTGGTCTAACTTTGCACCTAATTAATTCCGTTCAATTTCTTAAACGTCATGTTTGACACGACGAAAATTGCTGTAATTCCTCCCCTTTTTATGATGTTTTAACAATTTTATTTCATTTGATGCAAACTTATCATGCACTATACCGTATCTCAAAGAATTCACCATCTTGAATAAAGCAAGTTATATTACCTCGAATTCGGGGCGAAAGCTTTGATTTTTTGCAGCTCCACCTTGTTATCAAATGTCATAAGATTGATTCCATTGGCAACGGCGTAACGCATGTGCGTCAACTGCTTGCAAGGATTCGCGAATACTATGCGATGGGGTTTAACACCATAACTCAACATGGTTTGAATTTCAACCTTAACACACACAAAGAGGCATCATATATTACTTTTCAGAATACAAACTAAGGAATCTCTTTAAAAAGTTTCCTCTAAGAATGGAACCGAATGTATTATGCATTGTAACATTTAGAGGGCTGTTAAAGATCTAACTGGGAGCAATGAAGAGAAATTTAGCTGCTATGAACCCTTTGGCAGGAGTCAAAGCTACATCCATGCCAGTGCATGAAGCTATATACGTATATGGTAGGGGGAGATCAGGTTGGTGTGAAATTTGAGATGGAACAATTTCAGGCCATTCAGAATCGTTTCGCAACGAAAATCTAAGGGAGTAAGCGGTCATCCTTGGATGCTTTAAAATCTCTAAAATGGATTCCCTTGACTGGATGTCGTTTTATTCACCGTTGTTTGTTTGTGTATCCACATTGCAATCAAAGGAAATATACCCGAACATCTTGGATACATGGATACAATACAAGGCTACCTAAGCCAAGTACGGAATGGGGCAAGAGAACTACCTATCATAGGGCAACAAATGATAAATTATGCATCACTTCCAACTTCCAAGTGCTCTGAAGAAACCGATGCGTTCAAATATATTTAAGATGGAACTAAAAATGAGCTTGAACTTATAACGTATTTATACAGTTAACCTCTACGAACTTACGCATCGAACTTACGTTATACGAACTTACAGTTAAGTATATGAACTTATAACATATTTATAATTAACGTTTTTTACGCTTTTATAGATTTTTAGCTTCATTTTGTATATATATGTATTTTACTTAGAGGACCTTACTTAGAAATACTGCTGAAGGGGTGATAGTTTTTGCTGAATAGAGCTGGGGGGGGGGTGGGGGGTGGAAGTGATCCAAGTCAGGTCTCAATGCTTGTTTATACTTTATATCTTACTGATAAGACAACACACAACCTGCCAATGAAATCAAAGGTAGGTAAAACTTTTCTAATGGGGTACACACACTGTTCCAACAACCCTTAAATTTTCTAACCTTGCTTGCACAGTCGAATCCAATGCCCAGGTTGACCATAAGCTCAAGAACGACTGGATCTGTGTTACATTTTATAGCTGAAAGCAAAACAGGCAGACAAATGAACAGACCTTATATAAGAGAAAACATATTTAAATGCAGATACTGTTTGTACTATATGGTATGAAATGAATGGAAATGAATGCACATACCATAAAATGGCTCAATCCGAGGAAGAAGCTTTTTCCACTGAAAGAAAAATAGGTGAGAGGTGAAGATTAGGACAAGAATGAAAGCAATGAGTTTGAACAAGAAGAAAGCGTGAAGGCATTTGGGATTTTAGCAATAGAGATGCTTGTCACTGGGTAAATCATGTCAACTGTTCACAAGGTATTGATTTTTTGAGACGTTCTCTGGTTGAAAAATATTTATTTTTATGAGTTTTCAACAGCCGGACTGCAGAGATATTAGTGTACGGGTACATACTTGTATCTACCTGTTGGAGGCTGTACTCTGGCAGCCAAAAGCTCGTAAAAATAAATATCTTTCAAAAAGAGAATGCCTCAGGAAATGAATATGTTTAATCCTTGTCGCTCTTCTAACGTATTTAAACGCATATTAAAATACAGAGAGGCAGTCAAGAATATTGAACAGGCTTCCCCATCAACCATCTCAACCTAGCTATCCATCCAAAGCTATAATGTAGCTTCTATGCAACTTGCTATTTGAATCAAATTCGTAATTGTTTTTACTGGATAATTTGATGGACCATCAAGTTTAAATATGTTTACAATAATGTGAAAATACCTTGTAATGTTTTTTCAAAATATCTCCAATATCCACGCAATAAAATGCATCATCCTTGGTAGAAAAAGAAAACCTAAATATATCATCTTAACTCACTCCCGGTCTGGTCACTATTGCTCCCGACAATATTGTCGGGAAAAGCAAAACTTAAATATCTCAGCGAGTATTTGGGCTAAAGATCCCGGAATAACACCAACGATAGAGCTTGAAAAGACAATTTAAATGGTATTTTCAAACCCGCATATAGTAATAAACTGCATTTGTATTATAAGTCAAAACATGAATCAAAATAATAGGTTGCCTTGTTATCTCAAATTACTCCCCATAGCAACCATATACTTTGGAAATTCAGCATTTTCTCACTTTTTTTGTTCTGTGTTCTTTAAAATGTCTGAATTTTACATACTATAATTCTGTTATAATTCTGAGTAATTGTTGGGATAGGATGTGCAAAAGAAGCGGAGAAAATAGCATTTTATAAGTTCTAAGCGATCATTGTTGCTAAGCGTGTGCTTACCGCATGCTCGGAATGTTGTCATGCTGTTGGAAAATGTGACAAAACTCCCTAATGCATCCTTTTAGGGTAAATTTGACCCCGGAAATCAATTTCTGGCGTAAAATTGGACCTAGGGGGAATATTTTCGGCTTTTTTGCCCGAAATTTTTTTTGCCCGTGAACTAAACCACTGCAACGGGTGTTTCTTTGCATTTTGGGCAATATTTTAAGGATTAGGCCGCTTTGATGTGCAATATTGAAGAATATAAAAAGCACATGCACTTTAAAGCGAATATCTTAGCGAATTGACAACATATCAATATAAAAAAAACACGTATCTACCGAGGACAATTTCTTCTTTAAATCGCTTCTATTTATGTTAAAATCGGTCAAGTATTCGAACAGGAATCGCAAGTTATAATCAGCAAACCAGTTCGAAATGTCACCTGATCAGACGGCAATGAGTTAGAACCAAACCAAGCATTCCTTATCTAACATCTAACTAAGAGTGACTCTGAGTAAAAACTCCTCAACGTTCTCTGGTTTGAGAACTCAGTGAGGGCAAGTTTGTCTTCATTGTCATTTGCAAATTGTTTTACATTTACAAAAAAATCATTTCAGCTAAATAGTGGAATAGTGAAGTTAGGCAAAAGATAGAAAAAGGAATCATTCCTACAGAAATGGTTCAGTTACCTCGCATGTGTCATTTTGCATCAAAGTGTTGATGACTTCTTTGGTAGTGACGCCATCGTCAAAAATGTAAACTTTGGAATTCTGGTTGGTGAGAATCTTCATGATTCGACTCAATGTTACCACTAAAAAAGAAAACATCCCAATAGGCTCGGTATCAAATCGAGCAGAATTATTGCATTAAGGCCGGTACACACTAGGCCACAAATTTCATTGCTTGAACCGGGAAACTTATGTGAAAACTTTTCCGCCTCAATGCAAATTAGTCACCGCCACATGTAGTTGCCACATGTCACAGTGACAAAACTAGGGGTACTTGTAGCTCTTGTTTAAAGCAATGTCATCATTGCGACTTAAATGTTAACAGAAAGTAATTTGTTGCAGCAACATGTTGCAAAGATTTTCACCTAGTGAGTATTTTCACCTTTATAACATAGCACTTTGCTGTGTTTAGCACAATTTTATATATTCATGCATAGCTGTAAGCAATGCTGGTTGTAAAAGTCTTCTGATCAATGGAAAGTTATTAGAGCATATTTAATGCCAGTAGACACAACAACTTTTGTGGGAAGTGGCCTCTTTAGTACTAATTAATTGGAATAACAACCAATTTGAAATAGATGCATTAGATGCCCGAAGATTACTGCAACCCCATGTTTGCCATAGGCAATGTCTGACCACCAGAAAAAATTCCTAGAAGACAAACCTACCTGCTATTGTAAGTATCGAGTTTCAACCGAAAATTCTAGTTACTCTACATACGTGTGTACTATTATGTTTCCTGATTGGTAAACATAGTTTTTCAGATCACTATACGAAGCATCTTTATGCAATCTTTGGGAATCAGTGCATTAGTATTTCGCAATAAAAACGATTTTTTATGCAAGTCTTTAATATTAATATCGATGGGAAAGATCTATATTCACAATGGCTACGACAGTAACGAAACAAGGTCCTTTTTGTCATTCTCAAGTTTACAAAATAGGACACTTTCCCTATTTCCTGACCTATTTAACCAACCCATAAATCAAAAATAAATGGCGTAACAGTTCTGTTTAGAATCGAGGGTAGAACTAGTTAAATATGTATAAACATTAAACATACATTGTATCCTGCTGCCGAGAGTTTTCGCTTAGCAAAATGCTAGCTTGGTTCAAGATCTCGTCCAAAATAGAAGTCCAGTTTTAATTTATCTAACCAGAAGCCACTGATCTTGCTGTCTGGTGTGAAGAACGTCGCCGTATGGCCTCCCTACAAGAATAAGATAGCAGGATTTAGAGCAAAATCGACAACATAACCTAAATGTTTGAGATGCCCCAACAAAAGTTAGACGCCGAATTCGGTCATTCCAAAGCAATGAAGAGCTCACCGTTACTGCAGGTTCGCCGAACAAAACACCGATATGCTCCTCGGACGTAATTGTGGCTCTTTTATGTGTTAAACAGCATAGAAAAGATGAAAATCGCCTATATTTATAGAAAAAAATCTTGCACTCGTTGTCCAAGAGATGAAGAAGGAGAAGCGAGCATGTGGGTTAGCGCGCCAGGAGTACTGGGGCCACATTCCATATATGGTCATATTAACTCGCCCGCCTGCTGAAATGCTTTAATTTGATTGGTTATCCGGAAAAATTCGACAATTTAATCATTAGATGAAATTTTTTTGGGTCCAAACAGTTGTCAAAAAAATGGCTACTTTGCGTAAAAGGTGGATCCCTACAGTTTTCAAAAAAGGGTTACTTTGCGTAAAAGGTGCACGTAGATACTGCTTGCACACGTACGGAAAATTTTAAATGCTTTTAAATTTTTATTATTTAACATCTAGGTCAACTAATGCATACTAAAATATGCACAAAACTAAGTTCTTTGGATCAGGCTGTATTCCTTTCGTTTTTTCAAAGGTAACATGAATAAGGATTTAGACTTTAACGTGCGTGCACGTGCGTATGAAAAACGCGCAGGTGGAAATTGTAAAACAGCCTTTACTTTGCGTAAAAGGTGGATCCCTACAGTTCTAAAAAAATGTTTACTACGCGTAAAAAGTGGACCCCTACAGTTTTCAAAAAAATAGTTACGTAAACTTTGCGTAAAATACGGTTCCCTACAATTTTTAAAATAATGGTTATTATGTTAACTTTGGCGGGCAATGCGTTGTATCTTGCGGGCTAAACTGATGATAAATTTGCCAGGCTGAAATATATTTTAGCTCGCTGATCTAAGCCAATCAAAAGAATGACTAAAGTTACCCATTGCATAATTTCTTATACAAAAATTGCCCTTTAAAGTTAATTGCTGCCGCAGCGAGCGAGCCTGAAGCGAGCGAGCAAGGCAGCAGATCCTAATTTAGAAATGGGGGCGCAAATCAAAATTTGTCTTTGGCGCATTGCATGACGGTACCAGTGGCAGGGATGGAGGATCATATTTTATTTTGGGGGTGGCTGAATTTAAGTTCCGGCCATAGTTGACACGCTGAAAGCATATGTTATGTAGCGTGAGAGAGAAATAATTAACATTCACCTGAACACAATGTAGGATATTTCTTTTGTATTTTAGCAGGCGAACAGCAATTTGACGACCTTATTGTTGACGACCTTATTGTTACACGTTTGTGAAATTCTTTCATGTATTTTGGGGAGGGCTACGATTTTTACCTTGCGCGGTGCGGTGCGTGATACCACGTGTATGGTATGTTAATTTATATTGTGAATAAAGGTGAAAACGTGCTTTGGAACATTGTATTAGCGTATTCGGGTGCCAGTAGATTTTCGATATAAACGAAACATAATACTCTTGTCACCTGCGGTGAAAATTTTTGACGCATTGCATGTTGGAGTTCGGTGTCAGGTTATACCATTCCACGTGTTGGCTGCATAAACTTTGGCGAATTTATTTCGAAGAAGGAAAACTATTTCGGTGAGTTTTTTGTAATCAAGTTCATATTTATTCAATGTTTTATTCATATTTAACTGTTCTTTTGTATTTTATAAGTTGATATTTTAGACAGAAGGTGAAATTTACGTAATTCTACGCTTTGGCTACATATTATAGTACTGCGAAGTATTAGAGGTATAAAGTATTTTGGTGAGTTTTTTACTGTCGAGTTCCTATTTATTCGATATTTTATTCATATTGTTAAACGATATACTTCTCTATAGGCTTTTAGCCTTTTATGCCGAATTATGACTTAAATACTAGGATAGTGCATTTATTTGAGCGATCATTGAATATATCATTAAAAATTGCGTCTGTTTTGTTTGTTTAGCGCGCGGTGTTTATTAACTGTTCATTTATATTTTCCAGGTTGATATTTTGGTCCGAAGGTGAGGCTTCAACTCTTGTTATATAATCGAGTCTTTGTTCTCAGTTGCGTCAGTAATTGAATGCATTGATTTTTGAATTTTTGTCAGTCATCTGTCATCAGTTGCTGACTCTTCTGTTTTGTTGCTGTATTTGCGCCTCGTTTTTGTGTCTTGTTAAGACACTCACTAGATCATCAAAAATTTATTTTATGTGTGTTTTTGTATCTCATTGGATTCGTCGTATCCGTTACAGCAAAAGATGATTGACACGGAAAAACTGCACATAACAGAAACAACATTTTCATACCGTTTTAATAACTATATTGAGCGATTTAAAAACATAATTGACAAGTTTAAGTTCTGTTGGGGGCTCCGTTGCATAAAAAACAATTTATTGATAGGTTTCGTAGAACATTTCTGTTCTGGAACAATATTGTTTTTGTCATTTTCCTTAAATAATGATAATAATAAACTGAGGCTAAGCACTTTGTACTATATTTCATATTTCCAATCTCTTCTTGAACGTAAAAAAATTTTGCGTTGGTTGTGATTTCTGTTCTTCTAAAAGTTTAATGTTTTCATTGCATGGCTTACTCACAGGCAGCACTCCCTACCCTATGGGTACCCTAGTATAATAGTAATACAGTTGATGTTCTTGGGCATAAATGTGTTTTTAGGTAACTTATTTTGTCGTATTTTACAAGCACGCAATCTTTCTTTCCTTCTGTGAGTTTTCAAGTTTTCTGAATTTTTTTGAAAATTATAATTGCTAGAGGTATAACATTTCAAAAATTTTCAAAGCAGGTATCAATTCCAATATGAATTTTAGCACAGAGCAGACATTATAGCAGAAGCCTCACTTATTGCATTTTGCTAATGTTTTCGTGTCCGAAATTTTTCAGAAGCGCACACGTCATTCTACGCAAATCTACGATGTGTGCCGGAACTTTGTACCCCAATGAAAAAGTTCCTACACACAGCAGGATTGCGTGAGCAAGATACTAAAGGCACAGAATACCTAACAGAAGTGGAACTCTATACTATTTTTTCGTAAGTGTGATTCGTCATGATTCGTCACTTAGCAAGTGCATTTTTTTGAGGCAGTCACCCCCCTGCCAATACTAAAATTGCGTTGATTTTAGACATTGGCAGGGGGGTGACAACCTCAAAAAAATGCACTTGCTAAGTGACGAATCATGACGAATCACACTTACGAAAAAAGTACAGGAGTTCCACTTCTGTTAGGTATTCTGTGCTAAAGGCTGTTTTCTACTTACTAAAGGAATACCAAATGATTTTCCGTGCAGGATTGCGTGATCCATGCACGCGGGATGTTGCGAGACTTTCGGAAAGCGTGAAAATACACGAGCCGTAGGCGAGTGTATTTTCACGCTTTCCGAAAGTCGAGCAACATCCCAAGTGCATGGATCACGCAATCCTGCACGGAAAATCATTTGGTAATTGTTTTATAAAATAACTGTAGTGAAACAACGGTTAACTTTATTAAAATTAAATTTCGCGTGCAGGATTGTCTAAAACGCGTGCAGGATTGTCTGATCCTGCACGGCTATTGACCAATCACATTGCGTGTTTCACTATAGTTATTATATAAACGTTTTTCATACGCACTGACGTACACGCACGTAGAAGTCTAAATCACAGAGTACTACACAGAGGTGGAACTCGCGGCAAATCTTGTCCCCCTGTTTTTAATGCGCACGCGCTAAGCTCTGGCAAGTGTTTTTGCACTTTTTAATAAGGAAAATTCGATTTTTTAGCAGAAAAAATGCAATTTTAAAGCCAAGGGTCTTTTGCTCTTCGTTTTTTTGACAAATTTTATTTATCCATCCGACATTGCTCCTCTTGGATTAAAAATGACTGCGATAATACGAATTAAAACGGGAAAAAAAGGGAAATACAACTACGAGGAGTGCGATTTTCACACGAAGCTTCTAGAACTGCCAGGTAAAAATTCAAAGTTTGGTATTTCATCTAATAAATGTAGGTCTATCTGACTATATTTCGCCAACATGCAGTCGTATTTTTCTCTAGATGGCGAAACAATCTTCTCAGTTAACTTTTGAGCAGACGACATATCAAGACATTGACTTCTACTGTTCAAGAAGATAGCAAGTTAGATGGCTATTAAAAACCGTTTTACAACGCATACGCAGTTTACTGATATTTGTGAACCCTATTATGTCTCTATATATGTGTATTATTATTTCACTTTGGACTCTTCAGACCCTCTTTGGGCTGGTACCGATGGAAATTCTAGAACTGAAATATCTAGCAGCAGCAGCAAGGTTAGACAATGGTTCTAGAATTATAGCTTGTATATAGTATAAGAAATTTATGTTATTCAGTTATTCATATATAGGTATATAAGCTTTTATATTACCCTTCTTATGCATTAACTGCTCAAATTATTTAGGCTTGGTCTAAATTCATTCATGTAATTAATCTCAACAAAGGCCTTGTTTTTGAATCTATCCATGCAATGCACATTCTACAACATTAAAACTCCATGTAAAAGGGATTAAGGGAAGGTTAGGACACATTGAGTTCATCACCATATTATAGTTTCAGAGCAAAAAATATTTATATTTTTCATTATATTCACATCCAAAAATTGTAAAATAGCTTTCAATCTTCTCATAGAAGCCACACAGAATTGCATAGATTAGATTGGAAATTGATTTGCATGTCCTTCATGAATATTACAATCATGTATGAACTGAAATTGATATCTGTTAGCATTTACCATTTTGTGTGTGAAGTTGGATTTATACTCATGTAAAAAGTATTGTATATATAGGTAAAAGTTGCATTTGTTTATTGTAAATCCTTTGAATTCAAGTTCAAAATTCGAATAAAAAACATGTAGTTTTTGCTAGTTTTATGGCACAATAAATTATTTTCAAAGATTTTTTTCGTGTGTTTGAATTGTAATATTAACTCATCAATCATGCTTTTTTTAAGATCAGCTCAGATGTTTTCTGGATGAAAAAATAACTGCCTAATTTATAATCGGCGACGATGTTGGCAATCAGCTTGATATTTATAAAGAAAATCATTCGCGCTTGTATTTCTTACCTCTTTAACCTAACGCATATATTTTCTACAAAAAAACAACCATTTACCGTTTGTTTTTAAAATTTAGGCGCAAAAATGGAGATCGATAGAGCCAGCTTTAAAATATTAACATTTTTCGTCTTTCGAACACCTTTTTCCCTTACTTTAGAGTCAAAATACACTTGCCAGAGCAATTTGCGTGGCGCGTGGAATGGCGTAGGCAGGGGGACAGCAACATCAAAGGGTTCCGCCGCGAGTTCCATAACTGTATATCATTAAACTGTGTCTAAATCCTTGTACATGTTACCTTTGAAAAAACTAAGTGAATAAATCGAAGGAACTTGGTTTTCTGCATATTTTAGTATGCATTAGTTGACCTGAATGTTGAATAATAAAAAATTAAAAGCTTTTAACATTTTCCGTACGTGTACATGCGTATAAAAAACGCGTAAGTGGAAAGCAGTCTTTACTTTCGCGTTTTTTGCACGTACCGACGTACACGTAAATTACAAAATTTTTGTTGAAAAAAATGAAATTAGCTATCAGTAATAGCAATGTACAGACGAACTGTTAAAATTTGAATTTTGAATGTTTTTAAAATGTTTTAAATTTGTTTATAAATTGTTTAAACTAATTAAATTTGAAATAAAATGTTCAAGGACATATTATGGATGAGGTCAATAATTTATTGTCTCAAATATTTCCTTGCATATCATGACAACTGACAAGTGAAGTCTGTGAAGACCCAAGTTGTCTGGCATCAGCCAGAAATACTTGTACTCAACACATAACAGATCATTAATTAGATCTATTTTTCACCTGAAAATAAAACTGGCTACCAGGTACCTGCCTTAATGTACAATTGTTGAACTGGCATGTTCAACAAGTAACATAACTTGATTTAGTTCAAGCTAAGATACGGGGTGCGGGGAGCAGTTCAGGGTGGCAGGGGCAAAGTTTTAGAAAAGGGCACATTCATTTTACCTTACCACACAAATAGGAAACCTAAATTTACAAGTGCATGCGAACTTGCAAACCACAGGAGAACGCATATTTAGAATAATATTACCGGTTTGTTTTAATGCGAAGAGAAGGCATCATTAATGTATGATATGTATCATGTATGATACTATTACATGGCAGGAAAGGCCACAGGGTTGCCCCCGTAAGCAAAGGGCACCTCAACCTGGCTAAGATTATGCACAACACAATGGAATAACCACAAAGATTTCACTTTCTCTCATAACTGCAAGTTGTTTCTCCGGTGAAACATTTGATTATATAAGAAACTCCTGAGAAATTCTACTGGGGTTCACTTTTTAGCTGGTCTAGGGTTTCCTAGATGCTTTGTGTGGTTCCCTCTTGCAATGACAGTCCCATCTTGTAGTCGTAACTCTGCCGTGGTGAAAGCCATAGTTCTCCCAACTTTTAAAGCTTCGGCAGTTATTGTCACAAGATCACCAGTTTTGGCTGCTGCCAAATACCTGGGTGAGCAAAGTTGAATATTGATGATACATTTGCCACCTAATGAGGCATTTCAGAATGGGAAATAAATAAACATACGAGATATGAAGATCAATGCTCACTCCTGATTGACCATTTTCCCTGGATAATAATGCCATTGTTGTCATGCTGTCAATTATGGTTGCCGTAAAACCACCATGCAGGGTACCAACTACATTTTGATGCTCTTCCTCCACAGTTAACTCAGCTACAATTTTGCCTGGATCAGCTGCAACAATTCTGACCTATTAACAAGTTGAAATAAATGCACAGTCACATTCAATCTTAAAGTTTGTAGCCTAAGAAAAATCAATTCTAGAAAGGTTAAACTGAAAAAATGCAGTTGCATAGGGTTGGATAAAAGGGTTTATAACTATTTGAGAAAATCTTTGAGTGAAGTCCAGGGTGGATCGTGGAAGAAAAACTCCTTGACAGGGCCAGGGGACCTCCCCCCCGGGAGGTGAATTTGATGCACTCTCTAATCAAGTAACTATGATCAAAAACCTACATGCATTTCAACATTAACCTATCAAAATTTAATGTTTCTAATCATCTGAATACCTTATTCATACATTGATCAAAAACCTTACGCTTACTCAACATAGCAGTTAATCCGAGAACTTTCTGCAAAGTCGCCATTTTCAGTATTTTCTATTGATGTTTCCACATGTGAAACTTTGAAATTCCTTAATTCGCTAGTCGTCCGCCCTAGTCCCCTGAGTTTTGCGCGCGGCCCAATCGACTTTTGCAATGCATTCTGGGACTGTTTTTAAAAACAACAATATTTTAATTTTGTTTTGGACTTTTGGTAGGCGTCAAATATACGAGAGATTAGAAATACTTTTAGTTTTCTATCAGATTTAGCTTTCTATAAGATGAAAATATGAATTATTTCCATTTTCAACAAACATTCGATTCAAATTTGTCAGGCTGCCATAATATTGCGATATCTCCAATCCTTGCGAGAAATTTCAAGCGCAAATCGAGCCCTAGCTATTTTATAAACATTTGCAAAAAGCAGATAACTGACTTGACTCTAGAGACTTGAATTTTCGGTTCCCGCGTAGCACTTAATTGTGTGGATAAACGATAGTTCGATAGTATAGATTTAATGCACCCTAAATAAGCCTATTATTAGTCCATGTCTATAGACTTCCCCTCAAAGTGCAAATTCGATCATCTTACAGTTCAAAGTCATGGAAGTATCGCTCGGTTCGGAGCCATAGACATTGTTTTGGAATGATTATTTTCGTATTCATCATCTTCTTATCAGGAATACATAATACATATATTATATAAGCCTTAACTGCCTATTTGTCTCTTTGTTCAAAATGCATTTAAAATGCCAAGTATGAAAGATTATCGGGAAAAAAAAGAAAAAAAAGAAGACATATAATATATGCTTACCTAGGCTGACAAAACAGCGAAGTTACAGTTCATGCCCCGAAAAATTCAAAACATTCGAAACTTGGGAAAGCTATAAATCATGCCTCCCCCCCCCCCGCTGTTTTGGGAAGAACCGATGCGCAAAAGCCCCCCAGCTAAACTGTTGAATGTTTGTACTTTTTTCTGTTCATATTCAGCTAGTTTGAAGGCCGCTTAAATGGAACGCTGAGATAATACTCATGTGGCCGATGGGACATTCATCACACTTGTATTAAAAATCTAACGGAATGTCTGAGTGGAAAGAAGAATAATCGGGAGGTAAAATTGTAAAAAGAATCACCCTCTTGTACTAACCCTGATAACTGATTGTTAATAAAAAAGAACTATTTATCCTTCCTGTACGAAAATGAGCTTCATTTTCACAAAATAGTCAAAATAGCTCACGGCAACGATGCTGAAAAAGTTGAAAACTATCCGTAGAAATCCGTAAAAATATAATCGGATCTTCTTCCCTAATGTACAGATTATCCTCAACTCAGTCAACTGTGTAACATTCGTTCATTGTAGCTGGCTTGAGCAAAGAGCTGTTATACTGAAAAGGACTGGGTCAGTTTTCCCAATCTGCTTGAAACTATGTTGTGTATTTGGATAAAATACCTCACGGCAAAGATACTGAAATGAGTGAGACAGTTGCGCTTGTGAAAAAAAATATAAGCGGATATGAGACTTGGCTGACTTGCGAAAGGTTATCTTTCGTAAAGTATGCATACAATGCGATCTTTATCAGTGATAAAAAGAATAAGGCAGCGTCATTTCGAGACATCCTCGATGTACGACTTCCTTTCGCTCTATAAATAGACCATGCACGAGTTCGTATAAAAAGTTTGACTTAGCTATAAACGGGATCATTATTGAGTGTTGACTATCGCGGGTACGTGCGCACACTTAGCCAGACTCAGTAGCTTTTCAGTAAATACTTATCTTAGAGAGTTATACAGAGGCGTTCAAGGCTTCAAAAGGAGCGGGAATTATCAACCTGATTCCTGAATATCAAACTGCAAAACAAATATAAAGTAAATCGGTAAGTTGCTGAAAAAATCCATATAGCTATATCGTATTTTTGTGAGGATAGTCGGTCTATTCATTCGTCAAAGTCTCACTGCAGTAAATCGTGTTTATAATTGAAATATTTATGGTAGAAGAACCCGTTTACCTGATTGCTAATTCAAATTTACCGGATTGAATTTTTGCGGGAAAGTAGTAAAAGGCGGTGAAGATTACAAAGCCTGAACAATATATTGCTCATATATATAATCATTACTCATATTACTAAAGCTTTACTTTATGTAATTATTGTCATTGGAATTTCAATAATAAGTCTGGCTTCTTGCAAGTTATATCATATATGTGGTATATTTCAGATTTCAAATACAATTACGCGTGGACTGTGGTTTTGCATATTGCTAGTCGTGCTATAGTTCTCGGCAACAAACAATGGAAGCCATGCACCCGACGGTCGGACTGAAAAACATTAGAGCCATGAATTGCAATTTAGTGTTTGCCGGAGTTTATGGGCGCTTTCCTTGAAGCGGCCAAAGTCAAAACAGGCAAATTTTGAATTGAGATTTTGAGTATTTCGTTAAAGCGGTGAAACTGTATTCCCGTGGTATACGGTGCTAGGCAGATGTAAATAACGATGTACAGTACTAGCTTGAATGCAGAGTTCTTGAAACAATCTAAAATACCAGTAATCTGTCTGCATTTAAATTTAACAGAAGAAATCACAATGAAAAAAACTTTATAAATATGTGTTTGTTTTCAGTTGATAATCTCAATATGATTTATGGATGCCTCTTAGTCCCAGTGCTGGTCGCAATGGCGAGCTTTCACCAGACGTTTGCCGGACGCCGACAATGCTATGATGGTCAGACATGTGATAACCAGACAGTAATATTAAGTTTTGACTGCGCAGACATCACAAGCAGAAACATTTCCAGCATTACCGCACTGTTTGCGTATAACCAGATATCCATTCCTAATTCAGGGCCAATTTTTAATAATTCCGAATTTTGTATGTATCGGCTAAAAGCTACATTTGGCGATACAAAGTATGACGACCTTTATGTTGTACCGCCGCAAGATTGTAGCCCACTAAGCGGAACAATGTACGCCAATGTCCTTGTTCTTGTAAATGAAAGTGTCACATGCATCGGAGATCAGAATATTCGCAATGCACTTCAACAGAGTTCAAACGAGCGGGCTCGGGTGAATTTGAGAATCCAGTCCCAACCAGAAAATGTCATGAGTTTGATGGCCTGTACAGTGTCGACAAGTACGGTGTGTTCAGCTACAGATAATCCAACCGTAATGAGTCTAACGCCAACCAAGATCATGAGTTCAACATCAACCAAGATCATGACGAGTTCAAGCGTGAATAGAACAGCGAGCACGACAAAAAAATCTGACGCAACTTCAGCACAGGCGCATTTCGGTAGTGCGATGCTGTTTTTCCTGGCCACTACTGGTGCTCTAACGGTTTCCATGCTTTCGTTGTGAACGCAACTGTTTCTCAAAACGAACACAAGTTTATATTGGTGTTAATTTTGCATAGTTTAAGAGACATGATTGTTTCTTTTCAATTGTTTTCCATTTAAAGTCATTAATTTCCTTCTTTCCATAAACGCTGAGATAATACCCATGTGGTCGATGAGACATTCATCACACTTGTATTAAAAATCTAACGGAATTGCTGAGTGGAAAGAAGAATAATCGGGCAGGTAAAATTGTAAAAAGAATCACCCTCTTGTACTAACCCTGATAACTGATTGTTAATAAAAAAGAACTGTTTTTTCCTTCCTGTACGAAAATTAGCTTTATTTTCACAAAATAGTCAAAATAGCTCACGGCAACGATGTCGAAAAAGTTGTAAAACTATCCGCAGAAATATAATCGGATCTCGTTCCCTAATGTGCAGATTATCCTCAACTGTATAATATGCGTTCATTGTAGCTAACTGGCCTGAGCCTTTAGAGCTGTTTATACTGAAAAGGACTGAGTTTTTCCTAATCTGCTTGAAACTATGCATGTTGTGTATTCGCATAAAATACCTCACGGCAAAGATACTGAAATAAGTGAGACAGTTAGTTTCGCTTGTGAAAAAAATAATATAAGCGGATACGAGACTTGGCTGACTTGTGAAAGGTTATCTTTCGTAAAATATGCATATAATGCGATCTTTATTGATAAAAAGAATTGCGCGGCGTCATCTCGAGACTTCCTCGATGTACGACTTCCTTTCGCTCTATAAATAGATCATGCACGAGTTCGTATAAAAAGTTTGACTTAGCTATAAACTGGATCATTATTGAGTGTTGACTATCGCGGGTACGTGCGCACAATTAGCAAGATTCAGTAGATTTTCAGTAAATCACTTATCTTAGGCGTTCAAGGCTTTGAAAAGGAGCGGGAGTTATCAACCTGATTCCTGAATATCAAGCTACAAAACAAATATAAAGTAAATCGGTAAGTTGCTGAAAAAATTCATATAGCTATATCGTATTTTTGTGAGGATAATCTGTCCATTCATTCGTTGAAATCTCACTGTAGTAAATCGTATTTATACTTGAAATATTTATGGTAGAAGAACCCGTTTACCAGCATGATTGCTAATTGAAATTTACCTGATTGAAATTTTGAAAGTAGTAAAAGGCGGTGATCGCGTCATTGGAATTTCAATGATAAAAGTCTGGCTTCTTGCAAGTTATATGTGGTATATTTTAGATTTCAAATACAATTACGTGTGGACTGTGGTTTTGCATATTGCTTGTTCCATAGTTCTCGGCGACAAACAATGGAAATTAAGCCATGCACCCGACGGTTTATGAAACAACATTAGAGCCATGAATTGCGATTTAGTGTTTGCCGGAGTTTATGGGCGCTTTCCTTGAATATGACTGTGTTTGTTTTCAGTTGAATATCTCAAGATGATTTATGGATGTCTCTTAGTCCCAGTGCTGGTCGCAATGGCGTGCTTTCACCAAACGTTTGCCGGACGACAATGCTATGATGGTCAGACATGTGATAACCAGACAGTAATATTAAGTTCTGACTGCGCAAACATTACAAGCAGAAACATTTCCAGCATTACCGCACTGTTTGCGTATAACCAGATAGACCTTCCTAATTCAGGGCTAATTTTTATTAATTCCGAATTTTGTATGTATTTGCTAAAAACTCCATTTGGTGATACAAAGTATTACGACCTTTATGTTGTGCCGGCGCAATATTGTTATCCAAACGGAACAACGTACGCCAATGTCATCGTTCCTGTAAAAAATATCACATGCATCGGAGATGAGAATATTCGCAATGCACTTCAACAGAGTTCAAACGAGCGTGCTCAGGTGAATGTGAGCATCCAGTCCCAACCAGAAAATGTCAGCAAGAGTTTGATGGCCTGTACAGTGTCGACAAGTGCGGTGTGTTCAGCTACAGATAATCCAACCGTAATGAGTTCAACATCAACTGAGATCATGACGAGTTCAACATCAACTAAGATCATGACGAGTTCAACATCAACCAGGACCATGACGAGTTCAACGTCAACTAAGATCATGACGAGTTCAAAATCAACCAGGACCATGACGAATTCAAAATCAACCAGGACCATGACGAATTCAACATCAACCAGGACCATGACGAATTCAAGCGTGAATTCGAATAGAACAACGACCCCAAAAACGACATCTGACGCAACTCCAACACAGGCGCATTTTAGTAGTGCGATGCTGTTTTCCCTGGCCACTACCAATGTTCTCATGGTTTCCATGCTTTCGTTGTGAGCGCAATCGTTTCTCAAAACGAACACAAATCTATATTGGTGTTAATTTTACGTAGTTTAAGAGACAATATAGTCGACCGATTAGCGGCGATTACCCTTGATACAATCTGACCACGTGTGCACAAATTTCGCGTGCCGGTAATAATCCCATGTTTGGTAAATCCTAAATACACTAATTCAATCCTTGAGATTAAGTTGGGATTAAGGTTAGAGTTTAGGATTGGGATTCACCTTAATAAACCATGAACCTAGAACTAATCTCAACGCTAATCTTAACCTAATTACAAGAATTAAATTAATGATTTGCTGAATATGATTTAAGTTACTACCTTGTACTTTCAGGAGTTATGTATTACTTATTTTGTTACGTCAAACTAAATATATATTTTTTGACAGCCGTTTAATCGCAGTCGGCGCAAATAATGTCGAAGATTCAATCTCTGAAACAAAAAAACACAGCCCTTTCTTTTGATTTCCATAAAATATTCTCTGCATAAAATACTCACAACAATTATCAAGCCTGGAAGTTGTAGGGATTTGACCTTTACACGGATAGGCATGCATGTAAATTTTAACGCTGTGTTAAGCTTGACCTAGCTTCAGAACTAGATAGAGCTCGTGAACAGAATTTTATTATTAGCTGATATTAGCTGATATTAGTGTTGCGTGTAATCATGGCTATTGTCTCATATTTGAATAAATTGCGTTGATACCATTATTTTAAGATAACGTCATTTCCGTTTGTTCCCCGTGTGATGACCCCGAAATTCTATTTTTATACCAAAATGAAAATTAATATTTTTTTACCATTTTAACAACAGTAACTGTGAGGGAGTTGAATTTCAAGTTTACATATAATGCGCAGGCTATATCAGGCAACTTATTAATCAGTCTGACACCCCGCGAGTATCACATCAAAGCGCACAAATAAATAGCATCGAGATCGGAGATCCGTTTTTCAAAGAAGAGCAAGCAGAAAGATAGTTTTCAGAGTTTTCCAGGCGAATCAGGCACTGAGAAGAGAGAGAGCATAATATAACCGGAATAAAAAGCTGCAGAAATATTTTACCAGGTAAGCGGCCATTATTATCATGTACGGGCATGTCACGAAGGAAGCCATTTGAAGGAAAACAGGCCAATTAGTCCTTCGAATATCCAGAACCCTCTTTAGTCCACCGTCCAAGCTTTCACTTTACGTCTTCCGATCGTCCGTTTCTGAAAGAGTTGTTTGCAACGGATGAGTTATCATCCATAGGCCTGTCACACTGTCGGTAGTTTCAGTAACAACCGACGTGTCTGTATATTCTAGAATTCAAGTTTAATATCCGATTATTTTTAGCTGGGTTGTATACATTAATTAGATTGATTTTTCTTGAAGGTCACTCTTCTAAAGCCTTTGAAAGCCACAAGCAACCTATGAGCGACATAAATCAAACGGGATACAAATAGATCCCTAATTTTTTTGGATGAAACTAGCCTGTTAGTTCATGAGTCAATTTCAACTAAAGCATACGATAATTTTCAACGTAGAAAGTTTGTTTTCAAATAGGTCTTGACTGTAGTATATAGAATGTGTTTCCAGTTTCCTCAGCATCAATTATGAATAATTGAAACAAATGGCAGCCAAGGTTGAAAGGTTCCGTTTAATCGAATTCTTGAAAGGTTCCGTGCACTTCTAGTTGTCAATGGGAAGGGGAAAATATTAGCCAGATAAAAGTAATTGTACTAATAAACATGGGTGATTTGAGCTTATTTTTTGTTGCTCTATACTACTTTCGTGAGTCAAAAAATTTAGCTTGGTTCGAGAATTGACAGGTTTATTAATATGACGTTATAAGAAATATTTCATCTTCATAATCGGGTCACTCATGGTCACTAAACGTAATAGGATACGTATCCAGACCTTATGACTACCTCGCCAGAAGTCGCACAGCATCTGACTGCTGGACTTTAACTGGAGTGTTTGCCATCTGCAGTCCTTCGCACAGTCCTAACAACTTTATTTTTGCTTCTTTAGTCAACAAATTCTAACATGATTAATGGTGGAAAAAAGGTATTCCTTGTTCTGAGCCTATTTGGAATAGCGTGCGTCTATCAGGTGTTTGTGCGCATGTATCCCTACGACACGCGTCATTTTACCTCGAATCACAATACCCTGTGTGACGATAATTGCGCTGAAAGTGAAGACGGCCATTATCGATGCAACACAAACGAAGGAAAGGACTATTGTTCGCCTGATAACGACGTCGCCAGCAACGGCAAACCCTGTCTTGAGGATCATCCGTGCGATCAACATGGAACGAACTACCATTGGTGTTACACAGGGAAGACTACCTGGGATTTCTGTGGATTGGTTGACGGAAGTGCGGTCGGGTATATCAGAGGTGCCTCTCACAGACGGTATAAACGAAAAACGTGTCCCACAAATTACAGTGGTGACCACACCTGCGATGAACGAAAAGTATTTTTCGAATATGAATGCGATAAAGACAAAAACAACCAGACTTTTTCGGGCGATAACGTAAACTGTATTTCGAAAGTCATCGAATATTTTCAAGTAGAAAAACTACCTACCATCAACGATTTGCAGCAATCAGTCGTGGAAACCGGAGACAAAGAGTGTTGCATCTTGTTTGAAGGTAAATATATATCGAAAGTCAATCAGAGTACAATAACGTATTACAAGCTTCACGTGCAAGATAAAAACAAGACAAAAACATACGCCACTGTATACGTTCCTTCAAACGAAACTAATTACCTTAAAAACAAGACTATTCGTTATGCTTTTAACCAAAGTTCAAAGAAAAAGCAAAAAATAACAATGGTAATAAAATACAGTCCTGGGAGTGGAAAACGTTGCCGCGCCGCACCGAAAACCAGTGTTTCCACCTTTTCACAGACAAAGCCCAGTGTTTCCACCTCTTCACAGACAAAGTCCAGTGTTTCCACCTCTTCACAGACAAAGCCCAGAAAAACGACGCTGTATTTGGCAAGTGTCGTAATGGTATCAACCTTTTTCCTGTAGACGCAAGTGTCGAACTGATGCGTGCATGATTGAACATGGTTTGAAATTGACCACATCAAATATTAACTCAAAGATCAGGTGCAGGGACTATATACTCTGTGGGTAATTGATATATCCTTAATTGAAACCACACAGAAATTTCAAATTGACATTTCCAATGAATCAAATAGAAGCAAAGCATATTGCAGTATGAATCTATATGAATTTTTAAATCAGGGCATAGAGTTAGGGGAAAATTTTTGTTCAAGATACTTCAAGATTGTATAATTAAGATGGTAACTTTAAACTTGTACCGAAAATCGTTTTAATTTCAATTGTTTAGCGGGTGGATTGATTACGCTCTAAGGTCATTTTGTAGTTTAAATGTTTCGGTTACACTAATGACTAAATAAATCAATTCGCTTTGCTATGAATATATTCTCATCTGAGTCGTCTTCCATATCAACAATGTGTGCATGAAATTGGTTAAGAAGTTGTTTAAAATTTAAAAACGAGTGATTATACTAATGCCAAACGGAAAATGATGACAAGCGAGAACTTCAGTTTGATCTACATAATAAAGTCACGGAAAGGTGTCGATAAAACTGGCGGCTTTCCAATAAACATCAGAAAACAATTGGTGACTCGTTGCATTCTTCGCCATATTCAAATGCACAGTTTCAAAATTCAATTCGGAAAAACAATTAAATTTTTCAAACTATATTTCGATTCAGTTTATCTGCAAAACTCTCCAAATTCAATTGCAAATAACAACGAGACGCTTCAAATCTTCGAAGTAAAAAGTTCCGCCATCTTGCATCCATACAGTACAAAATAAACGTTTCTCCAACAAGTTTCAACCGGTAACTTGAACGATTATTTCCTGTTCGAAAGGGCAGTTACATTCACCCTTGGTTAACAAACATTCCCCAACAATATAAAACCTTATGCCGGCGCTTAAAACCTTTGCAATTGTCCTTTATTTACCCCCAAATAATCAAAGATGTTTTCGTCTGGTAAACCTGTCTGCCAATCCAACCAGAATGGAACCAGGCACTCTCTGATGTACCAAAATAAGATCTTCTATCGCTAGTTGAACCTAAATAAAAGAAACGAGAAACTCAATCGCATACATAAACATGCATTTCAAAAGTTTCTTTCCGACTAGAAAACGTTTTACCTTCTCTGAAAGCTCCTCTGGAGTCAACGTCGAATCGTATGGGATTGGATCACCAATGAAAGTCCTAAAAACGATTGTGTGTTCGTGAGATATTCTTGAGTTTGTCGCCGTTTTCTACGCTACAACATCACCTCATTTTCACAGGGAATCCTCCATAGATAGGCGCAGCTAACGGGCATCGTGTATAATCATAAAGCTTTTGCAATATTCCTGAATAATAACGAGAATATTTGAGAATGAAGCCTCTTCAAATGGAGATAAATTTAACATTTCATTTTGACTTACTTCGTCCCATTTTGATTGTCCTAAAGATTTCGCGCACGTTCTGCGTGAAAACTGGAATTATGGTCTAAAAAACGATCGAGAAATACACAGAAGGTTTGTAGTTTGTAACCTTACAGGTGTTAAACTGTTGACACACAATTTAAACACGTAATACGATGGATTAAATTCTTATATTTCAAATACTTACCACTTGTGCTTCCTGTGCAACTTTGGCAAAACCAAGTCTACCATTCCAAACTAATTTATAATTCTCATCTGAAAACAGCGCTTCTCTCACACCTCCTGGTGATACGGCTAGTAATTCACCATCCTGTAATGAATTGAGATCAGAAAATGTACCGCTGGATTGCTTCGTCGATTCTAATACGGATCCAGTGTTTTCATTGGAGGAAACCTAACTTTATTTATACTGGATAGCTCTATCAGTTCTAAACTGTTTTTTCTAGAGGTCCAGTAAGGATCATCTCTTATTGATCCAGTGTTACTACAGGAGGAAACCTAAACTAAACTAACTTCATTTATACTGGATAGCCCTATCAGTTCTAAACTGTTCTTCCTAGAGGTCCAGTAAGGATCATCTCTTATTGATCCAGTGTTACTACAGGAGGAAACCTAAACTAAACTAACTCCATTTATACTGGATAGTTCTATCAGTTCTAAACTGTTCCTCCTAGAGGTCCTGTAAGGATCATCTCTTATTGTTCCTGTGTTAGTAAAGGAGAAAATCTAAACTAAATTAACTTTATACTGGATAGCTCTATTAATTCAAAAGTGTTCTCCCAAGAGGTCTAGTAAGGATCATCTCTTATTGATCCAGTGTTGCTACAGAAGGAAACTTAAACTAAACTAACGTTATATTTATATAATGAATATCTCGATACAACAACACACCTTTAGCATTTTTACACATTCTTCTCTGGTCGGAGAGCAAGCCCCGAAGACATCTAACATTATTTTGAATCCTGCAAGGGATATATATTCCAATAAATACAACAGGATTAAAAAAAAACCTGGACTATAACGATCCTGACCAACTTCATCCATATTGAATCAATTTTCCTAGCGTGTGGTTAAAAGCAGAATGTCTACGGGTTTTTTTCAGTATAATTTACTTTAGGAATTAAAGTGTACTAGAGGTGAAGTAATTGTAGGAATTACGAGAACTAGAAACTATAAATACCTGGTAATCTAAAAAGAAAGGTGGCTACAATGTTCTTTAGCGATCGTTTTTTGTACAACAACATCTTCGCAATAATGTAAAATATGTCTATCGGCAAAGCCCCGTGATAATACACCAGCAACGCTGGGCCATGATCTGGAACTTTCTCTAAACCGATGATCTCATAACCTGGATTAAAATAGACAATTTGCATCCATCAATGTTTGTGCATTGGCGATTGGCGAATATCAAACCAAAGAATATAGTCGTGAATATGAGTGAAGGGTCGTTAGCCCAGGTGTTATCATATAGTTTTTCGACCTTTGGTCAGTTTGGTGGTAGAAGTATATCAATATGACTTCAGAATATACATTTGAAATTTACGTTTAAAATAGCGCTGAATGCCAAAAGACATCAATAAGACCGAGGATCGGAACTTAATTTGTATCCGTTTGGTAAGGTTTCTTGCCAAAAAATGATATTTTCTTTCTGAAAAAAAGCATGTTGATATCGCCATCTTCCGCGTTTGCAATGCATCAGCGTACCTTTGTTGACCAAAATAGGATATCATATTATGGAGAACAGAACTTGTCAAAAGGAAACCAGCCCTCAGCGAATACGATACGACATAATCATAACAAACATATCAAAGTTATTTTCTTTTAAACTGATTTGAATTCGCAAAAAAGTTTCTGAGATCAAGTTGCCGCATCTTTTTTATAGCGTCCGTTGCACATTCATTTCCCCAGTTGTGAAAATTTCTCAGGAGCCCCTGCATGTGCACTGCGCTGCTATGACCTTGAGTAAACTAAGGGACTTGTGGTGGCCAAACTATCATTTAACCCATCAGGCAGCTGAGGAGATCCGACACAATGAGTCGAGTGCAAACAATGTACATTTGAAGATACCAAAGGTTATATACATATAATTGAGTATACTGCAATTTGTATAGGTATTGCTTTGAGATACCTATATAGAAGAGTTTTTAAACATGGCGCAATTTAGCGACAGGGACCATTCTATCTTTGATGGTGATTCACATAATTATAATATGCCGCGTCGAGCAACTACATAAAGCAGCCGGTCCAAGTTTAAAATACGGTCCAAAATAAAACAGAGGAAAAATGTCGAGCATCGGCTGACTGAATGCGGTTTTATTCTGTGGGTAAAATAAAAAATTATCGGGCAAACTGAGAATCAAACTTATCTCTTTTTTACTACACATGTCTGAGATTATCCGTCCTCAAGGAAGGTCAAGGTCACGCAAGACAAGGTCAAGCATGTTTTTCTATTACAGACAGGTTAAAGCCGCAAAAAAATTTTAAACCAGGTTTCTGTGATGATTGCTGGTTACTTCATCGTTCGGAATAAAACGGTTAAGTGCTACATTTTACGCACAAAATATCCAGCAAAATTTTCACCTTTATTCTAGGCAAGTGGTCATATCGACCGAGATATCGCCTATTTCGATTAAATACACTTCCAACAGATTTTTTAAATACTATTTATCGACGTCTACGATAATCGAATTACAACCAAGTATAATAATATTACCGAAGCAAAGTGTAGGGTGATGAAGTGGAACAAAGCTCAAGTATTATTCTTATTTAAGACAATTGTATCTTTCGGAAATTATACAAACTTCCCGATATGATATTCGCTGACGTCTGCGCTACTCCGCATAAATTAGACTCTAAGTTACGGCTTAGAAACGTGAATAATAAATAATACGATATGCATGAATGGATAATACCGTTCCAGTACGTCGCCTGTGCATCGAACACTGCAGCCACTGTCTGTTTCGCTCCGTCCCAGAAGTTCTCCGAGTAAGCATCGTAGATTTCCCTTCGTCTGTGCCGGTAAACATGAAGAAATACGACGGTAGCGTACATCATTCCAAGTAAGGTGAGAGGAAAGGCGAAAAGAATAAGCAGAGGGTAAAAGATTAACACAGGTGCGAGAATTGTTATTGTGTTGTAAACGTCCATTTCGTACGGACACAATGGATCGAATGCTGAGTGAATGATCATGGGACTTCTACGCACCCGATGCGGTGTTTATAAAATACTTTAAAATTGTCATCGGATACTTCAAAACACACGTCAATAATTAGTCAGGCTCTGGTTGACACGAGAGAGTATCAAATTTTCATTTGAACCGACTGGAGGCTGGTTTAACTAAATTTAACTGAATTTCAAATATCTTCACTCATGCATGAGCGCATGACTGTGGCCACCTTGTACTTAATTTATTCTTCGCTTTATTATTGAAGATCCAGAATAGTAAACAGGCAAAACCTGCAACCCTGGTCTCATAACACACTGGATGAGAGTTTCCGGAGACCCAATTGATAAAAATCACGCGAACTTCGGGAATAGTATTTCTACGTCACTATATAATTACTAGGTTACCCGTGGGTAGGATTACTGCCTGAAAGAATGATGTCAGTGTTTGGCCCGCGAGATTCTCGCTTGAATTTCGATAATACATTGGCTTGTACGGCTACGACCCAGTCTCCCACACATCAGGCCCAGTCTCCACATGTTTAATCCTTTTACGCCATGCAGTGTGTTCTGGGAATCCAACCCAGAAGCCAAACATTCGCGTTTTTAATTGTTCGTGCACAAATTGGGTTTCTCTGCGATTTTGTACAATGTGCAAGAAATCTTTTCACCATCAACAAACATGTTTGGCCCCAGGCATGGACACTTTTTTTGAAAGCCAAACGAAATAGAGGGAAACCGGAGTGCCCGGAGAAAAACCCTCAAAAGGTAACCTGAATTTCAGGTTCCCTGACCGGCGGTCCGAATTTGGTATTTTCATTTGGAAATATATTTACAGTTGACCGTTTTAGTTTCATTCATCCGAACTGAGTCTCAGGAATTGCATATTGTTATGCAATACTTGAGCTTCGTCAATTGAATCCTGGTGGTGGTCTAACGTGCGCATGCGCGCATATCGTCCGTTGCAATTCAAAAGCAGGCTGTTCAAGTAAAAGTGGCTTTAATTTAAACTGCGCTTTGTCCGACAGTGACAACCAAAAATTATTTCAATTATTCAAATCCTCTTTTTATGATCATGCTTTTTTTGGAAATTTGGCATTTTGAATCGAAATGTTTCATATTCACGACTTGCATGCTTTTTCATCTCAAACCGATGTAGACAACAACACTCTTCTATTACCCCTTCTTAAGACATGCATTTTTCATGCACAGATGATATATTTTTGTTATACATTCTCGTTATGGGCTTAACATGCAACTTACCCAATATGGCTAATCAATAATGTTCCTCACCTTTTGCAGTATGTGTAATGGTAAACGGTGTGCCAAATTTCACCTGCTTCTTTCCTCCATCTTAAACAGTTGCGTTCTTCTTCAACAACATCTCGACGGTGGGGCGTGCAAGAAATTAAACAACATAGTAAGTGTGTCAAAATACAAAGGCTCTTCTTTAAAGGTTTAGCTTTTCAGGCAAGAGGGTACTATACAATACAACCCACAGTTTATACAATATACCCCAAGATAACCCCTATTATACAAGCCGTTCCAGTTATCATGCAATGTGATATATCATGTTATATATAGGGAATCATATTATATATAGGGGCATATTTTCCTTCTTGCACGAACTTCATCAAGTTAGTCAAAGTGATTAGAGATTACATTTATTTCCTTCGGAAGTTCAGAGCTTAATTTGCAATACGAAACAATAATACAAACTAGGGAAACAAAAGAGTGCTAGTGTCTAAACATCCAATAGTCATTTTTTCTTCATTTCAAACTTCAATGATTCGAATTTAAATGTTCAAAGACCAAAGTATGATTTTTGATGCCACTGACGGACGGTTCTTCGAAGCGGTCGCGTTATTATACGCGGCGAACAGAGGACTTATATAATCATATAAGTACTCGCGATTACATTCGTATTAAACTAAAATTAGGCCAATACGAATTCGATAATATTTTCTCTTTGCGTGCGCGTCTGCCATGCTAATTGTATTTCCTTACTTTCATTTTAACGCTTTAAAGCCATCATGCATCTTTCGCAGCTGTTAAGTCGTTCACACACAAGTGACAAAACTAGGAATGTTTCATCGAGAAACCTCGAAAACGCCCTCATAAGAGCTGTGAGAAATTTCCTGTTATCATGCAATGTCGAAAACGCTTGGAATGTCACTTGATGTGTGAATATACTAGGTTAGACCACCAGGAGGAATCAATCCGAGAATAAATCATGCACTAACATTAATCATGCATTACTCAAATTAGTACACATATAGTATATACCTCAACCAGCTTCTACTTTTATACCCGGCTCGTCGTCCATCATCTGATCCAGCGACGATCGTTCATCATCTGATCCTGCGACAATCCTTCATCATTTAATCCTGCGACGATCCTTCATCATTTAATCCTGCGACGATCCTTCATCATCTGATCCTGCGACGATCCTTCATCATTTAATCCTGCGACGATCCTTCATCATCTGATCCTGCGACGATCTTTCATCATCTGATCCTTTTAAAGTAGATACAAAAATTGATATTAATTTCATGGCCAAAAAAGAAATGTAACTTATGTATAAAAAGCATTAAAGATCCGCACTTAAAACCCGATTACAGACCTCCAACATCTCCTATGCCTCTCGTCCAAGGCCTTCGCATTGCGCACGCGAATACAAAATGTCATGCATATTTTGTACGAAATAATTCATCGTTTTCTTCATGCTCCTGAGAACATTAAAACACTCGACTATTATCTCCTTCTAGAAATACAATTTCTCATGCATTTTTATGTTTTAGGCGCTCTGTGAGCGATATTTTTGTTCCGGACTATTGTCGTTCAAGATGAAGAAAATACAAGTGATGGGGCCCCAAATCACTTGCATTTACTCCGCATGCGCTTGACACGACCAGACACAGGCATAAACCGCAATCCGAAAAGTTGAAAATCAAGGAGGTAAACAGAAGAGTGTTCAGCATATCTCAGACCAAAAAGCCAAATACATGCATGTTTTACTCATGCATATTTTCACCGAAAATGAGTTTTGTATTTGCGTGCATATAAATGTCCCAAGGCAGGTCCGACATCTCTCCATTCCGACGATTCTTTCATTCTAAAAATAGAAAACCTTGGTAAAACAAAAAAATTCATAAAGCCTAGGTAAAGTAACTTGCTTTCAGTGTAACTTGCTTTTGTGGTAAAACTAATTGACGTGGGAAGCAAAAGGAATCACAGCACGATAAGATTTTGGAAGTAGAAGACACGCTCCGAAGACTGAACTACAACAATAAACAGGCTGAAATAACTCAGCACATGCATGCATGCCAAGTCTAGCATAAAGTACATACATATAACAATACGGATAATCATAGCCATAGGCATTATTGGCATTATATATATCTCAGTTTGAATCTGTCTTTCCCTTGTACAAAACCTACATGAAGTGATGACGGACGAGTATTCACAATACGACAATGTAAACTGACATTGGTGCCAGAGTGGAACGTTTCCCGTAATGAAGTCCCGAAAAGTTCGAATTAAATATATTTTAGTTTCGCCCACCGCGTACAAACGTGTTATTTCAAGTCACAAATGCAAAATACACATACATTAGTAGAACAATACCTATTATTCGCTGCAAGCAAGCGTTTGTGTCTCGCTTCTTCCATCTTTCGGCGCCGTAGTTCGTTCTGAAATTAAATAAAGAAGGAAAAACAAAATCAAATTAACTGTTCACTCGCATTTGACATTTTGAATCGAAATATACAAGATATAGCAGTGAAAATCAGCAAGAATATGGCTCAAGGCGCTAATGTCTTCTGCCTATTCAAATCAACACGGCGATGAACTCATTTGCAAAGCCAAAGATCAAGCCAACAGATTCTTTAAACCAACCAAGACCATGTACCTGAGCAAAGATTCTTCTAACTTTTCCCTAAACTTCTTCGAGTGATCCTTCCTTCTTCGAGAGTGCCAAAATTGAGTTTCGTTTCGAATACACTCGTCTTTTATTACCTCAAAGACATTCCAACAGACAATGCACTTTATAAATCCATCACACATAACAGTCACTCAGTCAGGCTTGCTTCAAACGTTGTGGTTCTCATGTGTTGAACGCATTAACAACAATAGATAATGAGGCATCTCATTTGATTAACTATTGTTTTAAATCCGTTCTGGGCTTGAAAAGCACGACGTTTTGAAATAAACAAACTTTTGTCGTCTCATCGCGATATGTTTTGCATATTTCTATTGTCCGTTGCGAGGAATAATAAAATCCTGGTGAGATGATAGCTCGTGGCTAGAGGAAACAGCTGCGTGGCTAGAGGAAACATCTTATTCCAGTTGGCCCATGCTTTTCCTTAGGGCTGCTTTCCGCTAGCTCGTTTTATTGGGGTAATATACATTCGGTGGCAGAAAATAATGTGAGGTCTCCCCCGATATCTAGCTTTGTTGTGATGAAGAGTATTATACGTTTTGTTTATATTCAAAATCTACTGGCGCTCCACCGTTAGTTAAGGTGCTGTTACACTATGCAACTTTCCTTGCAACTTGCAATACAATTCTAATTTTGAGTGATGTTAATTTGTAAAGAGTGTTTGATATGCCCAGAAAACCCAGTGAGAAAACCTTATCGATCGTAAGAAATGTTCGCATTTATCAACTTTAGATGCCTCAGGAGTAGAATTGCATTGCAAGTTGCAAGGAAAGTTAATTACATCACTGTAGCACCGCCTTTAAGCCCGCCGCACACGAGAGCTATCAGCTGAGCTAACGACTTTGCGAGGCAGTTAGCTCAGTGCGAAAACCATCTGCACACGTGAGAAACTTGCCTCTCGAGGCGAATTCCTCACGAAAACTATCCCCACACGAGAGTAACTTGCTGAGCTTATCAGCCACGCGTGGTTTATAGCGATTCGTATTTCTTCTATATGTAATTTAAATCGTTTTGTGTCGTTACTTTTAAAATATATTCTACATACATTGACAACTAATAATCTGAATATTTTCATAAAAAATATAAAATAACGAATAAATTAGACGTAAAACTGATGCATGGTGTTTATGGCACGAAAGATCCGTTTGTGTAATTTGAAAACGATGTTCAGTTTTCCGGTTATGTCCGATGACAAAGCTGAGCAACATATTTCAGACTGTTAAACGTTTTTTTTTTCAATTTAGGCCCTGTCGAATCTTCTGTGATCACAGCTGGCATTTTCGAACGGCGAATCCTAGGTTTCAAAATATTTAGTAGAAATATTCAAGGAGACTTAGGGGCTGTTTACATGAGCCCGGTTACCCGAGATTCAACGAAGCGTGAGATGATTTTGAGGTATTGAAATGAGCAGATAACATGATCCTGGCAGTCGTATAATCACCACAACAATAGCATGTGCTTGTTTGGTATCCTAAAGACTTATTTCAATACCTCAAAGTCATCTCACGCTTCGTTGAATCTCGGGTAAGAGGGCTCATGTAAACAGCCCCTTAAACAGGGGACAGGGATCTTCAACGTTGAGTTACTTTATCGTGATACTCGCTGCAAAACATTTACTTGGGATTTACTAATGTAAATTTTCAACTGTGAACACAGGAACTTTGACAGTGTAAACCTGGCCTTAGTTTACCAAATACCGTTCGTTAACTATTCCTGAACGCCGACATTTGGCCTCCAACCAGCAATGACCTTCAACAACTTTTTCACGTGAAATGGTTTCAAATCCAAAGAGAACAGCGTTAGTTCGTCTAATTCCGCCAACATCTCACCGTCAATCTGTTCCTCGCTAAACTTTTTTACATAACATTGCATATGAAGGTTTGTCAACAGCCGTCCAACACCAGCCACAGTCAGATACGACAGATCTTCCGGTATCGGAACGGACGACGGGCTTTCGGGGCAGAGCACTGGAGATTGGTCAGGCGAAATAGAAACCGTAGGTGATGTGGTTTCAGTTTGCGGACATTCGCTTCGACAGCTTTGAACGTCGTGCTTGACAGAAACTTCACCACTCTTTAGTTCATTCTGGTTTGACAAATTGATCGAGTCCATTCTCCCAACGCCCGGCTTTCCAGTATCATTCACGGTCTCATTACTTTCAGCCGGGGGATCGATAGGGGTAGATATGGTAAAATTTACCTGAAAATTTTCTCCCATAGTTTCTGCAGATTTGCGTTTAGGGACGGGCGGGGGGTGTTTAGGGATGATTATGGGAACCATTATCGGGTGTTTCTTGACCTTATTCTCATCTGAGGTCGTATTGTTCTCAGTTATAAACATCGTTGTCTTCGCACAGCTTTCTTTGACAGGCTTGGGGGTTTTGGGGGTATCGGGGGATTGTTCGGAGTAGGTATGGGAACCTTTTTGAATGGTTTCCAAACGTTAGACTCAATTGAAGTTGTAATGTCCTCAGTTTTAACCATCGTAATTTCTTCAGAGCTTTTCAGTCTACCAGATTTGGGTTTAGGGGAAGTGGGGGGATCGGTAGGGATAGATACCGGGACCTTTCTTAAGCGTGTTTTCACTTTAGTCTCATTTGAAGTCGTATTGTTCTTTGTTTCAACCGCGAAAGTCTCCTCAGAGCTTTTCAGTCCACCAGATTTGAGTTTAGGAGAAGTGAGGGGATCGGAAGGGATACATATGGGAACCTTTCTTGAGGGTGTTTTGACTTTAGTCTCATTTGAAGTCGTATTATTTTCAGTTTTAACTATCATGGATTCAGGGGAAGCCAGGGGATCGGTAGGGATGGATATAGGAACCTTTATTGTGCGTTTTTTATACATATCTTTAGGGGAAATTTTAAACTTTTCTTCGCGCGCTTGTGGCGTGATTTTTTTTGCAATGTTTCCACTTTCAAAATCCAATTTTTCTGATTCCTGATTTCCAGGTTCCGATGCAGTTTTTCCAGTGGTGTTTCCAGAACAACCGCTGGTGCTTTGTGAAGCAACTGGGGGTGAAATAACACCAGGGTTATTTACATACTCACTCAATTTCCGGGCCTTTCCCTTCTGTGACATCATCTTCATATACTCCGGTGACGTCATATCAACATATTCGTCTGGCGTCATATCCACGTAATTCTCCGAGGACATGTCCACGTACTCCTCGGCTGTCAGTTCCTCTGACGTCATAAACACGGACTTCTGTATCGTCTTATTTACACCGTAATTTACGAATTCATATCCATATATATCCTTATCTAACCCTTCATCATCAAAAGCATCGATCTCCTCATATTCATGATGTACTTTCAAACGGCATTTCTCTTTTGGACTAAGAGGCGTAAGATTCTGAAGATGGCATTGCCATGAAGATTTCGCTTTTTGATTAGGGTCTTCGCACTTGCATGCATCGTTCCCGTCTTTTACTTTTACTTTTTCAATGTTTTCAAAAGCATCATGGCCAGGCACACTTTCGCCTATTTGTAAAGGTCGATAGAAAATCGATGCAGTGTTGCCCTTTTCTTCAGGCTGGTCGTTTCTGGGAGGAAGTGGAGGGCTTGTTTCAAAACGAGATCTATTTCTTTGGAATATTTTCGGAGCATTGTTGTTCTGTCCCAAGGCCTTTGCGACCAAAACCGAACCTGTTATATCAGGCTTTGAAAGTCCATCTGGTCTATCAAGGTACTGACATTTGTCGAGGGAATCCAATTCGTTAAGGTCGTATTTTTCTAGGAATTCCTCGTTGAAATCGTGAAGCATCTTCAGGTAAACAGGATTGTTCTTGGTGATTTCTTTAGCCAAGGAAACATTCAGCTTGCAATTCGTTGATATTTGAGAGCATTTCACGGATGTTTCTGATAAGATCAAAAACTGATCTTCATCTATCTTCGTTGCAACCACCAAAAGTTCAGGTTGTGGACTGTGAATAATTGTAGTCTTTCCAAGATTCGAGACAATATTCTCAAAATCGCCATCCAGCGGGCTTTGTTCGTCATATTTACTTGGTAAAAAGAGCACCTGTAATATGACATTGGTAAGTTGAAAATTGAACGCAAATTAGAACAGATTACAAATATCGATAGTGTAGACGAATTTGTCAGTAGTCTGCATAAAAAATACTTAGGTTTCGTCCTGTAACGAATTAGCCGAATTTATATTAGAGACGGGAAACTCGTCTAAAATGGGAAACTCGTCTAATGCGAATCCGGTCACAGACGGGTTTCTCGTCCGAATTTACCCGTCTAACTTACCCGTCTAACTTTCCCGTCTAAACCTGAGACGGGAATATTTAAAATAACTGTACACTCATCAGTACATAGTTGGTTTCGTTTAGACTTTCGCCTATATACCTTTTAACATAGGTTTATAAAAGATGAACTTTACTGGATCTCTAGGAAGAACACTTGACTCGACAGAGTATATACTATATATTCAGTACACACAGTATACTATATACTCTATATCCATATACTATATATCCAGTATATGAATATGCTTATAGTTTAAATTTTTTCCTGTTGTTGCAACACTGGATCAATAGGAGATGATCTTTACTGAACCTTTAGGAAAAACAGTTTAGAACTGATAGAGCTATCCAGTATAAAAAAGTTAGTTTGGTTTAGGTTTCCTCTTGAGAGACTGACTGAAGAGATGATCCCTACTGCCGTACATGCATGGGCCGGTTGTATCAAGCCTGCATGTTTAGCTTAAACGGTGGATAAGTCAAATTTAAAAACCATGCACCCTTACATCTCTCGTGAATGAGTCCACTTGAATATTATGCACTGAATATGTAGTTCTAAACAATATCGTTTGTTAAGGTTAAAAACATTTTTTTAGCTTCATGCATAAAACGATAGATTTGCTTTTTATTTTGAATTTAACCACCGTTTAAGCTGAACGGGCTTCATGCAGCTGGCCCCTAGACTTCTAGGAGGAACAGTTTAGGACTGATAGAGCTATCCAGTATAAATAAAGTTAATTTACTTCAGATTTCCTCCTGTAGCAACACTGGGTCAATAGGTGATGTTTATTGGACTCCCACGATTTTAGGAAGAACAGTTTAGTACACTAAACGAAACTGGACGAAAATAGATTAAAGGCTGAAGCCGCATCACGAATATTCAGTACTCGACCGTGCGTTGTAATCGCGTAATGGGTAAGTCTCAAATTTCAAGTTCTGTCACCTTGCCTTCAATCTATTGAGATTTCAATCCCTTCCGTTTCATGCAAACAATAAAGCTAGTTTAGTTTAGGTTTCCTTCTGTAGTAACACTGGATCAATAAGAGATGATCCTTACTGGACCTCTAGGAAGAACAGTTTAGAACTGATAGACGTATCCATGCAGTATAAATAAAGTTAGTTTAGTTTATGTTTCCTCCTGTAGTAACACTGGATCAATAAGAGATGATCCTTACTGGATCTTTAGAAAGAACAGTTTAGCACTGATAGCGCTATCCAGTATAAATAAAGTGAGTTTAGTTTAGGTTTCCTCCTGTAGTAACACTGGATCAATAAGAGATGATCCTTACTGCACTTCTAGGAAGAACAGTTTAGAACTGATAGACGTATCCAGTATAAATAAAGTTAGTTTAGTTTCGGTTTCCTCCTGTAGTAACACTGTATCAATAAGAGATGATCCTTACTGAACCTCTAGCTAGAAATCGGGATGATTAACCAGTTTGCAATATAACTTTTAATAATCTTAATCACCTTTATCGGCAAGCCGAACGCTCTTACAGCATCTCTCAAAGTGTATTCACGATAGTCCATCAATGCTTCGAAAATTATACCACAGCTGAACGGTACGGGCTCGTGAACATCTCGGAATATCACAACGGAGTTCGCTACATCAATACGTTCAACTTCTAAGACAGATTTGGGCAAGAAGTGTGCTTTTAGTCCTATGTCTTCGGAGCAATTATTTTCTAAAACCCGGAAATACTTAACGTCGGGAAAAACATAGAACATCTCAGACACATGAATAGGATCATATCCACAGTGTATTGACAAAGGGCAAACCAAAAGCTTATTCCCACATTCGACTGGAATCGATACAGGTCTACCAGCGGAGTCTTCGGCCATATAATTCTGTTTGCTTCGCATAGTATGCAACACGAGATGCTGACCGACTTCAAAACTACACGCATCGTTCAAGCCGTAGTATCCTTCTTGTACACGAACCAAGCTTGGGAGTTTGAGTTTGTGGAGAACTTCGCTCAAAGGATGATGTTTCTTGCTCCACTTCAACGAAGCAATTGATTTGCTCACTTCCATTATCACCACAGAGCGAGACAGCAAGCCATATGTAAATATTATGCGAATGCAGACTTGCGAAAATCACACAATCTCTGACCATGCATGCGCATATATTATTTCCGATATTTTTAAGCCGTTTGTTGATCACGCCAATATCAGTGTAGTATCGCTTTTAAAGGAAAACGATGCGATTGGTTTCAAGTGCTTGAGATACCAGTGTCATTTATCACGAAGATGCGTCGAAATTGCAGCAGTTTCTGACAATGAGGATTAAACTCCCAAAGTACTACTCGCATTACCCGCAATAATATCCCAGACAAGTGTTTATCGTCGAACCGGCTATGTACGCGTATACAAAGACATTTGACATTTGATCCGTGAAGTCTTGCGCAGTGCACTATGACTTACATGGGGGTTTGCAATGTTTACGGATGCATCCGATATTTAAATTTGTATATTCCTACAAAGTCTATAGTCATGCACCTGGGGCCGGTTGTATAAAAACCGGATAGCGCTGTCCCCCGGATAGTGTTTTTTTCAATCGCTTTAAAATCGCCCGTTGTTGGCTGAAACTTTGATTAAATCTTTGTATTCCTAAATTGAGGATCCTCTTTAACAATTGTTAGTTCCAAAGGTTATTATTTGCTCTTCGAGCATTTTTAGAACGGTTGAAAAAACCACTATCCGGTGGATAGCGCTATCCGGCTTTCAACCAACCGGTCCCTGGTGTAAATTGAATTGATGCAAGATTCTTTCAAACGTTTATTTCAGCCGAAGTTCTGTAACACAGGGGATATAGCTAGGCATCCCTGCTACGATTTCTAGGGCCAAGGGGCCTCTCAACCCCCCAAACTCCAGGTTTGCTCAATTAATTGCTGTTATTTACTTTGCCTATAAATATCACCAGGAATATCATTCATTTAGACTATGTGCACACGAGCGTCGTTTTCGCGCGTTTTCAAAATCGTTTTTATCTAGTCTATCGCTTTGACGCCCTGTCCACACTATCCAAAGGAAAATATTCTCAATATGTTAAATTAGCTTCAACTTCTATTGTTTTTTGACGATGTTTGAAACCGTTTTGGCATGAAAACGAAAATGAAAACGCTCGAAAACGTTACCGTGTGCACATAGTCTTATTAATCTCGTTATTTTTTTTACTATTCTACAAGCTTTATGACACGTATATCATCTACATAACTTGAACGACAGATAAAGTGTTTCATACAAAGTGAATACCACTCTAGACTATACAGACAATGCATTTAAAATTACGATACAGTTACAGAGCAGTTCCAAACTATATATGAACAAATATATTTTGTACAAAAATATTTGTACAAAATACAAACAAAAGTTCGCTAACATACGAATATTGATTCCTTAACTAACATTTGGTCTCCAACCCTTTATAAACTTCGTCAATTTTGTGACATGAAATCGCGTTAAGTCTAGCGAGAATAACATTTCTTCATCTAAGGTAACTAATACTGCTCCATCAATCTGTTCCTCTTTAAACTTGTCTACATAAAATTGCATGTTGAGGCTCGTCAAAAGCCGTCCAACTCCGGCCAAACTCAGGCACGAAATGTCTGCGGGTAACTGGGCAAGAGTCGGGCTGTTTAGGCAAGGAGTTTCGGACTTGTTTTGGTCCTCAGACCCCAACTTCCCAGCTTCACGAAACGTTTGAATTTCAGATTCCGATGCGGTATTTTCATTCCAGTTTACGTCATGCTCGCTGTTCGCAGGCGAGGCCGAAGAGAGCGACACTTCTGGAACATTCAAATGCTCATTTATTTTGTTCTCTTCATCGTCATGCTGGCTCGTCTGCTCGTACGCCAATGACGTCATATCGACATAATTCTGGTCCGTCTCATCCTCGTGATGACTACTTTGCGAGTTCAAGCTGAAGCGATCTTCAACCACCACATGACTATCAGCGAGTTTGGAATCATGACCATCTTTTGGTTCATCAATAATCTCATAAATATGGTCATTCTTTATCGGTGCTTCGTTCTCGTGTTTTTTCCCTGGAAACGTTTGAATTCCAGATTCCCATGCGGTATTTACATTCGAGTTTACAACATGCTTGCTGTTCGCAGGCGAGGCCGAAGAAAGCGACACTTCTAGAACATTCAAATGCTCATTTATTTTGTTCTCTTCATCGTCCTGCTGGCTCGTCTGCTCGTACGCCAATGACGTCATATCGACATAATTCTGTCCTGTCATATCAAAATAATTCTGGTCCGTCTCATCCTCGTGATGACTACTTTGCGAGGTCAAGCTGAAGCGATCTTCAACCACCACATGACTATCAGCGAGTTTGGAATCATGACCATCTTTTGGTTCATCAATAGTCTCATAGAAATGGTCATTCTTTATCGGCACTTCGTCCTCGTGTTTTTCATCGGTGTCATTATATTCTTTATACATATCGACATCAGTCTGTTCTGTCAAATCCAAATAAATCTGGTCCGTGTTATCCTGTGACGTCTCATCCCCGTGATGACTACTTTGCGAGTTCAAGCTGAAGCGATCCTTAAACTCCACATGACTGTCAGCGAGTTTGGAATCATGACCATCTTTTGGTTCATCAATAGTCTCACAGACATGGTTATTCTTTATCGGAGCTTCGTCCTCGTGTTTTTCTCCTGGAAACGTTTGAATTTCAGATTCCGATGCGGTATTTTCATTCCAGTTTACGTCATGCTTGCTGTTCGCAGGCGAGGCCGAAGAGAGAGACACTTCTGGAACATTCAAATGCTCATTTATTTTGTTCTTTTCATCGTCCTGCTGGCTCGTCCGCTCGAACGCCAATGACGTCATATCGACATAATTCTGTCCTGTCATATCCAAATAATTCTGGTCCGTCTCATCCTCGTGATGACTACTTTGCGAGTTCAAGCTGAAGCGATCCTTAAACTCCACATGACTGTCAGTGAGTTTGGAATCATGACCATCTTTTGGTTCATTGGCATCAATAGTCTCACAGACATGGTCATTCTTTATCGGAGCTTCGTCCTCGTGTTTTTCTCCTGGAAACGTTTGAATTTCAGATTCCGATGCGGTATTTTCATTCCAGTTTACGTCATGCTCGCTGTTCGCAGGCGAGGCCGAAAAGAGCGACACTACTGGAACATTCAAATGCTCATTTATTTTGTCCTCATCGTCCTGCTGGCTCGTCCGCTTGTACACCGATGACGTCATATCGACATAATTCTGTCCTGTCATAACCAAATAATTCTGGTCGGTCTCATCTTCGTGATGACTACTTTGCGAGGTCATGCTCAAGCGATCTTTAAACGTCACATGACTATCGGCAATTTTCGAATCATTACCATCTTTTGGTTCATCGGCATCAATGGTCTCACAGACATGGTCATTCTTTATCGGCGTTTTCGCCTCCTCGTGTTTTTCTCCGGGACTTTGTTTCTTGAACCTGCGATCATGGGGCTGTTCTGACAGGATAGTTCTAAAGCTAGATTTATTTCCTATAAGTACTTCTAGGTCGTATTTCTTCAAAAATGCATCGTTGAAATTGCGAACCATTTTTAGATAAGTAGGATCGTTCTGTAGAAGTTCTTTAGCCACGGAAACTTTCAGCTTGCAATACTTTGGAATAAGCGAGCATTTCTCTGACGGGTTAGGCAAGGTTAAGGATTGATCAGCATCTAACTTTGTTGCAACCACTAACATCTCAGGTCTCGAAAGACGGTGAATTGTTACCTTGCCAAGATTCGAGACAGCATTTTCCAAATTATTTTCCAACTTTTTATCGTCATTTCCACTTGATAAAAAACGCACCTATAAATCATGGATCAATAAGAGATTATCCTTACTAGACCTCTGGGAAGAACGGTTTAAAACTGATAGAGCTATCCACTATCCAGTATAAATAAAGTTAGTTTAGTTTAGGTTTCCTCTTGTAGTAACACTGGATCAATAAGAGATGATCCTTACTGGACCTCTAGGAAGAACAGTTTAGAACTGATAGAGCTATCCAGTATAAATAAAGTTAGTGTAGTTTAGGTTTCCTCTTGTAGTAACACTGGATCAATAAGAGATGATCCTTACTGCACCTTTAAGGCTAATTTCCACTCCGGAAAACGAGCAGCGGATCGGATCGGAACGAAAGATGATCCGCGCGTGCGCCGTCTGTTGAAATTTTTGGCTTATATTGATCCGAAAGCGTCCGAGACCGGATAAAAAAAAGTTCAAATAGTTTTAACTTTTTTTTATCCGATCCGAATCACTTCATGGATCGGACCAGGCTCGGAAAAAAATCCGATCCGATCCGCTGCTCGTTTTCCGGAGTGGAAATTAGCCTTTAGGAAGAACAGTTTAGAACTGATAGAGCTATCCAGTATAACTAAAGTTAGTTTAGGTTTCCTCCTGTAGTAACACTGGATCAATAAGAGATGATCCTTACTGGGCCTCAAGGAGAACAGTTTAGAACTGATAGAGCTATCCAGTATAAATAAAGTTAGTTTAGTTTAGGTTTCCTCCTGTAGTAACAATGAATCAATAAGAGATGATCCTTACTGGACCTCTAGGAAGAACAGTTTAGAACTGATAGAGCTATATCCAGTTTAAATAAAGGTATTTTAGTTTAGGTTTCCTCCTGTAGTGACACTGGATCAGTAAGAGATAATCCCTACTGGACCTGGAGGAAGAACAGTTTAGAGCTACCCAGTATATAAGTAAAGGCTAGTTTCCACTCAGGAAAAATCTCCTTTGGATCGGAACCGACAGGAAAATTTCCTTTGTCAGTGAGTTCTCAGGTGGGGTTTACACAAAGGAAACTTTCCTGTCCGGTCCGATCCAAAGGAGAATTTTTTTGAGTGGAAACCAGCCTTAAAGAGAGTAACGCTGGATCAATACGACCAGGTTTCCTCTGTAGAAATAGCTAAACTAGCTCCATTACGCTTACCTTTATCGGCAAGTCAAACGCCTCCACAGCGTCTTTCAATGTATACTTACGACAATCCACTAAAGGTTCAAATATTATGCGACTACTAAATGGCAGAGGCAGCCTAACATCTTTGAATTTCACAAGAGAGTTTACAAAGTCAATATCTTCAACCTTTACGATGGAATGAAGCTTATAGCATCTTTTAACTTTGTCTTCGACGCAATCATTCTCTAGCACCCGGAAGTATTCTATCTGTGGATACAGTTTTGATATTACGCCGACAAATATAGCATCACGGTTAAAGGATTTCGAGGACGGACACACTAAGACGTTATTCACGCATTCAACTGGAATCGCTATTGGCCGACTGAGTGAATCTTCGCCTACAAAGCTTTGCTTTTGACACAATTCATGTAACATGAGAACTTGCCCGGCCTCGAAGGAAGTCGAATCGCTTGTTCCATAATAGCCTTCTTTCAAACAAACGAAGTTCGGGAAACCGTATTTCTCGAAAACCTCGCACAACGGGTACGCTTTGTCGTCCCATGTTAAAGCAGCCCTTGATTTCGCTGCTCCCATCGTGAAGATAAAGGGATAGAACCACAGCGCGAATAATAGGTAATGATCGGTATTTAAATTCGTGAAATTGTTGAATTAGGCTTAGCAGTCAATTCAATGCAAAGCCAAGCGAGTTGTAACCATGTTTACGTACTCCATATCATCTGTTAGCGTAGGCTACATATTCCAACGGGAATGCGTGGTCGCTTTCACACGCTTTGCACTTTCATAAAAGCTGCTGGCTTCGTACAAACTACGAAGCTACCGTATTCTTCGCTTTGGCTAGATTAGTTGACACGGCGCACTCGCGGAGAGACTGGCGCCCAAATTACGTAAGATCAAAGCAAGCCCAAACAGAACATATCAAGACCTGATCTTATGCCAATTAACTGACTGTGCTATTTGCAAAATAACCAGTTAAATAACGTGAGATATATGGACATGGGTATATTTTTTGCACTTGATAAACTTTTATATCCTATATGTAAAGGGCGTCGTTAGAATCAGGCGTAAAATGCCATAGTGTTGCAAAGGAAAAATCTGAAAATGATAAAAAGAAAGTCGAACTTCCGGCTTTTTAAGCGGATCTGCATAAAAAATGTAGACGAAAGGCATACAAAACAGGAGAGGACACAGACTGATGCAACTCATGCGATTGCATCAGTCAAAATTATACAAACAAAAAAAATTAATTACGAAATTGGCGTAAATTAAGACTAGTTTAAAGACACGATAAAAATAGTGATGGTCTAATATACCTCATTTTTGGCATGGACGAATTAGACCTTGGTCGAGTATACCATATTCCAGTATATTCGACCATGTTTGAGTATACCATATTCCAGTATATTCGACCATGTTTGAGTATACCATATTGCAGCATATTCGACCATGGTTGACCATATTTGTTACAATTTGATATACTTGTTACAATTTAAAAGAGTACTTCACTGAACCAGAACTACGATTAATGGATAAGCATTTTATCAGAAACATTTGAAATCTTTCAATTTCCACTGATTGAGTTTTTTTTACTTCGCCAAACGTAAGGTCTGATTACTTCAAAAATACCAACACAAAATTAAGATTCCGATAATGTTTCAACTTTAATTTGATATCAAGCATTTTCAAACTAATAACTAGTTAAGTATAAACATGGCAAATAGCAAATTAGGAAAGTTAGGAACTGTTTTGCTATGAACTAGGCTAATTCGTGTCTTCCCTTCTTACTTTCTGCAATGAAATGTTTTTATCACAAGTTTTTATAACATGTGGAGTGCAAAATTAAGAAATTGCAAACTAATTCAATTAGATACTACCGACATTTGGTCGCCAACCTTCAATAACTTTGATCAATTTAGTGACATGAAATTGTGCTATATCTAACGACGATAATGATTCTTTATCTAAAGTCACAAATATTTTCCCGTCAATCTGTTCCTCTTGAAATGTGTTCACATAACATTGCATATTTAGACTTCTCAGGAGGCGACCAACCCCGGCCACACTGAGGCACGACAAATCTGCGGGTATCGAAATAGAGGGCTGACTTTTCAACCGGGATGCTGCAGGTCGAACATTAGAAATCGTCGCTGATGATATTGTAAAACACCCACTTTTCAACATGACAACTTCATCCGGTTTTACACCACGACTGGTTTTACTTTCAAATTTCGCTCTCGTAGCTTCATCTGTGATATTATTAAAATTTGATCCTGGTTTTGCGAAAGTCTGATCTCTCAAGGTGACAGCTCTTATCTTGCTTTTATTGACAACAGTTGGAACTGATGTCTCATTCGACCCACGTTCCTTTGCCAAAGCTTCAACATTACTTCTACTTTTAAAATCCGGTTTTTGTCTGGATCGAGCTTTTTCCAAAGGAAAGTTTTCATAATTCCTCTCACTGGAACCGTGACTTGTATTTTCATTTGAGGATCTATCGTGGTTTTGTTTTGCGGTCATCGCATTAGAAACCAACTTTTTATCGCCAGCTTTTGATGTTTGATCGAAGGTTTTCTTATTTGAAATGGGCGTTTTAACACAGTTTTCATTACCAATTCTCGAATTGGGAGTTTCATGCGAGGATATTTTCGCAGGATTTCTCATTTCACTACCTTTGAGTCCAGGAACTATCGCCGGTCTAAGAACGGGGATATTAATCGGCATCTTTCTCTGGTGTTTGTTAACCTCTCGAGAAGGTTTGCTCAATGACGCCTCGAGACCACTAGCTTTCCTCAGATTTCTTCTGTCAGGCTTCCCATCAGAGATTTCAGCACATTTTACAACAGGTTTTAGTTTCACGGCTAGGAGATGGGCTGGAAGAATCAGGCTGCGCGACTGATCTCTAACACCATCATTCATCCTGGACGTTTCATCGCCAGGCTCAGTAGAGATTCTACCGCCCGAGTCTTTTGTAGCATGCAGATGACTTCCTTTACAAACATCGGTTCTGGTGTTTAACACAGGCACGTTATCGCTCTTAATCTCTGTACTCGTATTTTCCAAGGTCACATGACCTTCTGTGGGTATATTCACGTAGTCGTTTGATGTTGCCGGCGAATCATCAGGAACAACTGGGTACCCTTCATCAGGAACAACTTCGTATCCCTCATCATCCAACGATGAATCCTCATCGCTAATGCTCTCGTACACGTGGTCGTCCATTGGCAACTCGTAATCGTGTTTTGCCTTGGGCTTGGGGATACGATCATCGTATTCTCCAAAGGCTTCCACTTTTCGGTCAGTAGATTTAAAATCATCATAAATCTCGTGTGGATGGCTTTCAAAAGTTTCACCCGTGGTTTCACAATGCTTCGAGATTTGCGCGTTATCGTCAGCAAGGCTACGTGGTTTGTACCGTCCAACATCTTCCGCAATTTTCGGGAAACGATTGCGTCTTCGCGAAATAGTTTCCCCTTTTCCACCACGAGTGGGTCTGGGAGTCAGCAGGGGTGGTTTATAACCTGTGCCATTTCTTGGACTTGGTTTTATTTCTCGGATATTGTCATTTTCTTCAGGAAATTTTGGCACCAATTTAGAACCAGTTATTTTTGGCGTTACGTGACCGTCTGGTCCATCCAGATACTCACATCTCTCGAAACGATCCAATTTTTTAAGATCGTATCTCACTAAAAAGGCCTTGTTAAAATTGGAAACCATCTGTACAAAAGCACGATGGTTCTCAAAATATTCCTTAGACACGAAAACATTCAGCTTCAACTCTTTTGATATGACCAAGCACTTCGTTGACTTTTTAGTTAAGGTTAAAGATTGATCATCGTCTATCTCCGTTGCAACCACAGTAAGCTGAGGTTTTGAGCTATGAGAAATCGTTACTTTGCCTAGATTCGAGGCTAGATTTTCCACGTCACTATCCAAACATTGTTCTTTTTCATCTCCACTTGACAAGAAGCGCACCTGCAATTCAAAATATAAAAATAACAATTGAAATCTCACGGAAATATTCCTGAGGGATATTTCGGTAAGAGAAACTATACGGCCATGATTGAGTTGCGAATTATTCTATTAGATCAATACAAGATGATCTTACTGGACTTCTATCCTTAGTGGAGCCCTAGAAAGGGCTGTTTAGAACAGATGGAGATATTCAGTGTAAATAATGTTAGTTTAGTTTAGGTTTCCTCCTGTAGTCACACTGGATCAATAAGAGATGACCCTTACTGGGCCTCTATGAAGAACAGTTCAGAACTGATAGAGCTGTCCAATATAAATAAAGTTAGTTTAGTTTAGGTTTCCTCCTTGTAGTCACACTGGATCAATAAGAGCTGTTCCTTACTGGACCTCTATGAAGAACAGTTCAGAACTGATAGAGCTATCCAATATAAATAAAGTTAGTTTAGTTTAGGTTTCCTTCTGTAGTAACACTGGATCAATAAGAGATGATCCTTACTGGACCACAAGAAAGAACAGTTTAGAACTGATCTATAGAGCTATCCAGTATAAATAAAGTTAGTTTAGTTTAGTTACGTTTTCCATGCATGTAGATATACCGGATCATTAAGAGATGATCCTCATGGAACTAATGTCAGAGGGATTATCCATAATAAACGGTTCAGAATAGCCACAATCTATCATTATGCTAACCTTTATTGGCAAGCCAAACTCCTTCACAGCCTCTTTTAAGGTATATTCCCGATAATCCAACAGTGCTTCAAACACTATACCACAGCTAAACGGTAGTGGCATTTTGACATCTTTGAATTTCACGTGGAAATTCACCGTGTCAACATAGTCGACCTCGAAGACGGACCCAAGCTCAAAGTATTTCTCAATTCCCTTCTCCTGTTCATTTTCAATAACCCGGAAGTATTTCACGTCTGAATAAACGTTTGATATTTCTGCAACAAGAATCGGGTCGTATGTACAATATATTGACAAAGGACAAACTAGGAGCTCTGTCTTACAGTCAACGGGAATGGCGATAGATCTACCAACGGAGTCTTCGGCTATAAAGTTCTGCCTTGTACGCAATCTATGTAACATAAGAACTTGGTCGTTTTCGAAACTACATGCTTCGTTAATTCCACAGTAGCCTTCCTCAACACGAACCAAGTTTGGAACCATGTTTCTCTCAAGGACTTCGCTTAATGGACACGGCTTGTCGCTCCATGTAAGTGAGTCGATAGATGATATGGACGCATCCATTCTGATTATGCACATGCAGTGATTGTTACGACACAATATTAAGTCAATATTATCAGTCGCGAGGCTTAAGTATAGCTCTAAAAAAAAGCCAAATGCAAATATTACTGACTTTGCAAAATTGACCTCCACCCTAAGATACCAATGTCAGTCGGTGTCTTTGTCTACTTTCCAAGTAAAAGGGGCGATTGTTTTTTAAGTGCCACGCACCCTTATAAACGACCTTATATGTACGTAAGTTTCCATACTGTGTAAAAATAAATAACACCTACGTTCTCCTTAGCACAATGGATGCTGAGATCCGGATTTTCTTGTATCCACAAACGTTTTACCGCAGATTTTACGTATCCCCGGTTTCGATGCTGCCCAAATAAGCAAGAATACTTTAGAGCATGTATTGTCTCTCACAAATGGCGAGCTCGCGATGTAGGTCGATGTAGTTGCTTAACACTTGTTTTAAGATAATTGTTGTTCATTGAAAGTGAACATGTTTGGTCATGTACCGAGAAATAGAAAGCAAGAGTGAGGTCTTTTGTTACCGCCTTATGTTGTTCTGGCCAAGGCCAAGGCCAAGGCCGTCGAATCATCAATGTTGATGCAATCACGATGCAGTTGCAACAACATTAATGATTAAACAATCTTGAACAACATTGTCAACAATACTGTTCACTCCTGTTTTCAACAACTTGCATCAACATGATGATTCTTACGCGTGTACACGCGTAAAAAACGCATAAGTTGTAACAGGTCTGCAGCAGAGTTGTTACAAGTCTGTACCATCCCGTCCACAGCTTGGCACGCCGCGTGTAGCTCGTGTGCGGCGGGCTTTAGGATTTTCGTTTCACGTCTAAACCGCCAATATATGGTCGCGTAGGCGAGAAGGATCCGCATTTAAAGTGCCCCTGACACAAAATGCGATTTTTACACTGTGTAAAGGACTCGTGTGTCCGAGTATTTCGCTGAAAGAATTTTTCGATTTCATCAAAACGTCGCAATTTTAGAGCCGTTTGAAAGCCTCAAATTTGGGGTTTCCAGTGGTACATGTCCGTGTTATAAGGAAACTGGAACGAGGGTAATTTTTGACGTCATACAAGTGAGTCGGCTTTTGAGTGCTTTTGAGATATAACTATGTTCAGCTATATTCTGTATAAGCATACTAACTTATGTCTATCGTTGAGAGTTTTATGCACATGACGCAGAAACCTGTCTCATTACGTGAACGCACATTTTAAAAGTTTTTTTGTAGCTATAAACATAATAACATACCCGATATTAAATATAGTTTCAGTGAGGATTTAATATATGCCCGTACGTAAATAACAAAGAACTCTGGTGTAAAGTTACGTATTTTAAATTCGCGTCTTGGTCGCATATAAGTGACTCCGTACATTTATCTATCTGTAAAAGTATAAACAGACATTTCGCTTCGTGAGGAGATCGATCGGTTTCGCATTTTACACGTATAAAGACAAAAGACAACACACTGCATGATCACGGTCAAATCAGTGTATTACAAAATCGGCATGTCGCGACTATAGGTCGAAACTGTGATGACTATTCGCTATATATAACCCGTCTGGCATTTCATACATTACACGCAGTTTGTTATGAGATCTTTCTGTGCCTTTTGCTTTTGGTAGGCTTCTGTCTATTCATTGTCATCTAGAGGCTTTTCACCAAAAACGGGTTAAATTCTGAGTCGTCATCGCGACTCATCATAGCATGCGCGCTTCAAATCGCGCTTCAAATACCCTTATTCTTCAGCATCTTCTCTTCCGACGATGCAACGTATAACATTAACCTTAATCCTGATACCTAGTATAAAAATTGAATCCTGCGGTCGACGAGATTGAATAAGTGTATTAAAAGCATAGAACCCTAGGAAATACACTGTGAGTCAGCGACTCACTTGCGTGACGTCACGAAAATCGCTAGTCCCAGTCTTCTGTTACGAGGCCATGGGTTCAAAAATATATCGATTCAAGAGCTCTAAAATTGTTCCTTTTTTTAAAATCGAAAAATTCTTTCACCATAACACTCGGAAAAAATGCGTACTTTCCATGGTGCAAAAATCGCATTTTGTGTCAGGGGCACTTTAAGAGTGCTCTACCTCAGAAGTATCCGAACATCCGTACTTATCCCTTTCTTTTGGGTGGGCATAACCAATATTGGACTAATTATATTTCGTTGTCATATTGGTGCGTGCAAAGTTAATTAAACGAACAGAAGCAAATACAAATTACAATCAACTGGACACACGATGAAATATATTTTATTGTTTCTGTTTATTTCCAACTTCAATACGCGCATAATTGTTAGTGCTTGAAGGTCAAGCTGCCGTTTTCGAAGAATTTGACTGAATCTGAGCAAACCTGACATGAGCATAAAACCGTGATATAGACCCTTTTACACTAGACGTCATAGCACGTAGTGAAAGTAAGTATTGAGGTCATAAGTATTAAACAACGTCTTCCGTACCAATATTATACAGGGTCTCAAAAAAACCCGAAAACTATTGAAATCACCCAAAACAATGCAATTGTTAGGAGTTTGAATGCCTAAGCACTCTGTTGGGACCCACAGGTGTATAAATGTTTGCCATAAGCATTTTTGTGCATGCATATGATGATATTTATTAACAATATTTACAATTTACAAAATATGGATAACAATACTTAAATGTGCATCTCAAGGACCATGACCTTCGACACATTCCCCTTTCTCTAGCAACACAAAGCATTTAGCATTTTATAAGTTGCATTAAATCCCCACAGGCTGAAATTCGTGAACACGCGGCATTCAAATTTTAACAATGAGTGATTTCAATAATTTTCGGTTTTTTTGAGACACCCTGTAGTCGATACTTACGTGGTGTACCTACAAGCTAATTTACTTATTTTATTAATGGTATGTGTGAGATATTGCTCTAAGTTCTTAATTTGAAGAGGAAAATGTCTAGGCAAACGTGACTCCCACACCGACGGAGAATCGTCCTTTTATGGTCAGGATTCAGTCGCAACAATTGCCTTTCTGCAAAGATTCTTTGTCAACAAAATTTGGTCGCCAGCCTTCTATGACTTTTATCAATTTTCTGGCATGAAATAGCTTCATATCGAAAGATCTTAATAAAGTAATTTCATCAATCTTCACCAACAACACACCATCAATCTGTTTCTCGCGAAATTGGTTTGCATAACATTGCATGTTGAGGGTTTTCAAGAGCCGTTCAACTCCAGCCAAGCTCAGGCACGAAAGATCTGCGGGTATAGGAACGGAGGGCCGACTTTTGGGGCAGGGAACTGCAGGTTTGCCGCAAGGAATAGAAACAGGTGGCCTAGGCTTAGGAATTGGCCTTGTTCTAGGAATTGTAACATCGGCGTTTTGACTTTTGGGGTTTAGGGCGGGTCTTTAGGAACCATCACGATGTTTTTACCACTAAAATCAGGTTTTGTTGTTCCATTTTTTGTGTCATTACAGGCTTTCTGTTGCAGTATTCGCGGGGTTTTTTCTCTGCCAGACAGGTTCAAGTTCAGAGACATCAGATGGAATGGACGAAGGAATATCTATCGGGTTATTTATCACGGTTTGGGAGGACTTTTTTAAACTCTCATGACTGAGAGTTTTCGACAAATTTTTGGTGTCTGGCATGCACTTGAAAATTTCACCAGAGTTCTTACTAAGCTGGTTCTGCTGCACCACAGACAAATCTGGATGAAGCTTTTGGGCTGTATTATCTACACAATCCTTCATTTTGAAAATCTCTGTATCAGACCCGCCCGGATTCGCACTACATTTACTCATTTCGTGGCACTTCTTTTCTGGTGACGTCATTGTTATACACCTCTGACACACCAACACGATTGTGACGTCATATTTACATATCGTCTACGTTTACGTAATCGTGTGATATGCACTTGCATCACCATGACGCCATATCAGTAATGTCGTCTATGTCCATGTAGTCATGTGACATCACAAAAGCATCGTCCAGTGCCTCCATATTGGCATAACTTTGTCGCGTGATGTTCACGTGATCTACAAGTTCATACCCGTCATCATCACATGGTGCTTCAACGTAAGCAATACTTTCGTAGTCATGGCAACCCAATGGCGACTCAACTGTTGAATCACTTTTTCTACGTCCCGGTCGCCTCGATTGACAAATCTTTGACGTCAAAACAGAAGCGGTTATTTCTGGTATGGTGTGTCCATCATTCAGATAATAGCATTTGTCGAAATCATTTAAACCTTTCATATCGTATTTGTAGAGAAAAGCCTTGTTAAAATCATGAAGCATGTTCAGATAATCGGAGTCGTTCTTTATGAGTCCTTTTGCAACAGAAACATTCAGCTTGCAATCTTTCGATATTTGCAAGCATTTCACAGTGGACCTAGCCAAAGTTGAACATAGATCAGTTGCATCTAACTCTGTTACAACCACAACAAGCTCCGGTTTTGAAAGATCACAAATCGTTACCATTCCAAGATTAGAGGCCATAATTTCAAAATCGTTATTCATATCTGCACTTTGTCCCTCATCACTTTGTGGTAAAAACCGCACCTGTAACACAACATTAGAAAGGTTAAAATAGAAACACCAGCTACATCAATAAGAGATGATCCTTACTCGACCTCCTGGAAGAATAGTTTAGAATTGATAGAGCTATACAGTTTAAATAAAGTTAGTTTAGTTTAGGTTTCCTCCTGAAGTAACACTGGATCAATAAGAGATGATCCTTACTAGACCTCTAGGAAGAACAGTTTAGAACTGATAGAGCTGTGTCAGCTGTCCAGTATAAATAAGGTTAGTTTAGTTTAGGTTTCCTCCTGTAGTAACACTGGATCAATAAGAGATCATCCTTACTAGACTTCTAGGAAGAACAGTTTAGAACTGATAGAGCTGTCCAGTATAAATAAACTTAGTTTAGTTTAGGTTTCCTCCTGTAGTAACACCGGATCAATAAGAGATGATCCCTACTGGACCTCTAGGAAGAATATAGTTTAGAACTGATAGAGCTATCCAGTATAAATAAAGTTAGTTTAGTTTAGGTTTCCTCCTGTGGTAAAACTGGATCAATAAGAGATGACAAGGGAAAAACAGTTTCACCGCTGTTTTTTAAACAAAATACTCATTTTAATTTCAGCGGTTTGACCATGCATCCTAGCCGTTTAACGATCCATATTTAGATGAACAAAGAAAAACAGAAAGCAGGAAGTCCAATATCAAAATTACCTTTATTGGCAAGCGGAACACTCTTGCAGCTTTTTGCAAAGTGTATTCACGATAATCCAACAATGCTTCAAAGACTATGCGGCAACTGAACGATAGGGGTTGCTCAACATCTTTGAATTTCACCTGGGAGTTTACCGAGTCAATAAAGGCGACTTCCAAGATGGATTCTGGCTCAAAAAATCTTTTAACTTCTTTGTCGACGATGCTAGTATTTTCTAGAACACGGAAATATTTCACATCAGGATAGATATTCGACATTTCGGAGGCAAATATAGGATCGCTTCCATAATATGTCGATAGAGGACACACTAACAGCTTACTCTTGCACCGTTCTGGTATAGCTATACGTCTACCAACGGAATTCTTTGCCAGGAAGCTCTTTTTCGTACGCGTTGCGTGTAACATCAGAAGCTGATCGCTTTCAAAGCAACACGCATCGTTCATGCTGTAATGTCCCTCGTGAACGCGAACCAAGTTCGGAACTTCGTATTTCTCGAGAACTTCGCTAAATGGCTGTTGCTTGTTGCTCCATTTAAGGGAAGCAATTGGCTTCATCTTGTGTGTCGTCTGTGCATGTATATACTTTGTGGCAAGCGATGAAAACCCGATTCAAATCACGCATTCATTGATCTATGGGGCTTTTCTATGTCTGTTGACCTTCACGCCAATATAAGTGTGTGATCTGATAGAAAGTGATTTGATAGGTTGAGGGGCCTGTGCTCAGAATCTGCCTGCTGTCATCGATGCAAAATGTGTGGAAAAAAAGAATCGCCTCCTACACTAAGGCACTTTACGATTCCCGCTTAGTTTCAAAAGTTATTCCACTTGCACTATCCTTTTTGAAGACTGTTTACTCACAAAATGATCTATAATATAAAAAATTGACATGGTAGAATCACAAGTTTGCTGGCATTTGAATATGTTCCCGTTTCCTGAAGTGAGCTCGTTTTCCGGCGTGCATTGTCAAAATAACGAGTACACGATTGCGTGATTAACATTCACAGCAAAGTAAACGGCCCTAAATTTCATTTCATACTTAAGTACCGATATTATTTCACTTGGAATCTGTATGAAAAACCTTTCTGTGTATAATTAAAGACAGTTGTAACAAATCACATCCGCATGTTGCATTGTATCAATGTATGGCTTCACTTTCGATTCTTGTCAACTCGACCTATTCAATTAGTTTTGTAAATATTTAATTATAATCCTTTACCAGCTGATAGTTTTAGCACATAATATATAGAATTAAAGTAATTCCGATTTCAAGATTTGAAATCTTGTAAACTTAAACCATTCTGCTGAAGATAAATCTTTCTTGATTCGAAATATACAGAATAAAATTTGTATTATGCTTTCATTTTTCGGAATTACTTTAATTCTATATTTAATTATAACATTTGTGAGGTTTATGTTGAGCTTTACATACCCAAGTAAATTTCGTGAATTAGGTAACATGTACACCCTGTATACCGCATAAAAATAAGATTGAAAAATATTCAAATCAGTTATAAATACTAGTGTATATCCTTGTATCGGAAAAATATAATCACTAGACCTAGTGTTTGTATAACTGATTTACATATTTATCAGTCAAATCTTATTGACTACAAACTCATTGCCATCGACAAGTTGTTTATTCAATTGTGAACATTACTTAAAACATTCAAGTGTTTTGATTGAAATCTTTAAATATTTGCAAAGCTAAAATCTGAGTTTATTCGCAAATCCAAAATCTTTTTTTAAGCGCTGTCATCAATTCCCCTATTGAGGCGTTTCTAGTCTGTCAAATATCTCATACGATGACAATTTAGGGTTAAATCTCGTGATCTTTGACGTAAATTCAACGCAACAAGAGGTATATATGGGAGGCGTGGTAGTTAGTTGTGACAGAATCTCTTTAAATACTTATATCAAAACGAAAGGATTCGATATTTCGCTTCTTTCCTATAGCTTGGCTTTCTTGTGAAAGACCTGGGTAGCATTTCTCGCAATTTTCAAGGTTTTGCTTTGATAGTTAGAAATACTAGGTGTATCAAAAAAACGGCAAATACCATAATTTGTATGCACGAGATTATACATTAGAAGTTCAATGCCTGTGCAACTAATTACGCTTCTGGGATTTGAAAATACGTTTCCAAGGGTTATCAAAACCAGCACACAAAGTGAATTAAACTTATGAGTTCGATTACGAATGGCTCAGTTAAGTAAAGAACTAACAGATATTCTTGTTTTAAACGTATACAAGCAAACTCAACCTCCGTCTAAAGTCGTGTTTATTAGAAAATTTTCCGGCGAATATGACCATGGTCGTATTTGCCATTTTCCGGCGAATATGACCATGGTGGTATTTGCCATTTTCCCGCGAATATGACCATGGTCGAATTAGTCATTTTCCGGCGAATACGACCATGGTCGTATTTGCCATTTTCCGGCGAATATGACCATGGTCGTATTTGCCATTTTCCGGCGAATATGACCATGGTCGTATTTGCCATTTTTCGGCGAATATGACCATGGTCGTATTTGCCATTTTCCGGCGAATATGACCATGGTCGTATTTGCCATTTTCCGGCGAATATGACCATGGTCGTATTTGCCATTTTTCGGCGAATATGACTATGGTCGTATTTGCCATTTTCCGGCGAATACGACCATGGTCGTATTTGCCATTTTCCGGCGAATATGCATGACCATGGTCGTATTTGCCATTTTTCGGCGAATATGACTATGGTCGTATTTGCCATTTTCCGGCGAATACGACCATGGTCGTATTTGCCATTTTCCGGCGAATATGACCATGGTCGTATTTGCCATTTTCCGGCGAATATGACCATGGTCGTATTTGCCATTTTTCGGCGAATATGACCATGGTCGTATTTGCCATTTTCCGGCGAATATGACCATGGTCGTATTTGCCATTTTCCGGCGAATATGACCATGGTCGTATTTGCCATTTTTCGGCGAATATGACTATGGTCGTATTTGCCATTTTCCGGCGAATACGACCATGGTCGTATTTGCCATTTTCCGGCGAATATGCATGACCATGGTCGTATTTGCCATTTTTCGGCGAATATGACTATGGTCGTATTTGCCATTTTCCGGCGAATACGACCATGGTCGTATTTGCCATTTTCCGGCGAATATGCATGACCATGGTCGTATTTGCCATTTTCCGGCGAATATGACCATGGTCGTATAGGCTCACATTTCGCGGGCACATTATTTGCAATGGCGGATAGGTGCATGTGGTTGGTGTTGACACCTGAAATTATAACGAGTCCGGATACGAGTGATCATTCTTTCGCAACCTCGAATCCAAAAGAATTTGCAACGAATTTGCAAAGAAATCGTCCGGGTAGGTGTTGACGCGTAAAGGCCGTTTTCCACTTCAACCGTATCGTAGCGAAACGTAGCGTATCTCATTGTTTTAAAGTCATTAGTTTTGGTCGAATACCTCGAAAAACAAAGAAATACGCTACGTTACGTTACGATACGGTTGAAGTGGAAAACAGGCCTAATCTTTTAAATACGTGACGAAATGTTCTGGCGGTAACGATGAATCATGAAAGGTGTAAACAAGCAGGGTGTAACTTCTTTGGCCGCTCAATGGAAAGCGCCCTAGTCTAAGCGCTGCTTTCCACTGTCGCGCGTTTTTTGCGCGTAGGTACACGCACACGTGAAGGTTTAAAACCTTGTAAGTTGATGCAGAAATAATTTTGTGCCGGAAAAAACACACCAAATCATCAACAGATTCCAACCCTATGCATCTATTCAATCGTTGATTTCATAAGTATCATTTAAATGATTTTAAGCGTTTACATGCGTGTACCTAAGTGCAAAAAACGCGACATGCAGTGGAACGCAGCCTCAAATCCATATTTGAAAACGCCAGGTGAGAAAAAATGAAAGAGCTTAGTGTTTCGCATACTTTAGTATGCATCGGTGACATAATAAATTTTCGATATTTATCGACTATACGATATTCGATCGATATTTTGCAACAGCCCAGTTATCATGGCGTAACAAAACATATTATAGAGATGACTTAAGATGACAAAACGATGTTTTGATGGTAAAATGATTATCTTTTAACGTGATTATTCCCATCCTATCATATATATATATATATATATATCTCGTTTTCTCATGAGCGCCTTGCTAAAGCAGTAAAGCTCTTTCGTCTCCCCGTGTCAAGAGATCACGCGACTCCACAAAATGATCCACATTGGACAAACTGGCGAGATTATCCTAAATTGGCGGGATTATCCTAAATTGGTGGGATTATCCTAAATTGGCAGGATTATCAAAGAAATCGTTTAGCAAAAGATAATCTTGGAAATTCATATCTTGTTCAGTCCAAACTCTTTAAAGAATCACATAAGCTCCGAAATCATTTTGTGATCACCACGCTGGTTGGATTTACGATATCCATTATAGGTCGAACAATATTATATCTATGTGTTGAAATCGATAAATGTAATTTTCGATACACGGAAAGCTAAATTTACCGTTTTTATACCGTCTGATGCAGAAAGGGATATATATGTTGACAAAAAATTAAGGTCGAAGGACGATTTGGTTACACATCAACATTATTAAGAAGAAACGAGTTGTTTTCAAGTTTTTGAAACAAGTCATCCTTAAAATTATCGGTCTACGAATTACTTACAACGAATTTGCATTTCAAAGCCATCGCCTTTGATGTGACAGAGTGAAAGGAACCCAGCGTGTGTTTGGCCAATATTACGAACATTAAATTCCGTATAAAGAAACACTTAATTCTGAATTTGTTTATGCAAAGCCTTTATAAAACTTCGAAGGTGGTAGCCAAACGTCGTTCGGAGTAAGGCGATACGCTAAAGACCAGATATCTTGCTTTTTAACAAAGCCTGTGTTGTGGTAAGACTTTTTAATACTGCACCAAGGTCACAAATCGTTGCACTTCGAGAGCGTCGCGGTAGATTTTCCAGACTTTGTTGAGCAATCAGGAAGTAGAGTTCGGAGTTATAATTAACTATATGAGTGAAATCTGACACCTTTCATAGCTTCCAGACTCCGGAATATTACTCTGGTGATAAAAAAAACTGCAATCTAACAAGTATAGACTTGGAAAGTTACCAAAGATCGAGGATTTCTGAGGGAAATCAATTGTTGATATCCAGGAATACTGTTTACTCTGAGTACGGAGACTATATCGTCGTGTCGAAGGAAGTGTATCGCGAACTGACGCCAACTATAGGCTCATATAATCACTTGCCTACCGTACTATACAAATATTTGTATCGACCACGACGTATTTTGCAAGAAATACAAACAGACTCGGACCTGTTAGTCATATCTGGACAAGGCTCAATTCTCTTCGACAAAAAGTTTGTAATTCGTTTCCTGTATTGAATAATATGGTGTATTATCGTGAGAGGTTGATTGCTCTAAACCTTGTAAAGTAGTAGAGGTTACAGTGAGCAGAAAGATACCGAAACCACATCCATATTTCTAGATATACAATACTAGAACAGCGAAGAATTCGTATTTAAAAACAAAGTACTTCCTGGCGTTCAATACATCGTTTTAAACACAATGGCGTCAGACTCGCAGGAATACGCACTCGCCGAGTCTCTGGTGTGGAGCACACAAGATTTCAGCCTCGCTGAGTTTGTCGAGAAATTCGAACTACCACAAGTCGTGTTGGTCGAGGTGGGATATTGCGGCGAAGACGAGCGAACGACCTTTAGCAGCGGTCAAATCCTGACCCTGCACACTCTTCGAAGGAACAGCAAAATAGTTTGTCAAGTTCCTCACGCGAATGCCGTGACTGTCCCTTCGAGTTGCCAGTTTAAAGCTGAGGTGATACCAATGGAATGTTACGATACCATAGTCACCGCGTATCAACTGTCAACACAATACCAGAAAATAAAATTCGTTCGTGTGATGGAGATCGGGTCCACGTGGAACAACAACGCAATAGACACTTTGAAAATCAACGATATTCTTCAGATCATGAAAATCGACACGAGAAATTCAGTCATACGATGCAAGAACCTAACGTCAGACGAAAACGTATCGATTTTGATCGACTCTACTGCAGTGTTTATACCGTTGGTGGACCCAATGAAGTACACTTTGGCCGAGATAAAAAAGAAGTTCAGATTACCAGCTAAAATACGATTTCTCGACAAAAAGGCCGAGATACAGGCTAAGGCAGAACCAAGTATAACGAAAGGCTACAAACCTACGAGTTACCTGTCAGATTTGGGCCAGATGACAGCCATTGAAGAGATAGAAGATAGCGACGTTATCGTTACCACTGTGTGTTCAAACCTAAAAGAAAAGGTTGGTCAGTGTTTTTTGTTTGATTCAAATAACTAGTGCACTGCCAAAAATTGATCAGGTTGTCGCATCAGGGATGAACAAAGCTGTGCTGTGCCTCGTTGAATCATCAATGTTGATGCAATCAGGATGCAATGTTGTTGTAACAAGTTGCAACAACATTGATGATTCAACAAGCTTCAACAACATTGTCAACAATACTGTTCACAGGGTGCAGCACAACATTGTTCACTCCTGTTTTTAACAACTTGCATCAACATGATGATTTTTACGCGTGTAGGGCAACTGCTATAGACTATAGCTTTACCAGGCTCGGGGTACTAAACGAGATCTTTACTATATGCTAGGAATTCTGTAGTTTTTCCTTGATATTTGTGATAAAAATTGCATGCTTCAGGGAGCCTCGAATGATGCTTCAGACAGGAACAAGAGCAGAATACATTTGGATCATGGTCTCGTACTTTTCCACTGCTTTTCATTGAGATCGATTTATGGTCATGCTCAGTTTCTCATCCAGAGTTTTAGTATACAAAAAGAAATCCAGAATGTATTTACTCTGGGTAATGTACTCTAAAAAGGTCAAGCTCTACCAGTTCTGAAATTTTCTCATTGGAAAACTATTTAGAATCATTTCAAATAAACCTGAATAGTTTTTACAGAAAGAAACATACTATATTAACCAGGGGCGGTTGTATCAAGCCCGTTTAGCTTAAACGGTGGATAAGCTCAAAATAGAAAGCAAGCCTATCGTTTTATTCAGCAAGCAAACTAAATGTTTTTAACCTTAATACATTGATACTGTTTACAACTGCATATTCAGTGCAGAATATTCAAGTTGATTCATTCAAGAGAGATGTAAGAGTGTTATTTAATTTTGACTTATCCGCCGTTTAAGCTAAACGGGCTTGATACAACCGGCCCCAGAAGAAAAAACCGCATGGGCAGGGGAAGGGAAGGGGGACCCAGAGTTGCAAGGGCCCCCATTGCCTAACATGCTAAAATTAATGAATAAAATTAAACTATTGTTGGAAGTATATAGTCCTCTTTCAGAAAGCGTTTTCGGTGATTTATGGTTCGGGTAATTCACAGTATATTCGATATTGCAAAAATCTCACCCCCAAAACGCAGGAAATCGCATTTGTTGCGCTCTAAAATTTCAATTTTAACCTCTAAAAGCTCAGGCCATGCATCACCGCATTAAAATTTACATGAACTTATTATGGTGTTTTTTTCCTGCGGCCGTTTTGGTTGGGCCTCTAACGAGAATTTTGCTCCGGGTCTCCGAAATTCTCTGAGCGGTCCTGTGCATGGGATATCTCATCTCGGTCTGTTTTTGGTAGTGGATCAATCTCTTATATTGATCCAGTATTGCAACAGAATATATAATCATGATAAGATCTTAGTGAATTTCCTTAGGGATTAACTCTAGATCTTTTAATTGAAGCTCTCAGCAAGCTACAAGCATAGTAGAGCAAACAATAGTAAATCGCCACGCTTCCTCAAATGTTTCTCTTTTTGCAAGAAAACGTCGCGGCTGATACAAAGCAGGTTTTTCCCTAAGCAAAAGTGTTTTGTGTCCATGTCAGAAAAGAACACACTTCGTATGAACGAATTTTGATGCGGTGACATTGTTTACCTGGAAGGATCGAAGCATTCAGCATTGTTACCTTCCTTGCTCACGGCTTAAGTAATAGTTCACTAATCATAATAGCTTGATGATAGTTCACTATTCATCCGTAAATATCTCGAATGAAAGTCGTTTGCGAGGCTTCAATATTGATTTTGAAATATCGAATACGATACAGTACATTTATATGTCAAAATATAAGGCAATTATCTAAGTCTCTACCGATAAACCAAAAGCATGCATGGCAAAATTTTGGTGAAACGTTTTAAAGATCAATGCAAAATCGTTCCAAGTAACTATCGTTGTAAAGTGCTGACTGGCAGCATCGTGAAAGATCATTTAAAGTCTTGCCGCATGGTAAAACAAAGGCCAGATCTTAAAATTAGTGAAATCTGAAAGACCAACAGAAAAAATTGTAAAAATGACCACAATAATAAAATTTTGGCAGCATTTTTCATTTGGAGTCTATGTGGCATAAACTGGTTTGGCATAATCTTAGGGTAATTTTTTGAGGGATCTATGCAATCCTTGGCCATAGTTGTAAAATATTAGCAGGAATTTAAAACTATCTTTGAAAGATTGTTGTTCAAAAGTTGTTCAATATTGAAAAACATGATCACAATTGTGAAACCTTTTTTCTAAATTGGTGAAAAACTTCCACGTATGTTTCCCACAGATGTTTACCACAGTTTCATAACCCTGTTGGATCCGTTCCATGTCACATGAGGTTCAAGTGTAACCGAGAAACTCAGTTTTAGTTGTTTGGGAGTATTCTTTCCATCACATGTAGCTAGCTTTAGGGAAGAATATTTCTTATGTGTGTACTCAGTTACAGCTAGATGCATTGAAAGAACAGGTCCTAAACAATTAAATAGTTGGTTGGATCAAAATCAATAGAGATCAAAATCTTGGTGCTATCATCTTTGCGCTATCCTGACCAACTTGACAAGATAATTGTAAATTATTGTTCTGAATGTGACCGCATAGTTGCGAGGAATTTCTTTTCGCACTTATTTGTAATTCGTACTGTACAAAGAGTACTATGTAATTTATATTATTTAGTACTGTGTAGTCGTAATGTAAATTAGGAGGGATATAAAACTGGCGTGTAGCATTTTTATTATTAATTTTTTTTTATGTGTATAAGGGAAGGCAAAGTTTTAGAAGCTCGGTTTCTTTTTTAATCTTAATGAGCAGTTTTCAACATTACACTTTCTTACTGATTGAATTCAAGAGGCCCAGCTCCAAAACAACAAACGAGTTTTATAATCTTAAAGTTAAAATCCACAAACATGTTCGCCAAAGCACAATTTACATTCTCTTTATCATTCGTAGGTTTGCTTCAACGTTCCTACAACATTGGATATCAGGCTCACAGTTGCTGAAGGTTTCCTGCACGGCGATGAAACTTATCAAAAAGTTGTCAAAACCTTGGACAAACAATTAAATCGTACAGATCTCGAGGCGTTTGAGGGTTTGGATGTTTACCAACACATGCATGCGGTCAAGGAAGCCATTAAACAACTGGACAGAAATCTACCCATCGAGGTAGCATCAGCTGACGTTCAGTCCCACGCTAATCAACAACTGCAGATTCAACGCAAGAAGTCCGAGAAATGGAGTTTTCTTCCCGAGAAAAAACCAGAGATTGTTCCAAGGGGACAAGGATCTTCATTCAAGGTAGTTATGACTTGGATCGCCTTTGCAAATTTGTGTAAAAAATTTCTATTCACACTGGTAAATATACATGCACATTTACATATTTCTCACATGTAACTTGTCAAAGAAAATTTGTCAGGGAATTCGGGTATTACATTATACACTTAATGCATGCTCACGAGGGAAATACGTGAGTTGTGATTTCCCAAGAGTCTGAAGGTTTCCCGAGGCGAAGTCGAGGAAAACATTGAGATTCGAGGGAAAACCAAACTCACTATTTCCCGAGGTAGTGTACATTTAGTGTTTTGTTATATAGGAACGAATACATACATGTTACACAACAATTTCATTAAAAAACCCACTTTACATTGTTATAACAAGAAGCGGGCGACAATTTTTCACTTGTTTCCCTGGCGGGAAACATTGCATTTATTTAAAGTCATGTGACTACGAATGAACCAATCGCATTTAAAATACACAGCACCTATATAACAATACTAATGGTTAACATTATTCTACTGACCTATACTAAAATTAAACTGACCATAGTATAGCCTGCATGAGTGTTATTATACACGTCACCTCCAAGCCTTGTCCAAGGAGGAAGGTGCATGGATCACCAATTTTCCGACCACCAACTCTGGTGGGTCCTCCGAGAGCACAAGAACCGTTTTACGATGAGTTTTTCGTAGTTCTCCCCACCCTGTATTTACACTAACAGACGAATGATGTATCAAGACGAATTACTCGTTCAAATTCGTCTAAATAAACGAACTATGCGGATAATTCATGTTGATGGATGATAATCTGTTTGCCCGTGTTTACACACACACACACACGAACAAGAAGACGAACTATTTTTCTCTTGCCTAAATTCGTCCAGATCGTCTCAAGTATAAATCGGGCCATTAACATGTTCTGTTTTCATTAGAAACCTCCTCCAATTCCCCCAAAGAAAACTGAGGCTAGCAATCAACCAAAAGAAAGCAAGATAAAGTTAAAAAAGCTGAAATCTCCAAATTGGTTGAACTCTTTGGGACGTAAAATAAGCGACAACAAGAGCCCGGCTCCAAAACACGAGGGTTATTACGAAGAACTGGGCGGTGAAGGTGCACCATACGAGCAACCTGAAGACGGGTAAGTACTCAATGATACATTCAGACCACGTTTGCACAAGGTTGCGATATACGAAATCTTATGTTTGTAAGTTGTGTTTGCACGAGAATGGCAGAGTTTGAAAACGATACAAAATCACATGTTTATATAAGTTGTGTTTGGACGAGACTGGCAGAGTTTGAAAATGATACGAAATCTTATGTTTATAAGTTGCGTTTGCACGATACTTGCAGAGTTTGAACTGAAAACTATACGAAATCTTACGTTTATAGGTTGTGTTAACACGAGACTGGCTGAGAGTTTAAAAACGATGCATTGGTTCCGCTAGTTTTGTTTTCGAAGCCGGTCATGTATTTTTCACACTCGGCTCGTGTAACGCTCCCAAAACTTTCGAAAATGCCAGTAATCTGTCTGACTTAAAGTTCAACAGGTCCGGTCTGGTCGTTTTTACCGTATAAAGGAAAAGCAGCCTATTTTCGAGATTTAACATATAAGCTTTCCAATCGGCGTTCGAGGGCTCTTAAGTTAGTTCACACGAAGCGAGGGGAGTTAAGGACCACTCTCGAGTCCGCCTTGTTTCTTGGAAGAACGGAGGCGGTCAATTTTTCACCCTTTTTCTCGTGTGAACACGAGACACGTGATGGGAACTGAATTTCTCCGCTCCGTACATGTGAACGTGACGAAGGTTTCCAAGACCTCGGTAGATGATTAGGCATTTAGCAGGACATTAGACTATAATCATGTAATCACTGACGATGATTATCGATCATGATACTCGAGTATCATTATCGACGATCATAATCGGTGATCACCATCATTATCATTAACGATGATCATCATCGGTTATCACTATCGATGATCATTTATCGCCTATCATTCATATATAGGTCTGATGGATGTTATGCCAGTATTGAGGATCTTTACGAAGAGGGGTTATCTCAGGACTCCGATTCTGATGACAGTAGGAACTATACCGAGCTAAACAAAGATTACGTTACGCAAAGAGACTACGTGAAACCTTTGAAAATTCCTTTGAATCAACCAACGAAGAAACATCATTATCACGAGCCGGAACCCACATCAACTATACCTCAACATAAATCAGCGCCCAGCACCCCAAAATCAAGACACGCTCCAAAATCAATACAAGACTTGGCATTACCAGAAATACCGAACGAACGGCAGTCAAGCACTCCACCACCATTGCCGTCGTCGAAACCGCCCCAAACACAAGAAGACAAGCAAGCAATATACGAAGCGATCGCTCGATTTCCAAAAGATATTTCAGGCCTCAGCGTCGCCGACGTTAGCAGGCTCCTGCGTTACCTGGGGATGGGATCGTACGTGGAAACCTTTGAGAGTGAACTTGTTGACGGAGATATGTTATCAAGCATGGACCAGGACGCTCTGGAGTCGCTGAATGTGAGCTCGTTCCATGTTAAGAAAATGTTAAAGTTCATCGGCGGTTGGCGTCCAAATGTTTAGTGAATTTCATTTCAGTATAAGAGATTAAATTTAGCAAGGATTTATATATCCGATATTTTAGGCTTCAAAAAGGCGAGATTTGAGATGCACGACTTCGTCTATACTAAGTGTATTAAGTTCTTCCGTAACTCCTAGAAATGATAAAATGTATCTTTTTTAATAAGCGCTACATACGTAAGGATAACGCACATCTAAATACTCGAGGTATGAACAAACCCATGCGATGGACTTCACTTGCATGTAAATGAATTATGATTATTGGCACTTCACTCGATGCAGGTAAATTCTAGAGGTTGAAAGGGTCTTAATTTCGAGTGGAATTATACACACTTAAAATTCAAGCCAGGAAGAGTTGATGGGAATATGAGTCAACTATAGGTCCTCCGGCAGGAATCGAACCTACGCTTTTGTGATGCCGATGCAATCAGTGGCAAAAGCATTGCACGGGCATCGCAAAAGCGTAGGTTCGATTCCTGCCGGGGGACCTATAGTTGACTCATTTTTCCATCAACTGTTTCTGGCTTGAATTTGAAGTGTGTATAATTCCACTCGAAATTAAGACCCTTTCAACCTCTAGAATTCACTTGCATGTAGGTTGACCAGTATATATATAAGTTATCGTAGAGAACGAATGAAGTGTCATTTTAGATCATGTAATTTTAAATAGGTTCACTCACACAGAAGCTAAGACGTCAACACCATACTTTCTACACTTTACATCATTAAAAATACATGAATCATGTGTAATAATTGATAAAAATATGAAATATAGAAGTAGGTAACTGATAAAGATACGAAATTACTTATAGTTGCTGCGTGGAAATCGTATATATTGAACTACAGACATTTCATTTTAAGAGCAAGCTGGGGCCGGTTGTATCAAGCCCGTTTAGCTTAAGCGGTGGATAAGTCAAAATAAATAACACTCTACATCCTCTGAATGATCACCTTGAATATATGCACTGAATATGTAGTTGTAAACAGTATCTGTATTAAGTAAAAACATTAGTTTGCTTGTTGAATAAACGATAGACTGCTTCTATTTGAACATCCACCGTTAAAGCAAACGGGCTGATACAACCGGCCCCGTCAATAAATACACCATATCATAAATTTAATTTCTCGCTCCATTATAGCTTTAACTGTTCAATGGCTGTAAAGCCCGTTTTCCACTACGCGAATTTATTCGCGCGACGCGAAGCGAAATCTGAAATCCAGTGACGTGATTATCTTGCGAAAAAATTCGCCGCGAAAAGTAGAATCGCTTCCTACTTTTTATCTGATCACGCGAACAAATTCGCCTAGTGGAGAATGGGCTTTACTCGCCAGCTCAGCGCTGTCAGATCAGAATATCTGGTGTCGGTTGGATAAATTTTGCATTATATATATTACGTATACATTTTGTATAGTTGAATCCTAGTTAACTGAGAAATACACGAGTCTGATTAGCCTGTTAGGGCTTGTTGCCAAGTTCATAGTCCAAAGGCATATAGCTTCGATATTGCAAAATTCCATGCCATCACGTAGCAGACTGCGTGATACATAATTGAACATGTCCGCTCGCTGCGTGGGCTCACCGCGCTCACGCCAACGTAAAATCAAACAGAAACTATAATTTACATCAATAAACACTCGCAAAGCAAGCTTGCGGCAGTCTTCCCCCACGCGACAGCATCAGAACCGGAAGATTTGACCAAGGAAAGTAAAGTCTATGAATGCAAGGTTTCCACAAGCGGAAAATTTAGCCAAAGAAAATAATTAAAAGTTCTGGGTTTCCCCTCAACCAAGTGGTTCATGAATTTCAAGTGCTTTTTTGTCGAAACTTCAGACTATAAAGACCCCCCAAGTTTATATAAACATCGTTACATCCTCAGTGTTGTCATATGCGGAAAGCTCTAGACGAACGGAACAATATACGACACCGTTCGCGTCAGTTCGTTTCTGTTGGCTTTGCCAAATTCCAAGTCACTCAACTGCGCCTTGCCATGTTTTGGTCAACAGAAAAACATTATAAATTTAAAGAGTTTATCCTATCACAATTAAGATAATTTTGATCAAAGGTTTTCGTAAGTAAGATATATATCTTTAAAGATAGAAGCACGACCAGGATTGAACATAATGAAGCTTTTTTTGAGACGTTCTCAGGTTGTAAATATTTATTTACTAATCAGGCTTTGTCTTAAGACCATAAAATTGATTTTAGTAACAGCCAAATCATTGATAAAGCAAACTATCGACATGAACAACACTAGAATCGTGCATGGCACACAGCAATTACAACTAATGCTGACAGTGACAATGCCAAGCATCTACCCCATCATTATCGGTTTCTAATGAAGAGATAGAACAGTTTATGTATTTATATGAGACACATGTAGAGGAACTGTCACTGTTTTATGTTTATCTTTGTCATATTGTTACTGCGTTTCTAGGCGTAGGTGTTTTTGTAATTGTAAACCATATTATATAGGTATTTTTCGTCGATCATTGTAATTTTAAACTACCCGTTGAAGGCTGCAATCTGGCAGCCGAGAGCTTGTATTAAATAAATATTCACAAGACAGAGAGAACGTCTCAAAAAAACTTCATTTAACATATAAACCAGTACCCAAAGTCAGGAGTTTGAACTTATCGAGCTTTTCTCCCTCAAAGTCAGTCCTATCCTCACATCAGTTAAAATTTTTATTTCACGGTATTATATACAACAAAAAACGGCCAAGTCGCTGCTATTTGATGTAAACAGTACAGAAGAACGTCGTGTTGCACCCCACGATCATTATTGTTATGAAGTTGCAACATCTGGCTCGGTTTCAAACAATTTATCGCATTAATATTCTTGTATGTTTGCATGGTGACATCCATAAGTAAATAAGTTTGTAGGTACACCGCGTAAGTATTTAATACTGCAAAGCTTTCGGTCCGTTAACCAGTGGAATTGCACTGATGAAGGCCCGGGTTAACGGACCGAAAGCTTTGCAGTATTAAATACTTACGTGGTGTACCTACAAGCTAATTTAATTATTTTACCGCAACTTGATAATAACTATTAATCCATGTTTGTCGGACCTTGTAAGTTCTTAGCTCATGTCGAATCTGGCTTCTTCGGCTGAGTTAAAACTGCATGCATGACACACAAAACCCGCAAATACAATTTACGAGAATTCTGAAGTTTGTTTCCCAAGTATGAACAAAAATATCAAATAGGAACAGATTTTGAATCAATCGAAAGCGACGACCGAAAGTTTTTGACCTATAGTTTTTCCTGTGTTTTGGGTGTGTGAAATTAAACGCAATACGTCTTGCCTTGTCGATGAGTTGATAATCTCTATGTATCCGTAGGCTAAGTGGCCTGGTTAAATTCTTAAACCCTATAGTTCAATTCTTAAGGTCTGTGTGCAGACGATGCAATTTTGATGGATCCAATTCACTTTTGATATATATATTTTATAGTGCGTCGACTTGAAAGAAATCATGAACAAACTACATTCCATACGTCATGCAGAAGTGAATAGATCTGACAAAATTGGATCGAGTAAACAGGTGTTTATACCTCAAATTGCGGTATAGTCGGATTCAATTACAACAATCAGGAATCAGGATGGCGGAAATTATTACTAGGCTTCTCATGAACATCATCCATTGCGGATTACCTGGGGGTGATTCGCCAACGCAAGCAAATAGCTTCAGCCTTCACCCTGATCCACAGTCTAAATTCCCTGTATGGTGCGTTTACGCACAACCTGTTAAATTTTCGAAATTCTCGAGTGTGTGGGCTTTTTGACTGTAATTTGACGGGGGTTTACCGCAGCCGAAGATTTTCCATGCAGAAAACGTATTCTTGTCATAAATACGATGGGCCAGCGTACAGGTTTTGATTAATCCCAGATTGTTCCATGAATTCGAGGTTAGAATTGTCCTGATGATTTCAGATATGACGACTTGACCATGTAATATGAAACCTGATAGAAATCAACATCCATTGTTTTCAAATCTAATGCAATTTCACAGCAATCATTTTACGCAATTTCACATAATCTATACGTTAAATAATGAACACTCAAGACATCTGTGCTCAAGATGAAATGACATTTTAGGAAGTTTGCGATGGAATTACAAGAACTTCGCGGTAATGCGAGTAATCATTTCGTAAGAGGATTTCGTAAGCCAGCTATAGTGTATGCACGAGATTATACATTAGAATTTCAATGACTGTGCAACTAATTACGCCTCTGAGATTTGAATATACGTTTCCCAGGGTTAGCAAAACAAGCAAACAAAGTGAACTAAACTTATGAGTTCGATTAGGAATGGCTCAGTTAAGAACAGAACTAAAAGAATTTCTTGTTTTAAACGTATACAAGCAAACTCAACCTCCGTCTAAAGTCGTGTTTATTGGAAAATTAAGCACATAACACAAGGGTACGCAAAACACAATGGTTAGGGAGCGTTGTTAGTAAACATGACAACCATGAGAAACGTATTTTCAAATCCCAGAAGCGTAATTAGTTGCACAGTCATTGAAATTCTAAGGTGCATACATATTATGGTATTTGCAGTTTTTTTGATACACCCTGTAGTCTGTGTTATCGGAACTATGAAACTGCAGTACATCATTATATATAAGCATTTCCGTCGCTAACCCAGGTGCCATTTTGCCCACGTCAAAGAGCACCGATATAAATAAATAAGACCTTTGTCTGGCTCACAAGTGCATCACAATTGAATGTTTAATTAAGCTGACATAACAACACCCAGCACGTACGCCGTAATACAACCGCATCAGTTATGTGATAAGCTTTCAACTCGTAAGCAAATTCAGGATCTTGAAGGAGAGTCGTTACTTCCGAGCACCTCTAAGCTGTCGTCGACATTACGAAGCATTCGACGGACAAATTTATCGACGATAAAGGTTTAAACTATCGGAATCCAATCGAAATATTTATTTCAGATTTGGCTATACTTGGTCAGCGTGCTATGGCGAATGAAATGGACCTTATCCGGTCGTTAATTTGGGGAAAAATGCGACAGAGCTTACAAAAATTACTCCAAGACAGCCCACCGCCGCAGATAGTACGAATCGAGAACGATTTTCACAGCGACATCGAAGGAGCGAGTTTGCAAGGTGGAAATATGCTGGTTTTACACAAGATGGTCACAGACACGGTGCTAATTGGTAAGGATAATTCCGATTCGCAAATTAACATTGGATTGTCTTGCCCGACTTCTGTATACATGCGGCCATTGAAATGTAAGTTCCAATCATGCAAAGTCGAAGACTTTAAATCGATATTTCCTAAAGTTAAGTATGTTAGAGTGAAAAACTTTGGTTCGAGTACAGACGACGGGCATTGCGCCGTTAATGTCGGCGATTTACTGAAAATTATGACAATTGACAAAAAAAAGAAGTTTGTAACCTGTCAAGATGTTAATTCAAAGGAAGACAAATCTCTCCCTTACAAATGTTCGGTTATATTTACTCCCCTGCAAGACTGCCGGAGATATACCCTCTCCGAGGTTGTGAACGAGCAGGGTCTGCCCGCGAGGGTGTGCTTCGAGTCCACCCGCTCACAGGCTGTGAATGATCGTTGGAATAGGGCTTTGAAAGGTGTCGATGACGTGGTCTTTCATAATGAGGTAACCCAATACCAAGTTATCGCTACTGTCTTGGGAGGGGTGGGTGGTCAAGCACGTTGCCTGGGACTACCGACTGACCTACCCATCCAATGTAAAATCGCCGAACGTCTGACGCAAGATTTCAGGAACTCTGAGGAAGTTGTACGGACGCTTCACAAAGGTTTCGATATCAAGAATTTCGTGGAAAAGGTGAATGTGTTCCAAGATTTGAAGAATATAAAGATATTCGACTCGATTAGATTACCGAAAAGTGTTCCACAATATCAAAATTCTCCAAGACCAGCTCGAAAGAATGGCATCAAAAGTCCTCCCGTTTCCCCTAAACCCGTGAAAAAAATCACAACGATTGACCCTAACGGACTCTCAAAGGATCCCAAAAGTCCTCCCGTTTCCCCTAAGCCCGTGAAAAAAATCACAAAGATTGACCCTAACGGACCCTCAAAGGATCCCAAATGTCCGCTAGTGATTCCAAGAGCCTCGTATAGCGCTCCTGATAATTTTCCGGCGGTAACGGGAGCGGAACACATCGGACTTTCACGAAGTCTTCACGAAGATAACACGAACATAGACGAAGATGGTTACGTTGAAATGGGGATTGCAAAGCATTATTATGACGAAAGCGCACATCGCGAAAAAAATTCGCGACTTACTGAGAACAACAATTCTGAAAGACAAAAAACTGCCAATGTGGTCAAGAAAAACCCACCAGTTTCCCCCAAACCGATCAAGAAAATCAAACTACCTTTCCCTGACGTATCCTCAAAAGGTCCAAAATGTCTGCTGGTCCCCAGTCCCCCGTACAGTCCCTCGTACAGCGCGACAACAGACGAAGATAGCGCGACAACAGACGAAGATGATTACGTTGAAATGGATGGATATCACAAAAAGAATTCTGAAGGCGAGGCCAACGAGCTTCAAAGCCGGCGGAATCGAAATAACGATTACGAAGAGGTTACCATCCAGCCAAGATGGACGGCAAAACAAAATCACGAGTTTGCTGATCCCCGTGTCCTTCTGACGGAGAATCGCGATGACGCAAAGCAAAGAAGACCAGTATCAGCAGAATACGTGATTCCATTGAAGTCCGTGCCACCGCAAAAAAATGAATACTCAGAGCCAAATTGCTATGAAAACATGTATGTTATGAACAGGGAACCCCAGACTGATCAAAGTGATTATCAAAACGTTGTCCCGCGAGCGGACTGGCAACAACTCTACTCCAATGAGCGTGAAATCGCTCCAGATTTTGAGAGTTCAGAATACGTGGAAATGACGGGACACCCAATACGACTTGAGACGTCGTAAAACTTTGAGGTAAGATTTGGGACACAATCCTCAGTAGATCTCTTGTGTTACGAAAGGGTTTAAGGGGTCTCAATTTTGCATGGAAATCACACACGTCTCAAATTTAAGCCAGGAACAGTTGAGGATAATTATGCAAAACCATAATTGGCAAACCCCTTTGTGCACGATATAACATTTCCGCAAACTTAATTGAGGCTTTGTTTCCGCATTTCACAAAATTTCGCAACAAATTTCGCAACAAATTTCGCAATTTCTAAAACGTCAAAGTGCTCCCACGACGGTAGTGAAATATTTTCAACCCTTTGATAGTATATAAGAAAATACAAATTGCTTATAGTTATTTGACTTCCCTTGTGAAATCGTTTAAATGATGACCCATTTAATTTGAGGGCACTGTAGATCAATGAGAAACAGCACTTAACATAACGTTATCTGCTCAAAATAGCAGATAACTACTATTCTATACTTGAAGCAACGTATTCTGTTGAAAGTAGTTGTTATATTTCATTGATGTTTTCCGGCTTTACTGAAAATGGTTTATTTCTTGCTTCGCCAGGTAGAACTGCATCGTCATGTTACAATGACGTCAATTGAGATAAAAAGAAGACAGATATACGTGATTAACATCCAAATACGAGCTTGGATTACGCCCAGTGACAAAAGTTCACTCAAGGAGCACCTAAAGTTTCGAGGAAGTCCTAACCGGTTCGATTCTTAGAATAGCACGTTTGTTTAATGATGATGCAATTGAATGGTAATGCTAATTTTGAACTATGAATGATAGGGAGACATGCTCAAGATGAAACCTGTTCTGGTGGCGAAGATCCCACGAAAGACCAACGAATAGAATTATTAGCTACAATCTATTTTATATATGACCAATATTAAATTAATAAGAAATAAATTAAAGCATAAACTACAATCTGACAATAAATATATATAGACAAGCTTGAGAGACAATTTGAGGAACATGAAAAAATACGAAAACACTAGCTTGTTAGGATATCGTAATAAAACATTATTATAACTTCGACGAGAAAAATATGTTTTGTTTTGTTAACTATGTCGCTGTTATACTACGAATAATATCAGGAATTTATAAATATTTAAATTTAGCATGTAATTGCTTCTGATATTTGATACAGAGCCATAAACTAATTTAGTAAAAGCGGTTCATAACCTACAGCTATGATGATTGGTATCAACTTTTAGAAATAGCGCAGCATGAAGTCTTTTAACAATAAATATTTCCTCAAAATTACGTTTCTATTATAAATCAGTTGATCTCACTAGCACATCAATATACATGAAAATGAGAAAAGATTTGTTAACAGTTACAATCATACAGTATATTGTCTGGATTCCAGAATCCGACAGATTCAAGACTCGACTGGACGATAATTGAGCTTAGAATTCCGCTCACATATGCATATACACCACAGTTCTCTGTGTCGATCAACTTCCGGTGTTGTAAATTGGTTGTCTAATTTCGCAAGCACTTTATTCAACTATACCATGGCTAACTCACAAATAGAATTGGCGAAATTGAAATGGGGTAAAATACAGCTAACACTGTCCCAATTGTTAGATAAATACCCCCTGCCAAAGATTGTTAAAGTTATCGAAAGCTTTTATGGTGAAAACAAGTTAAATAAAGAATTTACTCTTTGCAATAATACTGTGTTGTGCACACACTCTGTCAAACCAATCGAGACAGTACACGGTCGCTTCAGTTGTGGTGAAGACATCTCGATTCCCCCCGCCTGTCGAGGCAAAGTTGAAATCTGTCCATCGGCTTTATAAGATGTTTATGAAAGCGTCGAAGAGCTTTGCTCTGTGTTTCCAAAATACGTTCGTGTCTCAAAAGGTAAATATCATGTGTATAAACCCAGCTGACTGAATTTCGAGTTACCACAAACGGTTGAAAATGCAAATCATGTGGGGGTTCTTAACATTGCATGTATTCATTGTACCACATTTGTTTACTAGTTTCGGGCAATACAACGTCGCCACAAGTCTATACGCAGCCAACTGACTGTACGTAAACCTATTAATCTACTCTAATCTTTTTAAGGGTATTACAGCGCATCGTTGAATAAAGTTTTAATGAACGTCGGAGATAAATTGCAGTTGAAGTGCAAAACCAAAATGAGTTTCAAAATGTAGACAAAGATTCTACATACAGTATACTGCACTTGATCTAACCTATATCTCCAATCAGAAGTATGAAAATCTTGTCGTGGAACACCGGACCTGAGAATGACATTACATCACCTATCAGAGTAATCCCTCAACTCCAAGACTCCACATATACCGCGCTTGATCTAACATATATCTCCAATCAGCAATACGAAAAACCTAACGTGAAACACATGACCGAAAGCTTTGAAAACCAATCTGAAAAAATTGCCAATCATGACTTGTCAGACAATAGCCTTACCTTCAAGATCCTCTCAATAGCCTTACCTTCAAGATCCCCTCCTGAAGAGCCCGACCCAACCCTTCCAGCTATATTCCAGCAGACCTCGATTCAAAATACACTCCACTTGATGCAACTAGTACTAACGTTTTCAGTCAAAAGTACGAAAAACCAAGGCTTGTCGAAAACCCTACTTTGAGCTCAGAGGACCGAGACCCCGAATTGACATACACTTCCAGTAAAAAGTATAAAAAACCGCCCACACCTGCGGAACACCCCACTCGGAGTTCAGAGGACCCCGATTCGACATACACCGGAATTGACCCGACAAAAATTTCCAATCAAAAGTATGAGAAACATCTTGCTGAGCTACCTCATAATAGCTCAGAAAACCAACCTGGAATGGCTGAAAGTGTCCCAAACGTGTTGACAAATACAAGTGCATCGCACATCACGCCTTCAGAAACATTGGATGACCAAGGTACTCAGTCTCTTAGAGAGGAAATTAACCAAGTAATCACCAGACATCCCTTAGATCTGTCAGGTGTGGGGATCGCAGCTGTGGGCAGGCTATTGACGTACTTAGGAATGGAAAAGTATGTTGAAAGATTTATCAAATTTACCAAATATCAACAAAATTCATATCTGTCATGTTCAAACTTTGCCCATACTAGTACTTGATAGACTATAGACTATTGAGAGACTATAGACTTATTGACTGATCCCGAGGAAAACGTTATGTTTTGTGGAGCCGAGACCACAAAAGATCGACGTAGGCAAAATTCACAGACAAACTTTTAACTTTAAGAAAATGAAAATAAAAAATTCGGTTGAGGTTCGCCCGGTGGTTAATGCATTAATCCCTGATCAAACTGGTTCAAACCTGACAAACAAGATTTTGCGGTAAACATTCGGATATCTTGCCTTTCATTACGTAGTTTTAACCAATCAGATTCTGCAAATGATGAACTCTGAAACTTGCTACATAATAATGATGTCTATCAGGGGGTCATCGAGACTTCAACTATAAAACATTGTAACACGATAAACTGAAATGTGGAAGTATTGTATAAATACTTAATACGATATTACAATATATAGTAAGGAACAATTAGTACAAAAACATCTAACGCTATAATAGCAATTGCTATATAATAAAGGTCAGGTCTACACTGTTAAAGTTCCTGTGCTTCTACTGGAAAATTTGCATTGGTAAATCCGTTTAAATCTCAAATTCTAAATGTTTTGCAGCGAGTTATGAATTTAACTTCCTCTTTGAATTTCTCACACTGAGACACAATGCAAACTAATTGTGTTAGAATGTTTATCGAAAGTGAAAATGATCTTTACAAATTGCACAGTATGGTGCATGGTGCCAATTTCTATAGAGTATATCTATATCATTGTTTTGCGTTTTTCAAACGTTTAAGTTTAAGTTTAAGTAAACGAATACTATGGTCTCAAATTTTGCAGAGAATCAGTGAAATTATTGGTTTGATTTGTCAATATTCGAGTTTGAAGTACCCCAATTAAAGTTCGTTGAAGACGAATATAGTTAAAAACAAAATGAAAAATTTCAAAAGAATTTCATTAGAAGTGCGGTTTCCGGAATTTTTATGACACAAACGTCTTTGCTTACAAATAGTTTTCATAGTATAACAGCAGTGTTGAAAATTGAGGACGAATCGACTTTCGATCGTAGCAAGTCGGCTCCGTTATACTGTTCCAGTGCTGTTGTAACCCGAATAAGTACAATTAGCGCACCCTGTGCCGAATACGGCCCATAAGGCCATTGAAGCCGGTTTTTCGAAAAACAACGTGTTGATATAGTGTATCTTTAGGAAAAGGTTTTGGTTTTTTTTATATTAACATAAATACATAAATTCTGTGACTAATCGTGGATTTCGATGGATGAATACCCAGGGTAACATTTGGTGTCAGGAGTGGGATTATTTTCAAGGAAATTTCACGATTAAAGCTGCGAAATTAGAGGTTTGAAACGATAAATATGGTGACTATATTATACGTATAAATATAAAAATTGTGGAACATTTTCGATATAAATTTGGGATTTTGTGGCTGCCAAAGACTATATTAGTATGGCTGTCGATCTCGAAGAACTTCAACTTCAATTGGAAAAGAAACTGTGCGAAGTAAGTCAAGATACGTTAGTAAAACTTGCAGTATTTCTCGAGTGGGATGAAGGAAAATACGTGGGGAAGTCAAAGCTTAGTATTGCTCGATTACTACGAAGAGATGTCGAAGAGCAGGTATCCCAGTTTGAAAGTGAGGATGAATGTCGCTCTTTCTTGGGTAAAATAAAAGAACAGTTGCTTGAGGTTACTGAGGAAGAGGCGACTGGGAAAGAATCCCCTGGGATAGTAAACAAGGAATTGGAAGTGTTGAAAGCACAACTCGACAACTTGGAAAAAGACCATCAAAAGCAAGTGGAAGCTCTCCAGGCAAAGATGGAACAAACTGAACTGAAGGCAAGTCAAGTGACGACAACAACAACTGTAAGTAAACCAATTGCAAATGATCTTAAGCAAGTATTGCGTAGGGAGTTCAAGATTAATGGGCAAATAGGAGAACCTGGTCAAAAAGATAAACTCACTTTTGTAAGCTTGGTCAGGCAGATTGAAAGTGCATTGTCAAAGGGTTACCCAGAGGCTGAGGTGACTGATGCTGTCATAAGGGCAATTACCCCTAGCATGCAGTTGCGAAGTTACCTAGAGACGATAAGCAATTTGGAGTTGCCGAGGTTACGTGCAATCCTGAGATCACACTTTCAGGAGAAAAGTGCTACTGAGCTATATCAACAATTAACAACAATTGTACAAGCACCAGAAGAGAGCCCACAGAGCTTTTTGATAAGAGCTTTAGACTTGCGTCAAAAGGTTCTCTTTGCCTCTAAAGAAGCAGGGGTAAAGATTAAATATGATGAAAATCTGGTTCAGGGTTTGTTTTTACACTCCCTTGAAACTGGACTTCATCATGAAGCAGTAAGAACAAAGCTACGCCCATTCTTACAGCAGTCGGATATAACAGATGAACTGTTAATAGAGCAAATGAACCGGATTGTGTCAACCGAAACAGAGCGGCAAAAGAAATTTGGTAAAGCAAGTCAGACAAGACAAAGAAATGTCCATAATGTTCAAGCAGTAAAGTCTATGACAGTTGAGGGTGAACACCCAGTTGAACAAGACCATCCAGTGAAAGAGAAGAAAGCACCCAAGCAAGGTGAGCTAGTAACAGCAATAAGAACAGTACAAGCAGAACTTGCTGAGCTCAGGGAAACAATTACAAATCAACAAGCACAGAGTAAAGAGCAAGAAATGAGCCACAAGGATGACCAACCTGGTCGCAGGAAACGACTGTGTACAAAGTGTCAGGAAACCAATAATGTGAACTGTGATCACTGCTTCCGATGTGGCAGTTCTGACCACTTTGCCAGAGGATGTAAGAAGAGACAGAACTCGGGAAACGGGAGATGGCTACCGCCGAGGGACAGGAAGTAGCCAGTAAACCAAGTAAGTCCCATTTTTGTGCCAAATGTCTAAAGATTGAACAGTGTGAAAAACCATTTCCAAGATGTTCTGGCTGCCAACTAGTGAGATATTGTTCAAGAGAGTGCCAAAAGCAGCACTGGGGAGAACATAAAATACTATGCATGTCAGTCAGAGAATTTAAAGTAGATAACAATGCTCAGAGAAATTCAGATCATGGAACATATGTTAGCCATTTAAGCCCACTTGAGTATTCGAAAGTGGTGGGTTTAGTGGGTAAAAGATGTATGGTACATTGTCAGTTAAATGGACA